GTCGCTGTGACCAGCAAGGCCCAAAATTAGTTTTGGCCCACCTTGAATAATCAGGGTTTCGGTTCAGGCCAGCTCTACCCTGACTCGTAGCGTAGAATTTTGCATACCGGTACCCTGGCCAAAATAGCCTAAAATAACTTGTAAACGGACTATGATAAACGTAAAAATATTTATTTAGCTTCTGAAGTGCATGGTCGCCTCTGCTGTTAGTTTCCACTTGAAACCGTTCTCTTTTGCTTCTCAAACTCATATTGAATCATTCGCTTCTCATTCGTAGCTAGTTAATCATAACAATGAATATATTGTACATGGATAAACTCCATAAATGAAGAATGGTTAGATGTTTGGCTAGGTATAGTATGATCGCAAGTTCAAATGTTAGCGACGGTCGCATTGTTTTGCAGCTTCGCAATAAAAATCATCGAAACAGAGGATCCAATATCAATGTAATGTACAGCGCACCTTGATACCGGCACGGTAACCAAAATCGTTATCGATGTATATCAAAACTTAGCCCATTTTCCTAATTAGTGAAAGAATTTTGATACGGTACCCTTTTTTGCAAGGGTAACTGGGAAAAAGCGGCCACCCATCAGGGCCAATAGGGTATTCTACCCTGATATTTCGGGCCCTAGGCCTTCTTTTTGTTGGAAACAATCGATCTTAAGCGCCTCTGTTGTGTCGAAACACTAAGGCACAAACAAAGCCAAGCATATCGAAGCACCGGCGAGTCAACCCTCTGAGGTTGAAAGTAACTATTGGAAGTTACGCAAAAGTCAAAGGTCAGCGACCTTTGATGTGACAAAGTACAGCGCGACAGCAAGAACACACAACAGACTCGCTACACAGCAATTGCCCGGGTCGTCACTGTATCGAACCGCAACAGCAACAGTTATAACTGTACCCGTTCATATTCCTTGTACTCTTATATAATCTTGTATCTCTCTATTTTAATCAACTTACTTTGCCCTCACATACTAGCGCAAGATGGTTCACAACTCTTCATTAAACGCTTCCGCTATTACATCAGTCCTACCCAGAGTTCACCCCTGCAAAGATCCTAAGGGCTTTTCTCAGCCCAACATGTTATGAGAGCAGTCAGGGAGAATTCAACTTCTATTAAGATACCGACAACATCAACAGGCATGGCTACACAAAAGGAAAGGAGCTCCTCCAACAGCTCCCAGGGCACTACTCCTACTCCACCTCCTGCCTCTGGCCTACAGACAGAGGAGGATACGGCAACAAGACCCAGGGCAACATCCACCGAGACTCCTGCGAATCAACCTGCAGACTTCGACCAGAGCATGATGGAGAAATTCTTCTCTTTCATGTCTTTCTACGAGCAACACCAGCAATCGGCACCTGCGCAATCACACCATAGCAACAATAACGGAGCAACTCCCATGAGTCTCGACAGCTCATCATACGCACGAGGAAATCAACAGCAGCAGCCTACCTTTGCTCCGTACGAGCGCGGGTCCATCAGCTTTATGCCACACCTGCAGCCTTCATCTGGACAAGAAAAGTCACTGGACGCATTACAAGTTCAGTCACAGTTCGCGCACGTTTTGAAGATGCAGACGTCAAGACCTTTCGATGTAAAGGATTTCTTCACCTGGTCGTTTGAATTCGAGTTAATGATGCAAGGCGCGCAGATACTTGGCTTCTTCGACGGGTCCCTGCCATACCCAATGAACGGCATACAGTATGAAAAGCAGCAGTACACCTATCAGTCGATGATGGCGTACACGATTCTACTGAGGAACATCACCCCGACTCAACAGCAGAATATACGGTCTTACCGGGGTTACGGCAACTCCGCGGAGCTCGCATACAACCACTTGAAGAGCGTGTATCAAGCAACAGACAGCGTAAATTAAAGTCGGTTAATGGCGCAACTAACAACGGTCTAAATGAAACCAGGCGAAAAAGGAATGGCGTATATCAGCCGATGTCGCGAGTTGCGCAACAAGCCTCTTCGATACGGAGGGTCGATTTCTGAAGACGCCTTCGTGACAGTTATCATTGGCGGCCTCGGTCCTCAATGGCGCGCCACAAAGACCATTCTTCGAGCCCACGGAAGAATCTCCGAAGCAGCACTCTGCGCCGAAATCCATGCCGAGCAACAAGACATGGACCTGCAAGAAGAACGACACAAGAAGACATCTGCACCGGAATTTGCATTCCACACTCAGTAACGCTACAACAACAAACAACAACCGAAGCCTGTACCTCTGTTCTGCCACATCTGCAAAACGTCAGGGCACCCGCGCACGCACTGCCCGAATCGACAACAGTCAACGCCTTCACAGCGGTAGCTTTGACCTTCAAGCAATCAAATCACCTCAACATAAGCAAATCCAACTCAGGATGGGATGGAAAACTCCCCACCTGTTCTTCACCACAACCCAAGCGCACCAGCTTACGCGCCACTCGAGAAGGTATACAGCGACATCTTGTACAACCGCGAGCCTGGACAAAACGCGTACAACTACACCATCATGGCCCGGAAAATGTCGTTGCGCTGTGCATGGACGGTGGCAGCAACTACGCGTCGGCATGCAAGTTGCTGCAGGCGGAGTGGCCGCACATCGAGCATGTGCCATGCGCCGCCCACGTGCTCGGCTTGCTGATGGAGGACATCGGCAAGATGGAGTGGGCGCGAGACGTCGTCGGCCGAGCGGGCGACATGATCACGTTTCTGCGCATCCACCTGTGGACGCGCGCTTTTCTGCGGAGTCCGGAACTGCACGGCGGGAAGGCGCTGCAGCCGCTGCGACTGGCAGGCACGCGTTTTGGGACACTGTATATTGCCGTGTCTCGTCTTTGCCAGCTTCGCTCACAGCTGCTGCAGATGGTGATGCATGACGGCTGGAAGAAGATGAAGGGGAAGAAGGGGACGAAGGAGAAGAAGACGACGGCGTGTGACTTCGAGGCGTGGGTGATGGATGTGGATTGGTGGGAGAAAGCAGGGTTTTTTGTGCAGTTGATGGAGGTGCCATTCATGGTGATGAGGAGGACGGACTCGCATGCGAAGGGGATGATGGGTGCTATCTATGACATCATGCTGCAGCTGACGGAGGACATGGCGAACCTGCTGGATGGTGATATGTGTAAGCTGAAGGAGGAGGAGAATGAGGAGGTGCAGGAGCACTTGAGGCGCCGCTGGGACGAGAGTTTGGCGTGCCCCCTTCACGTGGTTGGCCGGATCCTTAATCCGGCCAACCAGCTGGAGGAGATTTTCCTGCGTAACGTCGATTGCACCAAGGTGATGAGGGAGTGGCTCGCCCGCTCTAAGGTCTTAGTCGACAAGTTCTAGAAGGGGAAGAAGGGGCCGCACAAGAGTTTGCAGGAGGGGATGTTGGCGTACATCAACGCCACTGGGAGCTTCGGATCGGAGGAGGCGAGATTGGGGCGTGAGGAGCTGCAGGATGGGAAGGGGGACGTGCTGGCGTGGTGGCAGTATCACGGCTGGGAGTATGCAGACCTGGCTGGACTTGCGCGCCGTGCACTGTCCCAGCCAGTTTCCGCCGCCCCGTGCGAGCGGAACTGGTCTGTTTGGGACGGCGTGCACACGGCGCGCAGGAACAGGCTCGGGTTGGAGAAGGTCCGCGACCTTGTGTACGTTGCGCACAACTAGACAGTTGTGCACAACCATCACAAGGGAGCGGCTGTTGCAGGGCTTAGTGGGGTGGGAAGGAAAGGGGGGATCGTGGAGGGGAACATTCCCACCCCCCCCCCTCCCCGAGGGCTACAAGCTGGAGGAGGATGGGGAGGTGGAGGAGGATGAGGACGCGATCTGTGTCGATGAGCACGCGCACCAGGAGGATAGCGAGGAGGAGGAGGGCGAGGAGGAGGAGGGCAGGGAGGACGAAGATTAGAGGAGATGGCGTGGACCGTGGTAGCTTGCTCTAGTTTGCTTATTGCTAGACTAGAGTGACTAACTAATCGTGACTATGGGAACCTAATGTTGGGGGGGGAAATTTTTTGTGTCGGAAAAAATCTCCTCAAATCTATGCTATGTGCTTCTTCCCCCCCTTCCCTTGCACCTTGAGAGGTTTTTTTGCCTGCCCGTACCATTTTTTACCCTGACAGGGCTTGCGTTTTTTTTGCGTTTTTTTTAATCCTAGAAATGCGTTCTGCGTTTAAAACGCTGCGTTTGAACGTAAGCGTTTAAAACGTCGAACGCGTTTTTCTCCACCAATGACTCCACATGCAACATGCGGTACCCCATACCTCTCATGCCATTTAGGTAAGGGGGTTGCTGGGGTTTGTGCATGCTGTGGTACAGGGAGGAAGGCAAGATGGGTGATGTGAAATGCAAGCTCCACATGCAACATGCGGTACCCCATACCTCTCATGCCATTTAGGTAAGAGGTTTGCTGGGGTTTGTGCATGCTGTGGTACGGGGAGGAAGGCAAGATGGGTGATGTGAAACGCAGGCTCCACATGCAACATGCGGTACCCCATACTTCTCATGCCATTTAGGTAAGGGGGTTGCTGGGGTTTGTGATGCTGTGGTACGGGGAGGAAGGCAAGATGGGTGATGTGAAACGCAGGCTCCACATGCAACATGCGGTACCCCATACCTCTCATGCCATTTAGGTAAGGGGGTTGCTGGGGTTTATGCATGCTGTGGTACGGGGAGGAAGGCAAGATGGGTGATGTGAAACGCAGGCTCCACATGCAACATGCGGTACCCCATACCTCTCATGCCATTTAGGTAAGGGGGTTGCTGGGGTTTGTGCATGCTGTGGTGGTGAGAAAAAGGGGAGGTGGGGGATGGAGGGGAGGGAGAGAAGCGGAGGTGGGATTGTGTGGAACTTCACGACCAGTTGCCCAAACGGCAGGCAGACTCCCCCATCCACCACCAGCCTGGCATCCCTTGTAAGTGTGTGTGAACACAAGAGGGGTTGCAGAAGAGAGACCCACGCAGCACCAGCTTCGCACCACTAATAGTGTGTGTAACAGATCCCATAAGAAAATACGAGGACTCACTAGTGGAACTCCACCAGCAGTTGTCCGAATGGCAAGTTCCCCCCATTCACCACCAGCTTTGCATTGCCCCGCCCCCGCCGCTTCCCCGCCTTCTCCTCCTTGGTCAAAGCCCCTCCCTCAGCCCTCCTCTTCTCCAGAAACTCATCAGTCTCCCTCTTCAGACCCATGATAAACTCCTCCTCACACCCCTCGCAGTCCATTTTCAGCACATCCACATACGAGTGCTCTAGCCTCTCCATCGCCCCCTGCAGCGTCATGAAGGTGATGCCGGGGTTTTTCGCCCGGAAAGCCTCCAAGCTTGCCGCGCCCGCGATCGCGATTTGGTGGAAGTGGAGGAAGGGGAGGGCGAGCATGTGAGCAGTGGCGTTGGCGGAGAGGAATGGGTCGAAGGTGAATGGCTTGGTGTGCAGCGCCGCGCCCATGGCCTGCTCAAAGTCATACTGCTCGTTGCTGCCCACACTGGCATGGACAAGGGAGGAGGTTGGGGGGGGGTGGTGAAGGGGGGGGGAGGGAGGGGGCAGGGGGGGACTGAGGGAGTGGTGGGAAGAGGGGGGAAGAGGGGGGAAGAGGGGAGAAGAGGGGTGAAGAGTGGGGAAGCGGATAGGAAGGGAAGGCATGGCGTGCTTTCTGGGCACCTCAAAAACAAACTCCCAGGCGGGGGAGGTATAACGAGCATGGGAGGTAACAAGCGTGGGAGGTGGCTTGAGGTGATTTTTTAGTTGGAAGAGGGTTTTGAACTTCTTACCTGTACACTATAGGGTTTTCTTGGATGGCAGTTGGCAGCATGCACACCCACTACAGTGGAGGGCAAGGTGGGATGGATGCAAGGGAGGGGATGAGGGGTGAGGGGAGGGGAAAGGGAGGGCAGGGGAGGGGAGGAGGGGTGAGGGGAGGGGGAAGGTAAGGCAGGGGAGCGGAGGAGGGGTGAGGGGAGGGGGAAGGGAGGGCAGGGGAGGGGAGAGGAGGAAGAGAGGGGGAGGGTTGAATGGCAGCATGCATACCCACTGCAGTGCAGTGGAGAGCACGAATGGGAGCTAGAGGGGGAGGACTGGGGGGAGGTGGGGGGAGAGGCAGGGGAGGGGGAGGAGGAAGAGAGGAGAATGGTTAGAGGTAGCACACACATCCATTGCAGTGAAGAGAGAGAGTTGGAACGAGAGGAGGAGGGAAGGAGAGGTGGAATGGAAAGAGGCAGGGGAAGAGGCATGGGAGCGAAAGGAAGCGGGAGAGAGTTAAATGGCAGGAGGCACAACTATTGCAATGGAGAGCAAGGTGGGGTGCAACAAATAGGGGAAATAAGAGGGGAGAGAGGGGTGCAATGTGGTGGGGACAAGGGACAACACAATCACCCCTGTAAGTAATTCGCTTCCCCAAAAATCATCAATAACTAAATTAAAAACAATCCCTCCTCATTACCGCTTCCACTAGCAGCTTTTGCCACCTTCCCTCGCTTACACCCATCCCGCTTTCCCTCGTAATCCTATCCCCCAAACCCCCATATTCCCATCCCTCCATCTACCCATATTCACATCCCCCCATATTCCCATCCCCCATATTCCCTTCCCATCCCCCCATCCCCCCATATTCCCAACCCCCCATACCTCCACCCCCATACCTCCGTACCATCATGTCCCCATCCCCCAACCCCATCCCCATCCCCCAACCCCATCCCCATCCCCCAATCCCATCCCCACCCCCCAACCCCATCCCCATCCCCCAACCAATCCCATCCCCATCCCCCAATCCCATCTTCATTCCCCTTCCACTGCCCCAATTTCCTACCTTTTCGCCATCCCCCCATGCACCCACTCTCTCCTCTGCCAGGCATGGGTAAGTGGGCATGAGCACAGACAGTAGTAGCGATGGCAGAGCGGGGCAGGGAGTAACCAACGGACCCAACTCAACCGTTCACTCACCTTTCCGCCATCTCCCCATGCACCCACTCTCTCCTCTGCGGGGCATGGGTAAGGGGGCATGAGCACGGAGAGCAGCAGGGACGGCAGGTCATGTGCGTCCACGGGCCACTGCTCCCCGTTATGAGCCACTTTCCTTCTCTCTGTGTTGGCCTGGGGGACAGGAAGGCGGGGTGGGCCGGAAATGCGGAGCAGCGAAGCATACATGGCAGGTCATGTGCGTCCATGGGCCACTGATTCCCGTCATGAGCCGCCTTCCTACAGTCTATATCAGCCTGAGGGGACGCGAGGGGACGGGAGGGGATGGGAGGGGACGGGAGGGGACGGGAGGGGAGGGGAGGGGAGGGGACGGGAGGGGAGGGGAAGGGGGGGGGCAGGGGAGGAGAGTGGGAAAATGGGTAGCAGCAAAGCCTAGATGGCAGGTCGTGTGCATCCATGGGCCACTGATCCCCGTTACGAGCTGCTTTCCTTTCGTTTCATATCCGCCTGGCGAACGGAAGGGGAAGGGAAGGGGGTCGGGGGGGTGGGGATTGGGGAGCAGTAATCGTGGGAATTGGGTCGGGGGGGTGGGAATTGGGGAGCAGAGTAATCGTGTTTATCTATGGGAAGCAGAGTAATCGATTGGTTGGGAAGCCACAAACTTGGTTGGCGGTATTCGGAGGAACGTGCCAAACCAAGCATGCGATCGTACACCCAGGTAAGTTTTGGAAAACACACCTGCGCGGCTTTATGATGAGTTTTTGTTTACCTCTGTGATTGGCAGCATTGCGTCTGTTATTGATCAACGTTCTTCTGATGCATCATTCTATATCGAGTGTAACTACGTTGCAACTGATCCTTACCCAATAAGCAGCCTCGGCTCGGCATAACGACCATGCAATGTTAACGCCTTTAATGACGCCAGCTTCTAACGAGGATGCAGCGGCGTAGGATGCGGAGGCAGCAGGGTCGGAAGAGGAGGCGCCAGACGCGGCAGCGGGGTCAGCGTTCGTCAAAAGCGATTCACTCGGCTGGAAAATGAGGAGCAGCGGTACGCCAAGAGCGAGAATAGCGGACGCGACGACTAAGTATGGCTTTTATTTCCCAAAAACCTTGTCGTTGCGCTGCCAGAAATCGGAGAATGTGCCGTGGACTACAGCGTACGACATGACGACGTCACTGCCTGGAAAGTACGTAATCGGTGAACGGACGGCCAGCAATGCGCGGATTTGAGACGAACCGCCCCCTGGGAATAAGCTGCCAGTGAGAAATAAAGTTCTACATTTCCACACGGAGATGACGCGATGGCGAGTAGGCACGAAATGCGAGGCGCATGGCGAGCGCCTGGCGGTGGCGGAACAATGGTGGAGAGAAAAAAAGGGCCGCTGGCCCACTCGCACTACTACCTTGGTGGACCAGACGGTTTCTAGAATCTAGATTCTAGAGTGCATACTCGAGTGCCGACATTGCAAGCTGACAGCCGTAAAAAAAAAAAAAACAAATATTTGTCTTTGAGAACCTCGTTAGAAACAAAGCTATTGAAGTCGGAATTGGTATCATTATGCTAAGACATTCTTGAGCAAATCCATGTAGAAAATGAAAATACCATATCCATTGAAATTTCGTGTCCTCGACACAATACTGTTGGTGTTGTGATGGCAATCGGCCAAAGGCTTTTGTTGCGATGACCAATTGCCCGCACGCATGTGCATACATACCGCAATTACTCAAATAATAGCCTCTGAAAGTGGACTAGGCATAATGGGATACAAATATGCAACCCTAAAAATGTGTACTCCCCAAAGAGCACCTCAGTATACCCAAGCACTAACAGACACACATGTTTATAATTTGGCATACCCCCATAGGCTAGGTGAAGGGCATCACACAAGCATAATAAATAACAACCCAAGGCGGATCAACTAGTCCAAACACTGAGACAGGTGGTAACAAGACCATTCAACGATTAGCAGCAAACCAAGAGGTGCAACTCATGATGGCACGATTAGCCAACCTTTGAGACAAACGGTTACAAGGCCAATTCAAGAGCATATAAATATATACAAAGAACAACACGAGCAACGCAAGAAACAAGAAGCAGGTATATAACAGACGAGGACCTGTGTGAAGAAGCCCAAGCTTTTTGCAGAATATGTGGTGGTCAAAGAGCAGAGGGCTTTGGTGAAGAAGTATGTAGTGTTGGGCGCTAAGGCTACAAAGAACAAGCGTGCATGGCCGCGTCGCTACAGCTCTCGCAACTGGAAGTTACCGCAACTTGATGTTCTTCAATCTGCTCTCCAGTCGAGGCTCTCGACAAAGGAGGATCATAGCCTTGTTATGAGTGCACAAGGTCAGTGCAGAGCTAGGCAGCTCACCTAGGTAAGTGAGTAAGTCAGCAAGCGGATCTAAGCGGCCATGGCACAGGCGTAGATATCGGCCTCAGCAATAGACAAAGCCACAGACAATACTCGTGTTGACCTCCACGACACAACTTCAGAGCCCAACTTGAAACAGCCCTGTGTAGACTTGCGGGTCTCCTCGTCGTTCATCCAGGGCGAGTCGCTATGCCCAATAAGTCCCACTGATTGGCTCACTCCAAGCACAAGCCCCATGCCTGATGTGGTCGCCGTGTATTTCAATACCCTTATAGCAGACATCTAGTGAATGCAACGGTGTCTCCTGGTTGCAACAAAGCGAGAAAGGATGCTAAAAGGATAGGCGAGGTCAAATCGAGTGCACGTCATCAGGTATATGCGGCAACCTACAAGGTCTGCATATGGACCACTAGACTCAACCGGATTGTCGAAGAGCACTGAGTCTGAAGCCCCAGCAAGAGGAGCGGTTGTGTGGAGGAGAACTGGAAGCTAGACTGTTGAAGGATCTGTTGCACCACGTCTGACTAAGTCAGAATGGTGCCGCTCTATCCGTGGTGATCTCCAAGCCAAGATAGCTGTGCTGCTCACCAAGGTTAGTGCATGTGTATCTTTTTTGCAATCAAGGCTTCCACTAAAGCTAGAGCGACCACTTCTGCAGTAGCAAAGAGCAAGTCGTAGACGTACACGAAGATGAGAAATGTGTGGACCCATAACTAACAAACGAACAGTGTCAAGTCAGCGGAAGAATGGCGGAACCCAAAGGAAGCAAGAGTAGTATGCAGGGTGTCGCACCAGTCGTGAGGTGCCTGGCGCAATCCTTAGACTGGTCATCTTAGGCTCCACTAGGTCCTAGGCGGGAAAGTGCTAGTAAGCGAGGAGGACGGCAAAGTCAATTCTCCTCGTGCAATCTGCCTTGGAAGAAGGCAGTGGAAAAGCCTAGCAAGTGCATCTCGTAGTCTCGTTGCGCTACGACATGCAGTATTACCTGAAGAGTGGTCACCTTTAAGCTGGGGGAGAATGTATGAAAGATGGCTACTCCCTGACGCTGAGTAAAACCTCTTGCCATGTAGCATGCCTTGAAAAACTGCATGTCATTGACTACGTTCGCCCGAGGAGGAAGAATCGCATCAACGTAAGTACATGTGGACCTCCAAGAGTCCATGACTGCTATCCACTGAGAGGAACACTGACTTAAACTTAAAAGTACCTCAACGTAAGTGCGAGGAGCCGGGATGTGAACAGCGCCGGGGTCTCCCTTAGGGGCTAGCAGCATGGGAGAGAGGTGGGGAGCAGCAGCCGCAAGGATCTGTAGCACAATCTCACCCCCCGACGGATGACAAATTGCCTGTCCTCTAGGACATTATAGCCAAGGGCGAACAGAGGACAGGAAGCAGGAGCGGACACCAACCAGGTGGCGTAGTCAAGGCGGCGGGTGGAGACAAAGTCAGTGACAACGTTGGCAAGAGCTAAAATAGATGACAGAGTGGTAGTAGGGCCAGTCTCGAGAGAGAAGAGGACACGCGAGACGACAAAGGAGGTAAAGGGAAAAGAGAAGGAGGCATGATATGATGAGGGACAAGGAGTGGAGGTCAGGAAAAGGAGACGAAAAACGAGCCCGCGGGGAACCACAGTGGTGTGGAGTAAATGCAAGAGACGGAGAAGAAGGCAACGGGGGAGAATGTGTCGGAGACGCATCAGCAAGAGAAATCGGGGTATTGTATTCAAGCAAAGGCGGAGAGTGGCCATCAAAGGAAGGGGACGACCAAGGAGACGAAGGCCACTCATATGTGGCGATGACCGTTACTACTGTGTCTGTAGCTGTGGCTGATGTGGCTGCAGCTACTGATGAAGCTGTAACCTCGCCAGGTAACGAGGGACGACTTGGGTAGGTGCCGCCCCCAGAATCAGCACCTCCACCTCTAGCACCCCTAAAACCACCTCCAGTGCCAGGACCTCAAGCTCCATTACCTCCAGCTGCTGCACCCCCAGAAATAGCACCGCTAGCTCTAGCACACCCTAATTTTTCACCTCCAGCTCCAGCACCCCAAAAACTAGCACGCACCTACAGTGCCAGTACCTTCAGCTCCAACACCTCCAGCGCCAGCACCCCCAATGGCAGCTCCCCCATAACCAGCAACTCCGGGACCAGCACCTCAGCATCAGCACCCCCAGGGTTCACTGCAACTTGCCGCGGTAGCGCCGAAGGCTGCTGCATCGACTCTGAGGAGGATGTAAGAGACCGTGGTCAAGGAGACGACACCATACGTGCTACCAAGGGAGGAGGAGTAACGTGAGACCTCAGTGGGGGGACGGGTGATGAACCAGGGGTCGGGGAAACCTCCAGGCGCGACACACGCGGCCAAAGGTTCAAAGGGTGCGCGACGTAGCAAACCGCAAAGGGTGCACAAGCATGGTCCATGGAGGTACGGGCGATTTATCTGACCAAGCCTTTGCGGCGGTCAGCAATCCGATTCTTTTGTGGAAAGCCCGGAAGCGTGAAAAGACTGGGTGATGCTTTGCGTAAGACAACACTAGGCAAAAATATGAGAGTGGAATTTATCCCTACTGTTGGAGTGTACACAAAGCACATCAGATGAGCGCTAGGCGCTAGTGGCCAGTAACCACGGGATCAAAGCATCAGGCATATGGGCCTTTTTCTACAAGGGTAACACCATGGTGTAGAGGAGAAGTCGTCTACAACAACAAGGAGGAACCTCACACTGCGTGGCCCAGACGTTCATGTGCAAGGTCTGAAGAGGTACAGTTGCAGGCGAAAGGGAGGAGCGCTACCAACCCTCGACGCAAGGAGAGAGCAGGAAGTAGGAACGCGAGACCTAAAATAAGACCGGGCCTAGACATCTGAAGGAGACGTGGGAGGGTAGGTTGTCCAAGTTGGTGGTGCTATAGGAGTAATGGGCAGGTAAGCGGCCGACACAAGTAGGAGACAGCAGCTCGACAAGCCGCATTTACCTGGGGGGACGGAGTGTGTAGTGTGATGAGACCTGACAAAGGCTCCCGAGAGAACGTTGCAAGATGTGCCCAGCGTCCGTATAGGTCAGAAACCTCTCGTATGCAGGAAAATTGACAATGACATGTCGCGTTATTAACACCTAGCTGACGGCCAAGGAGTGAATCACACAGCACCGAGGTATTTTTCCATTTCTTGCTTTGTACTCTATTTTTGTTTGTGTGCTTGGTGCGAACTGTCTGTTAGAAATGTATGTATAGCATGCTCAGTATAAAAGGGCTTGGGGCTACACCCAACTTTGAGTGTAGCTTGCTTTGTAGATTTATACCGGACTTTGGGGTGTAGAATTGCAAGTTGGGGTGCCAATCCAACCCACAAGTGTTGGAGCCCCCAAGTGCAAGTTAGGTACCCCCTCTTTTCAACCCACAAGTTGGGTGCCCCCTCCTTGCAACCCACATGGTCCCTGTTGCAAGTTGGGTGCCCCCTCCTTGCAAGTTGCCATAGGGACTGCCCAACCACCCAACTTTCCCCCTTTCCTTCCAAGCTCCTTTTGCATCCTATGTATGCCCTCTTGTTCCCTAATGAAGCAAATCATTCAGTTTGCAATCTTCACATGATATAGAGCTAAGTTTTTCTAAGGCCTTACCTCCCCCCTCCAGTTTTTTGTTTTCCAAGGGCCCATCATACGCTTCCCTCACGCCGCGACATCACCGTCGCCGTCGTCCTCCCCCCCCTCCCCATCTCGGCGCTTTCCCGCCGCGGCCTCCCCGCCGCCCCTCGTGCCTTTCCGCCGCGGCCCCCTTCCTCCCCCCTCTCCGCAATTTCCACCGCCGTGATTCCGCCGCGGATTTCGCCGCTGCATCCTGCAGATTTCGCCGCCCGTGCCTCTCTGCCCACGGCCGCGACAGCTACGTCGCCGCCCTCTGATCCCGCTGCCGCGACCTTTCCATCGCCGCCTGCCCTCCCAGCCGCCGCGACCTCGCTGTCGCCGCCTGGCCCTTCCGCCGCCGCGACCTTCTCGTCGTTGCCCGCCCGTCCCGCCGCCGCGACCACGTCGTCGCCGCCTGCTGTACTAGCCGCCGCGACTTCGCGTCGTCGCCTGCCCGTCCCGCGGCCTGCACATCCAACCACCGCAATTGCCTCGTTGTCGCCTGCACGCCCGGGCGCCGCGACACCACCGCAGTCGCCCGCAATTTCCGCCGCCGTGACTGCACCACCGTCGCCCGCGATTTTCGCCGCCGCGAGTGCACCGTCGCCGCCTCTGATTCCCGCCGCCGCGACTGCGACTGCGCGTCACCGCCTGCGCATCCCACCACCACGATTACACCCCCCCCCCCACCGTCACCGCCCGCGGTTTCCGCCGCCGCGACCACATCGTCGCCGCCTGCCCATCCCGCCACCGCGACCCCGTCGCCCTCTGCATATTCCGCCACCACTACACCCTCCCCCCCCCCCCCCCCTCACCGCTCTCTCTCCACCATTTTAGCCGCGGCAGCAGCAGCGCAGTGGCAGCAGCGTCACCAGCGACAGCAGCAGCATCCGCGGCAGCGGCAGCAACAGCGGCAGCAGCAACAGCGGCAGCACCGGCAGCAGCAGCCGCAGCGGCAGCAGCGGCAACGGAGGCAGAAGTGGCAGCGGCAGCAGAAGCGGCAGCAGCGGTGTCCGCGGCAGCGGCGGCAGAAGCGGCAGCAGCGGTGTCCGCGGCAGCAGCAGCAGCAGCAGCAGCCGAAGCCGCACCATCGCATCCTCCTTCTCTCTCCCCCCACCCCCCCCCCCCCCCCCCCCCCCCCCCCGCCCGTCGCCACCCCCTTGACCGCCGTGGGTCCTCCCGCCGTCGTCTCCTCCTTGGCTGCTTCGGGTCCACCCGCCGCCGCCCCTCATGGCTACCACCCCTCCTGCCCCTCTCCCCCCTCCCATCGACGTCTCCTCGGTCGACAAGCTGCAGCTTGCTGCAGATTGCTCCGCCATCAACTGGCACTCGCTTGTCGGCAGCATTCGCCGCGTCCTTCAGGATGCCTTCGTTGGACCCTACTGTGTCCTTCACGTTCTCCTCCACCGTCCGCAGGCTCTCCAGCCGACCGCACCCAATCACCCTTGAGAACCTCCTCCTCTCCCTCCCCCTCCTAGCTCCCCTCCTCTTGAGCCTAACCTGGACGTGGCCGCTACCCCCGAGCTTCAGGCTGCTGCTGACGCCACCTTCCTCCACAACCGCCGCGAATACCTCATCTGCAAAGCCGACCATGACGTTGCTGTGCTCAACCACGAATTTGCAACGTTGGAGCATGCCACTCGCCTGGCGCTGATCGCGGATTACAACACCTCCATGGCAACTTACATCCCTCGATAGCATCGCCTGGGCCGCTACCGACAACCGCGCCTACACCATCCTCCTTGGTGCACTCCCCGATGCCCTCATGCGCCGCTTCCAAGCTCGTGAGATGCGAGCCCACCGGATTTAAACCGAGCTCCATTTTATGTTCGAGCGCCGCGACATCAGCTCCGTCGGCGTCCTCTTCCGAGAGTACTTCTCCATTACCCTCGTTACCTGCAACGACGCAGTCGACTACGTGGGGCGCATGCAGGAGGTAGCCGATCGCCTTGCCGCTCGCGAGGCTGCCCTTCCCGAGCCCCTGCAGATTCATCGTGTGCTCTTCAACCTCACGCCGGATTACGAGTCCTGCCTGCACGCCTTCACCGAGGCAAACCCCTTGGAGGCCTCACTAAGATGACTCAGTGGATCATTGACACGGAGGTCAAGCTCCGCACCCCCATTGTCAACCTCACCACCACTCCTTCCTCCTCCACCTCCCTCAATGCCACGCAGCTGCGCAACCAGGGTGGTCGCAACGGCGACGGAAGGGGTAGTGGAGGGGGTGGAGGTGGTGGTGGTGGTCGGGGTGGTGGCGGTGGTGGTGGTGCTCGTCCTAGTGGTACCACTCCTGGAGGTTCCTCTGGGGCCAGTGGAGCTGTGAGCTGTGGTGGTCGCCCTGGGACTCTCCCCCCCTGCACGTACGTTGGCTGTCATGGTCCCCACGCGGGCACATCGTGTGGTCAGACCAACCACCCCCCTGCCACATGCTTCAAGGCGCTCGATGACGCCTGGTTTGACCGCGGCAACACTGGTACCCCTCCTCACTGGAACAGTGTTACCCCTCGCCCCTCCCTCGTAAACATTCACGCCCTTCCCTCCTTCCTCCCCGCTCACCTCCGCCTGCTCACCCCATCTCCCCCTTCCCAATTGCAGCAGTTTCAGCAGCAGTAGCAGCAGCAGTACTTCCTGCAGCAGCAGCAGCCACTGTTTCTCCAGCCACAGCAGCCGCAGTTTCTCCAGCCGCATCAGCCAATGCAGCAGCAGTTCCTCCAGCAGTAGCAGCCGTCGCAGAACCTTCCACCGCAGTGGCAACAGCAGCCGATGACCTTCGGCACAGCGGTCATGGCCGCTCATGCCTCCCACGCTCCCCCCCCCCCCCGGGGTTCCATCCCCTCTGCCCCCCCAGTGTCCCTGACTCTTAGGGCAGTTTCCTTGGTCATGTTGCTGTTGCACCATCCGTCGTTTCCATGTATCCCTTTGCTATCAATGAGACGTCTTTCCAGTACCCCGTGTCACCTCCCCCTCCTTCCTCCCCCACCTTGGACTTTGTCCTTGACAGCGGGGCCACAAAAACTGCACTCAAAGACGCTGGCACCCTGACCACCCTTCCACTTCCCACCCAGGTTCATGGTGCTGACTCCAGCTTCTCCATCCCATGCACTCACCTTTTCACCCTCCCTTGCACTACTTTCCCATCCGGTAAGGTCACAATTCTCCACATTCCTACCCTCACAACAACCTCCTGTCTCATCGAGAGCTTCAAGATATTGGTATTACCGCCATTTACCCTAATTTTGCTACCTATTGTGATCTCTACCACACAGCCTCGGGTTGCTTCCTTCTGCGCATTTCCCTTTGCCCTCGCACTCACCTTTACACAATCCGCACATCCCATCCCTCTTTCTGTCATGTTACCACTCGTGCTATTACTTCCACCGGTCCTCCTCCCCCTCTCCCTCCCCCTCAGGTATCCTCCCCCCCCCACTTCACCCTCCTCCTCCTCCCTCCCCACCTCTTCTCCTAGCCCACCCCCCTCCTCCTCCATTGCACTCTCCCACCCAGCAGTCATTTTACATCACAGACTCGGCCACACCACTTCGCCGCACTTCGGACCACTGTCACCTCTCGCCTCCTTCACAGCCTCCCTCCCACCTTACCTCCCCTCCTCTCCTCCCCTTCTCCCCCATGCCCATCATGCATTCATGGCAAGCTCAAATGGTCCCCCTATCACAACCATCCCACCTTTGCTGCCACTCCCATTGACCTTGTCCACATGGATCTATGGGGTCCCTATCCCATCCGCTCCCGTCAGAGGCTCCGGTACATGCTCGTCGTCGTCGACGACAACAGTCAACACTCCACTGTCTTTTTCCTTCACACCAAAGACTAGGTGTTGGCTGTGGTCATCAACTGGGCTGAGCAGTGTCGCACTCACTTCAAACGCCCCATTGGCCGCCTTCACTTTGACGATGGGGGTGAGTTCATCAACAACACCCCTACCACCTTCTGCAAAACTCATGGCATTCAGCAAAACTCCACCCTCCCCCACTCCCCTCAATACAATGGCATTGCTGAGAGTCGGAGTCGTGAAATCACCAAAATTGCCCGTTGCCTCATTGCTCACGCCTCCACCCCTCCTTCCCTTTGGATCTATGCCCTCCATCATGCCGCCCTCTTAATCAACCTCCGCTCCCACCCTCAGCATCCCTCCTCCTCCTCCACGGAACTCTGGTCTAAGGCTAAGCCTAACGCTGCCGGCCTTCGCGTTTGGGGTTGCAAGTCCTACGTCCTCATCCCACCGACCGATCGCTCCCGCGCCGCTGGGAAACTCGCCCCTCGTGCCCTGGAGTGCGTCTACCTCGAGCACAATCGCGACTCCCTAGGCTACCTGTTCCTCCACCCTCCCCCCAACCGCCTCATCCGCAACATTGACGTCGTCTTCAACAAGTCCATTCCCTACTACTCCAATCCTCCTCTTGACCCTCTCCCTCCTCCCTCTCGCCCCCTCGCGTCCTCCCACTTCTCCTCCCTCCCGCTCCTCTCCTCTTCCCTGTTGCCGCTCCGCTCCCTCCGTCCTCCTCTGCCGACATCTACGACCCCGCCGCACCCGCCTCCTCGGCCCACTCAGCTGCGCCCCCGCCCCCCTCTCCCTCCTCCTCTCACTCTCCCCATTCTCTGCAGCGGCCGGACCAACAGCAGCAGCAGCAGCAGCCGAGTCATCAGCAGGGGCAGCAGCAGCAGCAGCCGGGTCAGCAGCAGCAGCAGTCAGGTCAGCAGCAGGGGCAGCAGCAGCACCAGCGGCGGCGGCAGCACCAAGCAACTTCCCGCTCCTCCCCTTTCCTCCTCCCTCGCATGCTACACCCGCTCCCTAGACAGACTCATTGGAGCCCCTCCTCCCGCCTCCATCCATTTGCTTGAGGACTCCCATGAAGAGTTCCTCAACATTCGGCACCACACTCCTTTCATTGCCTCCATCTTCCTTCACTTCCTTGGCCTTCCCGTCCTTGGCGCTACCTCCACCCCCACCATCTTCACTCCCTCCATCTGTCAAGAGGTCATCACCTGCCCTGATGCAGACAAGTGGATAGCGGCAATCTTTTTGGAGTGCATTCGTTCGCAACGGCTATTTCATTGATGTCTTCCTCTCGGCCGACGCCAACCTTGTGGAGGGCAAGTGGGTCTTTCGGGTGAAGCAGCTGCCGGGCGAGGATCTGGTCTACAAGGCCCGCTACTGTGCTAAAGGTTTAACCCAGACTTGGGCTGCAGATTACCCATTCTCCTACGCCCCCACCGCCAAGCCGCCCACCCTTCGCACCCTCCTCGACGTTGGTGTGTGCAACGATATGGAGATCTGCTCCATGGACGTCTCCAATGCGTTCCTGCAGGGGGGCCTGGGCTTAGTAGGCAGAAATGATGGCTAAGGTTTTGTTAGGGCCTAGGCTTAGTAGCCTAGGCCAAGGAGGAACTTTAGGGTTGTGCCAAGAAGAAGAGAGAATGAGATGGTTTGACTATGGAAGAGCAGGTACAAATAGAAGAGAACCAGCAAGGAGTGGTGCACCACCACACAAAACACTAGGTAACTACTCTACAGCTAGAACTACATGCACTTATACAGACATATATATAAGATATATTCTGACACACCCCCTGAGTGCATGCAGGATTAGCCATTGAGCAGAACACCCCTGAAGTGGTACACCCTGTAGGGCGCAGCAAAAGTAGAGGCGAAGTGAGGAGGAGGGGAAGGAACTGTGAAAGGAGAGGAGATAGGAGGCGACGGCTGAAGCCGCAGACACACGGGAGACAGGACGGCAGCCTCCGCTCAACCTCCCCCAACTGTCCCACCCCCCTTTCACACACCCACTGCTGCACCCCTAGTTCCACTACCACGGCACCCCCCTAGCGCCACTCTCCTCGGCTCCCACACATCCACCCCTCTCAGCGGCAGCTGCAGCAATGGGAGACGGAGGAGGAGGAGGAGGAGGAGGGGACGGCTCACACACCCGCCACCCCCATACCCGCCACCCCCATACCCTGGGTGTGCGGTAAGCGAGTTCAGGTGTGCGCGAAGCGAGTTCAGGTGTGCGCGAAGCGAGCACAAGCGTGCAGGAAGCGAACTCGGTTGTGCGGAAAGCGAACTCGGGTGTGCGGGGAGGGGGCCGCAGAGCGACGCGCGGGTCGACGGGGCCGCCGCGAAGGGCAATTGGCAGAGCAGAGCGCACGAGAGCACGGGCAGCAGCAGAGCGCACGAGGGCGCGGGCAGAGCAGAGCGCACGAGGGCGCGGGTAAGACAGAGCGCACGAGGGGGCGAGCAGAGCAGAGCGCACGAGGGCGCGGGCAGCAGCAGGGCGCACGAGGGCGCGGGCAGTAGCAGGGCGCACGAGGGCGCGGGCAGCAGCAGGGCGCACGAGGGCGCGGGCAGCAGCAGGGCGCACGAGGGCGCGGGCAGCAGCAGGGCGCACGAGGGCGCGGGCAGCAGCAGGGCGCACGAGGGCGCGGGCAGCAGCAGGGCGCACGAGGGCGCGGGCAGCAGCAGGGCGCACGAGGGCGCGGGCAGCAGCAGGGCGCACGAGGGCGCGGGCAGCAGCAGGGCGCACGAGGGCGCGGGCAGCAGCAGGGCGCACGAGGGCGCGGGCAGCAGCAGGGCGCACGAGGGCGCGGGCAGCAGCAGGGCGCACGAGGGCGCGGGCAGCAGCAGGGCGCACGAGGGCGCGGGCAGCAGCAGGGCGCACGAGGGCGCGGGCAGCAGCAGGGCGCACGAGGGCGCGGGCAGCAGCAGGGCGCACGAGGGCGCGGGCAGCAGCAGGGCGCACGAGGGCGCGGGCAGCAGCAGGGCGCACGAGGGCGCGGGCAGCAGCAGGGCGCACGAGGGCGCGGGCAGCAGCAGGGCGCACGAGGGCGCGGGCAGCAGCAGGGCGCACGAGGGCGCGGGCAGCAGCAGGGCGCACGAGGGCGCGGGCAGCAGCAGGGCGCACGAGGGCGCGGGCAGCAGCAGGGCGCACGAGGGCGCGGGCAGCAGCAGGGGCGCACGAGGGCGCGGGCAGCAGCAGGGCGCACGAGGGCGCGGGCAGCAGCAGGGCGCACGAGGGCGCGGGCAGCAGCAGGGCGCACGAGGGCGCGGGCAGCAGCAGGGCGCACGAGGGCGCGGGCAGCAGCAGGGCGCACGAGGGCGCGGGCAGCAGCAGGGCGCACGAGGGCGCGGGCAGCAGCAGGGCGCACGAGGGCGCGGGCAGCAGCAGGGCGCACGAGGGCGCGGGCAGCAGCAGGGCGCACGAGGGCGCGGGCAGCAGCAGGGCGCACGAGGGCGCGGGCAGCAGCAGGGCGCACGAGGGCGCGGGCAGCAGCAGGGCGCACGAGGGCGCGGGCAGCAGCAGGGCGCACGAGGGCGCGGGCAGCAGCAGGGCGCACGAGGGCGCGGGCAGCAGCAGGGCGCACGAGGGCGCGGGCAGCAGCAGGGCGCACGAGGGCGCGGGCAGCAGCAGGGCGCACGAGGGCGCGGGCAGCAGCAGGGCGCACGAGGGCGCGGGCAGCAGCAGGGCGCACGCACGAGGGCGCGGGCAGCAGCAGGGCGCACGCACGAGGGCGCGGGCAGCAGCAGGGCGCACGCACGAGGGCGCGGGCAGCAGCAGGGCGGCTGCACGAGGGCGCGGGCGAGACAGGGCGCACGCACGAGGGCGCGGGCGAGACAGGGCGGCTGCACGAGGGCGCGGGCGAGACAGGGCGGCTGCACGAGGGCGCGGGCGAGACAGGGCGGCTGCACAAGGGCGCGGGCGAGACAGGGCGGCTGCACGAGGGCAGGCGCGGACAGGACGGAGGCGGCTGCTACAGGGGCGGCGTCGCGGGGTCCAAGGGCAGCTGCACCAGGGGCGGCTGCTCAGGTTCAGGGGCGGCTGCACCAGGGGCGGCTGCTCCAGGGGCGGCTGCACCAGGGGCGGCGGCTCCAGTGGAGGTTGCACCAGGGGCGGCTGCTGCAGGGGCGGCTGCTCCAGAGGCCAGGGGCGGCTGCTCCAGGGGCCAGGGGCGGCTGCGCCAGGGGCGGCTGCTGCAGACCCGCCACCCCCATACCCGTCACCCCCATACCCTGAGTGTGCGGTAAGCAAACTCAGGTGTGCGGAAAGCGAACTCGGGTGCGCGGAAAGCGAGCTCGGGTGCGTGGAAAGCGAACTCAGGTGTGCAGGGAGGGGGGCCGCACGGTGACGCGCGGGCCGACTTGGACGAGCGCACGGATCCCCGGGGGCGGCGCGCGGGTTTACGGGGCCGCCGCGAAGGGCGACGGGGAGCCGCACGCGGGTCGACGGGGCCGCTGCGAAGGGCGACGGGGAGCCGCGCGCGGGTCGACGGGGCCGCCGCGAAGGGCGACGAGGAGTCGCGCGCGGGTCGACGGGGCCGCCGCGAAGGGCGACGGGGAGCCGTGCGCAGGTCGACGGGGACAGGCGAGAAATCGTCACGTGCCCCGAGCGCGTGGCGGGCAGAAAACCGCCATGCGCCAGGAGCGCATGGCGGGAAGAAAAAGCGTCGCGCGCCACGGGGCGCGCGACAGACAGGAATGCAGCGGAAGCTTTAGGTGGGCCCATAGGCCAAGAGCGTAACAGCTCTGATTCCATGTTGAAATAGTAGGCAGAAGTGATGGCTAGGGTTTTGTTAGGGCCTAGGCTTAGTAGCCTAGGCCAAGGAGGAACTTTAGGGTTGTGCCAAGAAGAAGAGAGAATGAGATGGTTTGACTATGGAAGAGCAGGTACAAATAGAAGAGAACCAGCAAGGAGTGGTGCACCACCACACAAAACACTAGGTAACTACTCTACAGCTAGAACTACATGCACTTATAAAGACATATATATAAGATATCTTCTGACACCATTCTCCTACGCCCCCACCGCCAAGCCGCCCACCCTTCGCACCCTCCTCAACGTTGGTGTGTGCGACGATATGGAGATCTGCTCCATGGACGTCTCCAACGCGTTCCTGCAGGGGGACCTGCATGAGCGCATCTTCCTCCGACGCCCCTCCGGGTTTCACGCCGCCTTCCCAGAGAACAGTGTGTGGCAGCTGCGTCAACCTTCCCAGAGAACACTATGTGGCAGCTGCGTCGACCTTCCCAGAGAACACTGTGTGGCAGCTTCATCGACCTGTCTACGTGTTGAAGCAGGTGCCAAGGGAGTGGCACGCGAAGCTGTCTGCTACCCTGGGGTCCCTCGACTTCTCTGCCTTGCATTCTGATGCCAGTCTCGTCCTTCGCTCCTCACCTTGCCGCTTCTTCATTCTATTGTATGTGGATGACATGATCCTGCTCGCTGACTTCAAGGCTGATATGGATCAAGTGCAAGGACCTAGGCGACCTCCCGCACTACCTGGGCATGGCTATCACTCAGGACCGTCCTGCTCGCACCATCACCCGCTCCCAGTCCATTACATCGGCCAGGTCTTAGAGAAGTTCGAGATGGCGCAGGCCAGTCCCATGGCCACCCCCCTCCCTTTTGGCCACCAGCTTGCCCCACCCACTTCTCCGTCCTCCTCCACTCGCCCCTATGCTGAGCTCGTTGGGTCGTTGATGTATGCTATGATGTGCACCCGCCCTGACCTCGCCACAAGAAGGTGCGCGAGCTTGTCCAGCACAGCCTTCTTGCAGTGCGCAAGATTGCTGCTGAGGCCAACTTGGTCGACATCTTCACCAAGGCCCTCCTTCGCCCTGCGCACTCTGCTCTCCTCCGCCTCATCAGCCTTGCTCGCCCCTTGATTCGAGGGTTGTCACCTTCTTGTCTTCGCATGCTAAGGGTTTGTTAGAAATGTATGTATAGCATGCTAAGTAATAAAGAGGTTGGGTCTACACCCAAGTTTGGGTGTAGCTTGCTTTGTAGATCTACAACCAACTTTGGGGTGTAAACTTGCAAGTTGGGGTGCCAATCCAACCCACAAATGTTGGAGCCCCCAAGTGCAAGTTGGGTACCCCCTCTTTGCAACCCACAAGTTGGGTGCCCCCTCCTTGCAACCCACATGGTCCTTGTTGCAAGCTGGGTGCCCCCTCCTTACAAGTTGCCATATGGACTACCCAACCACCCAACTTTCCCCGTTCCCTTCCAAGCTCCTCTTGCATCCTATGTATGCCCTCTTGTTCCCTAATGAAGTAAATCGTTCAGTTTACAATCTTCACACTGTATTTACGCTTTACAGAACCGAGTGCTGGGGAAATATGAAGATGTTGGTGCGGAGGGGTGAATTCAATTCGATCTGGGAAGACGATCTCAAGTTGGGAATGCGATTCCAGCCGCGCATTTGATTCCAAGCCTAGAATTTGATTCCAGCTAGAAGTCAGTGCATGCCCAGTGGGCCTAGTGGGACCCAGCCGGCACATAGGAGCCATCACGAGCGCTTGGCACTAGAGCTAGCGCGTGGAGGAAGGAAGCTAGGCAGGAAAGGGAAGAATGTTGTCGGGGTTAGCACTCTGGTTTCTCGCCTTTTGCTTGTTTGTTTCTCTCGATACCGCAATTTGCCTGCCGCTATTCGCTCTTTGTTTCCTTAGCCGGGAAGGCAAGCAGTTAAGAGAAGCTCAGGCAAATTGACGGAGCCCTTGCGAGGGAGAGAATAAAGTCTTGTTGCAATCAAGCAAAAAGGGGTGGTAGAGAAGCGTACGGGCGCAGAGGTCAGGTGTTAGCCTCGGCGACGGGGCCGTGAGGCATGGATGACACTGGTTGCGATCCACACGTCCATCAGCTACAGTCGGGATAGAGGTATTCCACGAGGGACATGGAAGACCAAGGAGAGCGGCCTGTGAGGCCTGGATTTCGTGCAGGAGGAGTTAGCGAAGCGCACGGAGAAAAGGACCTTGATTAGTTGAAGGAGGGTGAGAATCAGCAGGAGAATCCGCCCAGCTCGGTGTATCATTCGCTAAAGCGACACGGCGAGGCGGAGTCTGTTCACGAAGGATCCTAGCGAGGAAAGACCGTACAGCACGTGGATGACCTGTCCTGTAACCCGCCAACGCCAGAACCCGCGCAAACACTGATCTCCTTGGCAAGACAAACAGAGTCGTGTGGGGCAAGGGAAAGCAAGTAGCCCTCTGGGAAGACAAAGAGGCATTAGCAAGGATCAAGGGGGGAGCGGAGGAAGACGAAGCAGTGGCAGATACGGCAAAGGCGAGAGGGCACTATGGAGATGGAACCTGGTACCTGCACTACGAGACATGGAGACAGTTATCAAGGAGATGCATATGAAGCTGGGCCACCACGGCCATGATAGGACGGCACAGCTACTGAAGACCCGGTGGTGGTGGGGAGGGATGTAGATGCAATTGAAGGAGTGGGTGGGGGCATGTCAGGCATGCCTACCGAGCTAGGCCAATTTAGCACAGGGCAGGGCCGGGCTGCAGCCCCTAATCATATGTGGGTTGGGATTCAAGTGGTCGCTGGATTTGGCAAGGGAAATGCCACTGAGCAGGAGAGGGAAGCAGTATGTAGTGCTCATGGTCGAGCACATGAGCAAGTGGCTGGAAGTGAGGGCGCTACCAAGAGAAATTTAAAATCATGTAGGAGAAGCCTTCAGAAACAGGTCCTGTGCAAATATGGGGCATGTGGGTGGTCCTCAAGGACCAAGGGAACGAGAGCTTCAGAGGGATTTCAAGCAGCTACTGGTGCAAGTGGAGATTACTTATTGGCATACCTCACGGTACCACTCGCAGAGAGACAAGGTGACTGAGCCTCTAGTGCAGACCCTAAAGAGAGGGCTACATGGATACGGGGAACAGGGGAAGCGAGACAGGGATAGAGCTGCATTGAATTGCAGAAGGTTATGAATTCGAAAAGCAAGCAGCACTCAAGGACCACTTACCCTACAGCCTGATGTACAGGCGAGAATCAAAGCTACCAATGGGGTCCCCACGGTGCTGACAGTTACAATCACCACGGGAACCATTGAGAACTGCGTGGTGCTGGCGGAGGAGAGTGCATGGTACCTAGAAGTTATTATGCCAGCAGCACTAAAGAATCTTAACACTTCTCAATTATGTGATGCAAGGCGATATGAGCAGAGGCACGGGAGGGCGCAGAAATGGGCAAGTGAGGACTAGGAGGTATAGCCGAGGTGATCAAAGCATGACTCGCTCGCTGTGGGCCTAGGGACTGAACGGTGGAGGGTGAAGGAGGTGCGGGACTCAGGGGTATTGGTGCTGGATAATGGCCAAGGCGCCAGGGTACAAGAGCACCAAACAAACACGGTGGCGATCCAAGGACCCAGGCATCCGCATCATGGTCTTGCGACACGTGGCAAGGAAGGAGTAGGTGGTGACCGAGGCAAACCAGAACTTTACAGGGAAGAACATAGGATGGCAAGGAAGAAATGCAGGGAGGAAGAGTAAGGCTGTTCTCCGACATGGGAGTGTGGGGTACTTTTCCATAACGAGTTCATACGAGATCCGGTTATAGAGGAAGCAATGGAGGTTGGTGAAAGAGGTTGAAGGAGGGATGCACAGGAAGAGGAGGGCATTGACGTCTTTGATGTGAAGTGTTGGGAGGGTAAGGAACGATTTTCGTACTGACCAGCGTGCTGGAGAGCAGCGAAGGCACTGGTGAAGGCAGCAGCAGCGAGATACCTGGCTATAGCAAAAGCAGGAGCAGCACAAGGAAGCATGGGAACAAGCATCTTGCCTTTGCAACGGCTGTCCGTTGCTGACTGTGTTGTTGGCCCTCGAGTCCTTCCCTGGATGCCCCACGTGACGTCCTTGCAACACCTCTCTCTCAGCCACGTCCTCTGATGCGCAAAGCTTTACTGCACTGAGCAGCAATTCAACGAGCCTCACAATTGCGGTGCGTGCTGCGAGCTTAATCCTCGAGGAGGAGCATTGGGAGAGTCTCACGTCACTGCAGCAGGTTGAGACATGCGCGTGCTGTCCCATAGTTGTACATTTGGAGTGGTAGCCTCTTGTGCATGTGGTTCATACAACAGCAGCAGACGAGCAGGATTTATGCTCAGAGAGTTGGGAGGAACCAATGTTCTGGGATCAGTCCAGGGAGCTGACACCAATGCGTGTCTGTCATCATCGGCCATGCTGACAAGCACTAGCCAATCTTTGCATAGGAACATGCCATCTCAAACATCATAGCGCTGTAAAGAGATGACTGAGATACAGTCACAGAAATGCAAGTGAACGTATTATGGAGCCCCACCGAAGTAACCCATTCTTAATTTGTAACACACATGTTTTGTACACCTATCCGGAGCATTTTTTTCCTGCCAGAATTCCTTTTTGCTTTCATGTAACCATAGCAGGCCCCTAGATTCGTTTTGAGGTAGTCTGACGCCTCAGAGTACACCCCTCCTGGAACTCTGTCTGTCTGAGGTGCCTCAAAATTTTAGTCTGAAAATTCAGACAAGCACAACTTTTTTTGTCTGAACTGACAGAGTTACCCTCAAATTTTAAGATGATGATGCAGCATCGTAAAAGCATATTTATAATAGCATTGAAGCTGATTACAGCATACCAACTCAACTGTGCGGTACGAACCAGTCAGGGTCGGCAGGTTTGCATCAGGCAACGTGCTCGTGCATCGCCTTGGTTGTTTTGTCACGTGCAGCGCATGGGTTGTTTCTGCTGATTAGATTTCGTTTCGTCGTGTGTCTGATTACCGTTCTGTACCCATTTTCTCGCCTGTGTGCCGATTTTGTCAATTTTGCATTTGCGTTTCAAGCGATGTGATCATTCACCCGATCTGGTTGTTGTCACGTACAGTGCCAGGTGGGCCAAGTGCCACGCAGCTGAGCTGGCAGCAGGCAGAAACTGTTGGTTGGCGTGGCGTGTGTGAGCATCTGGCAGTGCCGCACGAAACTTTCATTACGAATCAGGAGCTTCGCAATTTCACAGCAGTGCATGCTGCAGATTTTTTTACAAAGAATCAACATCAAAATCGCCAATTCTTTAAAATACATTAGCGATAACTTACATGTGACGAGATTTTGTCTACGAAATCTCGTAATCACGCAACCATTTTCTTAGTGTAACTGGGAGATATTCTCGACGAACGAGTGTATTCGGATGTCCCAGCTGTTGAAGCGTGCGTTGCTCACGTCCTGGCACTCCACTGCCATCTCGGAAGTGGGCATATCGAAACGAAACTTCCAGGAAACTTCGTTTCGATAAGCTCGCAGAGTGCACCCCCGACACAAGTCTGAGGCTCAGCCTACACCCCTAAAAATTGGCTGAAATTTCAGCAGTTACAATAAAAAAAACTCTGAAAAATCAGAGAAGGTACATAAAAAAAAACTTACAGTTCAGACCAGGTACCAAAAAAAAGTCTGAATGGACGCTGAATCAGCGTAAAAAGTCTGATATCTAGGGCACTGAACCACAGTAAGTGCAGCAGGGCAATGCCATCTCAGCTGCCATTTACACCGCTGGCCACCATGCTTGCTGCTTCTCTCATCAAGGTGGCACCAGAATGATCATGTCCTGAACTACGTGCCGGTTCTTCCCATTATCAACGCACTATAGAAAAAACAGAAATGCCCAAACGGCCCTGAAAACACAGATGCCATAGATACCCCGGATACCGTAAAAGACCCGGGGGTATTAACAGTGGGATGTGTTTTTTAAGACCCGGGTCTTATCATATCACAAGGTCATGCATAAGGTCATGTGTTTTGGAAGCTAAACATGTCAACAGTACGTGCTACGTTTTTAGCGTTCCTACATGAAGGCACACGAGCTCCTACACACAAGCCCATCTGCACCTCACTGCCATGGGCGCCTGCCACCCTATCTCTGCCCCACTGCCATGGGCGCCCGCCACCCTATCTCTGCCCCACTGCCATGGGCGCCCGGCCTGCTGCAGCCCCCACGCGCTGCCGCCTCTGCTGGCGCCTGGCATTGTCGGCCTCAAAGTGCGCCAACGCTGCATCCAGACTCTGGTGCCCACCGTGGGGTGGGATGGGGTGGGGCCACCCACAGGGCGAGGCGGTCGTGGTGGGAGGGAAGGGAGGGAAAGGGATGAAGGGGAGAGGGAAGAGGAGTGAGGTGCGAGGTGTGCAGAGCACGCAGGCAGCTCGAGTGGTGCCTCTCCCCTGCAACCCAGTGTCCACAGCGCTATGTTGTATAAAAAGTGCCTCTCCTCTTGCCACACACGTGCTCCGTCTGCCCGCCTGACCTTCCAAGTGCGCCAATGCTGCTCGCTCTGCCGGGTCAGGTGGTGGGGCCAAAAAGGGGGGACGGAGGCTGCTGGACGGAAGAATATAGGAAGGAGAGGCAGAATGGAGGAGAGCAGCTAGTAAGTGCACCTGGAAGAAGGGCTGCAGCAGCAAGTGCACCTGGAAGAAGGGCTGTAGCAGCAAGTGCACCTGGAAGAAGGGCTGTAGCAGCAAGTGCACCTGGAAGAAGGGCTGTAGCAGCAAGTGCACCTGGAAGAAGGGCTGTAGCAGCAAGTGCACCTGGAAGAAGGGCTGTAGCAGCAAGTGCACCTGGAAGAAGGGCTGTAGCAGCAAGTGCACCTGGAAGAAGGGCTGTAGCAGCAAGTGCACCTGGAAGAAGGGCTGTAGCAGCAAGTGCACCTGGAAGAAGGGCTGTAGCAGCAAGTGCACCTGGAAGAAGGGCTGTAGCAGCAAGTGCACCTGGAAGAATGGCTGTAGCAGCAAGTGCACCTGGAAGAAGGGCTGTAGCAGCAAGTGCACCTGGAAGAATGGCTGTAGCAGCAAGTGCACCTGGAAGAAGGGCTGTAGCAGCAAGTGCACCTGGAAGAAGGGCTGTAGCAGCAAGTGCACCTGGAAGAAGGGCTGTAGCAGCAAGTGCACCTGGAAGAAGGGATGTAGCAGCAAGTGCACCTGGAAGAAGGGCTGTAGCAGCAAGTGCACCTGGAAGAAGGGCTGTAGCACCAAGTGCACCTGGAAGAAGGGCTGTAGCAGCAAGTGCACCTGGAAGAAGGGCTGTAGCAGCTGTGAAAGCAGGTGGCGGTTGGCCCCATCTGCTCCATCCTTCAGTTTCTGCACTCGGAGGGTGGGAGAAGATGAGGGGGAACACAGAAAAGCGTTGATGGGTGTTGGGTGACGAGGAAAGGGGAAGAAGAGGGGGCAAGAAGAAGCAGCAGAGCAACAGAGGGAAGAGGGGAAAGCAGCAACAGAAGCAGAGAGGGAGGGCGTGGGTGACCTGCAGGCGGTCGTACAGCTTGCTGATGCCCTCCTTGTGCCGCTCCGCCTGGCCACCATGGTGGGTGGGAGAGGGGAGGTGGGGTGCATGACAGGTGAGGCGCATGGGAGGTGACGCGATGAGGTGAAAGGAGGCAGAGGGAGCAGCATGGACGACGGGATGAGGCGGGCACAAGGGTTGGTGCGGTGGGGTGGGGAGGGGTTCTGTGCGTACCTTGGCGAGCAGGGCAGCGCTGGTGAGGGGGTAGGTGGCCCAGAAGTGTGAGAGCAGCTCCTTCACTGCCTCTCCGTGCTGATGCACGTGGGTGTGCGGCATGACGCAATGGGAGCATGAATGCGACAATTGGGGCGATGAGGGCATGCACGCAGCACATGGGACATGGGGGATATGGGAAGAAAGCACAGCACACGGGTTGTTGCAGAGAGGCATTACAAGGGATGGAATGCGAAGCTACATGCGCATAGCATCCCATGAACGCCTTGCTTGTCACGCCCTCCCCCCATGCTCTGCCTGCCGTGCCATGGGTGGGGGCATGAGGAAGCAACGTGCCAGCCACTGCAAGCAGCAAGGAAGTGCCCAGCACAAGAGGCGGTGGGGCCATGAAGGGGCAGCAGGCAAGCCAACCCACCGCGAGCAGGGAGGTGCGCAGGGCGTCGGGCAGCTGCTTCAGCAGCGACTGCTCCGCCGCCTCCCCCACTCCCCGCCTCGCCACCGCCACCTGCCGCCCAAACTCCTCCACCTCCTGCAGCCGGGTGGGTGGTGTGGGATGGGGAGGGGTGTTGGGGGTGGGGAGCCCTGGGTGAGGGAAGGGTGTGCCAAGTGTAGTGAGTGAGTGGTGGGCACGAGTGCGTGGTAATAATGTGAGGGTCACCATGCTGTACCCATCCATGCTGTACCCATCCATGCTGTACCCATCCATGCTGTACCCATCCATGCTGTACCCATCCTTGCTGCCCCCATGCATTCTGCCCCCATGCGTTCCGCCCCCACCCCATGCATCCTGCACTTTAACCTTTTCCCCACACAGCTTCTCACCTGAGCAGCAGCAGCAGGCGCCATCACTGCCGCTGCACCTCCCTTGCCTCCCCCACCTCGTTTTCCGTGCTCCCTGCTGCTGCCTCCGCTCCCCCCCGCTGCCAGCTCACTCCGAAACGCTGCCAGCGAGGCTGCCAGTGTGGTGCGTGTGCCAGCTAGCGCTGAGTCAGCGGCGGGTGCAGGGCCGTCCAGGTCCATTGCATCTGGCGCAGCTGCCTGGCCCGCTTGCTGCTGTGTGTGCGCTGTGTCCCTCTGCGTGGCGGCATCAAAGTACTTGCGTGGGTCCTGCCGTGTGGCGGGTGGGGGGAAGGGGGGTGCAGATGGGTGGAGCGCGGATGAACGGAAGGGGGAGCAAGTGCAGAGGTGAGTGCAAAGGTTGAATAGGTGAACAGAAGCAGGAAAAGAGTGGGGATAGTGGTGAGAGTGGTCAGAGTGAACGAGGTTGGTGAGAGCATGTGAGCACCCGAGTGAGCAAGAGTGAGAGGTGAGCCAATGGCACATGGCATGGCACATGGCATGGCACATGGCATGGCACATGGCATGGCACATCACACATGCAGTGTGCCACGTGCCCCAACATACATACCACCATTCATGCCAGATCCACGTGCCTGGATGGTGAGGGGGATGGTGGTGGCAGGGGCGTCCCCTCGGAGGTCCGCCATCACCGCCATCTCGCGCACCCTCTCCCTCCGCCACTCCTCCTCCGCCCCCTGCTCCCCTGCCGTGCCTGCTGGGAGGGGGGGGGAAGGAGAGGGACATGGGGAGGTTTGTTGTAGGGAGGGAGGAGGGGAGGTGTGAGGACGCTGGTGGATTTCCATTGAGATAACTTGGGAGTAAAGTCATGCAAAATGACCTTTTTGCTGAGTTGCATGCACCATAGCTTGCCATTCGTTCCAGCTCAAGTGCCACTGCAGCACAGCTTCGCCAACACCCCACTGTGCAGTCACCTGACCTTTCCTCCACCCCACCTCGTACCTCTATGCTTTCCTTCCCACACCACCACACCACACCACACCATAGTGTTCATTTGTCAACAACACATTTCCCTTCCAATTGTTTAACTCTTTTGCCCACTTCATCTGCTATGCCCCCTTTATCCCTCATGTCACACCCCTCCCTCCACCTGCCTCCCCCCACCCGCCCTCCCCCTTGTGCCCTCCCCCAGAAGCCATCCCTCCTCCACCTGCCCCCCCCACCCGCCCTCCCCCTTGTGCCCTCCCCCTTGTGCCCTCCCCCAGAAGCCATCCCTCCTCCACCTGCCTCCCCCCACCCACCTCACCTCTGCGCCCTCCCCCTTAAGCCCTCCCCTCTGTGCCCTCCCCCCTAAGCCCTCCCCCGTGCGCCCTCCCCCCTAACCCCATAACCCCCTGCTCCCTGCCCCCTGCCCCCTGCCCCACCAGCCTGGAGGGCCGTGGCCTCGGCGACGGCAGTGGCGAGCTCCCTGGTGTCCGCCACGTCCTCCTCTGCGCGCACAGCACACGCATGGGGGGTCGGGGGGCAGGGGAAAGATGAGAGAAGGAGGGTGCGGGCGAACAGCAGTGGCGAGCTCCCTGGTGTCCGCCACGTCCTCCTCTGCTCCGCCATCCACATGCATCAGATAAGATGGGCGATGACACGCACCGGGGGGAGGCAAGAACATGAAAGAAAGAAAGAAAGAAAGAAAGAAGGAAAGGTAGGTTTACTATTGGTTCCGCCAGGTTGCCGTTGGACTTTGGTCTCTTGGACTTGTGGGTCTTACGGTGAGCGGGGGCATGGGGGGCATAGGGGGCATGGGGTGGAGACGACAGGCATGGGGGGCATGGGGTGGAGACGACAGGCATGGGGGGCATGGGGTGGAGACGACAGGCATGGGGGGCATGGGGTGGAGACGACAGGCATGGGGGGCATGGGGTGGAGACGACAGGCATGGGGGGCATGGGGTGGAGACGACAGGCATGGGGGGCATGGGGTGGAGACGACAGGCATGGGGGGCATGGGGTGGAGACGACAGGCATGGGGGGCATGGGGTGGAGACGACAGGCATGGGGGGCATGGGGTGGAGACGACAGGCATGGGGGGCATGAGCAACACGAGAGACACGAGGGAGGAGGGCGAGGGCGAGTGGGCGTACAGCCTGACGCCCCTGTTAGACGCGCTCAAGGCACTGGTTGGCCGCACACGAGGAGAGACGGGCGAGGGAGGGCGAGAGGACTCGTGTGAGACGGGGGATGGGGGAGAGGCGGGGGAGCAAGCACAGGGGGGCGGGGGCACTCACGGAGCAGGCGGCCCTGCAGCACGACAGCGGCGTGCTGGTTGATGTCGCGGAATATCGTGCGCCTCATGCGCACCTGCCCTTCCGCCCCCACACCGCTGCTGCCACCACCACCACCGGCACCAGCAGCGCCACCAGCGCTGCTGCTCCTGCCCAACTGCCCGCCCGCCCCTGCCCCCTCCTGCCTTGCTGTGCCCTCCTTCTCGCCCTCGCCCTCGCCCTCGCCCTCCACAGCTGGTGCCTCCTTGCGCCCATCCCTCAGAATGCCGTGGCCCTGCCATGCCATGCCATGCGCAAGGTAGTTACGCAAGGAGGCACAGGGATGGGGCACAGAGGTGGCCTAACGAGGTGGGAGTGGAATGGAGACGCGACAGCACCGCAAGCAGGCGTGCAAGCAAGCACACCTCGTCCTGCTGTGCCCCACAAAGCCCCACACACCCTTGCAGCTCCTCGCATGCGTCCAACCTTCCCTAGGCACGCAGGCATAAGGGCCAGGCAGGAACACAGGCAGGCAAGCAGACGGGCGCACAAGCAGGCGAGCGGGCAAGCAGGCGAGCGGGCGAGCAGGCGAGCAAGCAGGCGAGGGGGCGGGCAGGTGGGGCAAGACGCACGAGCAGGGAGGAGTAGTCGTCGCTGACGTCCGCCAGCACGTTGAGCGTTGGGTCCACCCGCTGCACCTGAATGGGGGGGTGAGGAGGCCACCGTCCCCACACGCGAGGGATGAGGCAAGAGGGATGAGGCAAGAGGGATGAGGCAGGAGGGATGAGGCAAGAGGGATGAGGCGAGGGGGATGAGGCGAGGGGGATGAGGCGAGGGGGATGAGGCGAGGGGGATGAGGCGAGGGGGATGAGGCGAGGGGGATGAGGCGAGGGGGATGAGGCAAGGGGGAAGACCCAGTGGAAAGGCAGCGGGAAGAGGCGAGAGCGATAAGGTGGTTGATGGCAAGCGGCAGGGCAGGGACGGGGATGTTGGGAGAATAGGCAGCAAGTGGGCTTCGCAAAAACTTGTGGCGACCGCAACAGAAGGAGCAAGGGGGTGTTGAAATTTCATATTTCATACAACATACATAGGCTAGAAGTGTAGCACATTTATAAATTGGGGGGTTGCTTAGTGTACCCTCCAACCACATTTTGTGGTTGGTTGGGATTGGTCCTTAGCTCAACCAATCCCAACCAACACACATTTGTGGTTGCTTGGGTCACAAGCAAGCTCACCCATTGGCCAACTTATTGGCCAATAGGGTAAGCTTCCCTCTCATCTCTCTCTTGCTCATTGTTTGTACTAAAGAGCCTCTTGGCTCATTATTCAATGTATCAATTCTCTCTCTTCTAACATGGTATCATGAGCTAATGGCTCACGCCTACCTCCCTCGGTCCTTAGGCCACCCTCTCCTCCCCGTTCCTCAGATCTAGCCCCACCCACGGAGCTGTCCTCCCTTCACGCGCCCTTTAGGTGCTGTCCTCCCTCCCCGTGCGCCCCCTAAGGCGCTGCCCTCCAAGGCACGTCCAGATCTGCAACTCCAGCGCCCAGATCTGCACTCCCCGCGCCCAGATCTGCACTCCCCGCGCTCAGATCTGCAACTCCAGCGCCCAGATCTGCACTCCCTGCGACCAGATCTACTCCTCCCGCGCCTAGATCTGATCATTCCGCGCCCAGATCTGGATTCCGCGCCACCAGATCTCCTCCTCCCGCGCCCAGATCTGAACATTTCGCACCCAGATCTGCACTCCGCGCGCCCAGATCTGCACTCCGCCCGCCCAGATCCGCCCTCCGCGCGCTCAGATCTGCCCTCCGCGCGACCAGATCTGCACTCCGCGCGACCAGATCTGCACTCCGCGTGACCAGATCTGCACTCCGCGCGACCAGATCTGCACTCCGCGCGACCACATCTGCACTTCGCGCGCCCAGATCTGCCCTCCGCGCGCCCAGATCTGCACTCCGCGCGACCAGATCTGCACTCTGCGCGACCAGATCTGCACTCCGCGCGACCACATCTGCACTTCGCGCGCCCAGATCTGCCCTCCGCCCAGATCTGCACTCCGCGCAACCAGATCTGCACTCCGCGCGACCAGATCTGCCCTCCGCGCGACCAGATCTGCCCTCCGCGCGACCAGATCTGCCCTCCGCGCGACCAGATCTGCCCTCCGCGCGACCAGATCTGCATCTCCCGCGCTGAAATCTGACCATTTCGCGCCCATCTCTGCACGTCCCGCTCGTTTGCCGCGGGCTGTCCCGCGTGCATTCGCCACGGGCTTCCCAGTCGCGCGGATCTGCCGCACGGCTGCCCTCTTCGTCCCCTCCCCTCCCCTCTCTCCCTTCCTCCTCCCATTGTACCCGCAGCAGCACCACCAGCAGCACCCTCCCCCCTTTCCTCCCCCATAGCATCGCCCTCCTCCTCCTCCACCCAACCCACCCTCCGCTCCTCCCTTCCTCCTCCCATCCTACCTGCAGCAGCACCAGCAGCAGCACCTGCAGCGGCACCACCAGCAGCACCCTTCCCCCTTGCATCCCCCATAGCATCGCCCTCCTCCTCCTCCACCTTCCCCACCCTCCGCTCCTCCCTTCCTCCTCCCATCCTACCCGCAGCAGCATCCGCAGCGGCACCAGCTGCAGAACCAGCAGCGGCACGGGCAGCAGGGCCAGCAGCAGCATTGGCAACGGTACCCTCGCACCATCCTCCTCCTGCCCTAGCCTCTACCCACCCTCATCTCTATGGCATTGTCGTCTGATTCTTCCGTCGACCTTGCCACTATTGACGCACTCGAGTTGCTGCCTGACAACTCTGCTGCTAATTGGCACTCTTATGATCATTCCGTTGAGGTGCTCCTCTCCTCTGTTGTGGTCAGCGGCTACAACCTTCGCTCGGTTGTCTTTCAGGAAGGCGGTGGACTTCAGCCCGTGGCCCCCACCGCTCCTACTGGACTGGACCTGCCCCCGCCCACCCTGGCGCCGAGCCCTCTCCCCCCAGTGATCCTCCCACCTTCGCGCCGAATGTCAACGACCCGCAGAGCTCGGAAACCGCCATTCGCACCTACCGCACCAATCTCCAAGAGCACCTGCGCCTGCAATTGCGTTACAAGGACGACAGGCGCATTTATGACGAGGCCGCTGCCCGCTACAACACGTACCAGGAGGACCTGGACACCTACACTGCAGAACTTGCAGACTACACCACGAAAATTAATGCCTGGCGGGTTGCTGATCGGCGTGCGCTTGCCATTCTTCTCGCCACCATCCCCTCCTCCCTCAAACGCGAGCTCTCACCTACCTCCTCCTCCCACCTGTGGCGACTGCTAGTCGACCTTTTCGATCGGCAGGACGTTGCCACTCTTTACGCCCTTATCAAGGAGTTTGGAACTCTCTCCATGGATTCCACTTCTGGCGCAGCTGCTTTCACTCGCCGTGTCTTAGACCTTGCTCGGCGCCTTGCAACACTCGATGTGGTGTACCCGGACACCGTCATCTGCTGCCACCTCCTCGAGGGCCTCACACCTGCCTTCGACGCTCACAAGCTTGCTTACATGCAGCTTATCTCCAAGCACCACACCCCTGCCGAAGTCGCTCAGTGGATTATCACCACCGAAGCTGAGATCCTTCGCCACTCTTCCTCCACAGCCGCAGCAGCCCAGTCGCGCAGCAGCCGGGGTGGACGTGGCGGTGGGCGTGGGGGTGGCCGTGGTGGTGGGCGTGGGGGTGGACGAGGGGGATCAGCAGGTCGCGGTGGTGCTGGCAGCAAAGGTGCGGGTCGTGGTACGGCAGCTCCCTTTCCTCCCTGTCAGTACCTGCCTCGCTACGGTCCCACTCAGGGACAGCGCTGCGGCCAAACCACCCATGCCACTGAGACGTGCTTCAAGGCACTCAGTGATGAGTGGGTTGCCCGTGGCAACACCGCCACCCCTCCTCGCTGGTCCGCCCTCAACCCTCGCCCCACTCCCCTTGAGGTCCGTTCCTCTCCCCTTTATGAACCTCCCTCCTCCACCCACGCCCACCAGGCCCTCGCCCCTCCCCAGCAGCAGCACCAGCAGCAGCAACAGCAGCAGCAGCTTGGGAATCAGCAGCAGGGGTCACAGCAGTATGGGCAGCAGCTTCTCCTCTCTCAGCTCCAGCAGCAGCTCCAGCATCTCCAGCAGCAGCTCGACCTCCAGCCGCAACTGCCCCTCCTCCCTCCTCCTCCGGTTTCCCAGCAGCAGCCCTTTCCTACCTGGACTGCTGGGAGTGCTGCCTCTGCAGCCCATCTCTCGGGTGCGTCCCCGGCGCCATCTGCAGGTGGCAGTGTGACCGCTTTCCCTTCCTCTGGTTTTGTTGGTTTATTAGGTCAACCTGAATCTGTTGCATCTCCCATGTACCCTTCTTCTGCTAATGAAACTTCGTTCCAGTACTCTGCCTCACCTTCCTCCACCATTGACTTCGTTCTGGACAGTGGAGCCACTGACACTGTCCTTCGCGACGCTGGTACACTGCGCCCTCTCCCCACACCAACCTCCCTCCTCGGCGCTGATAGCAGTTTTTCCATCCCTTGTCACAACACCTCCACCCTTCCCTGTCCTCTCTCTCCCTCAGGTACTGTCACCGGTCTCTACATTCCCTCCCTTCGTACTAACCTCCTCTCCCAAAGGTCCCTCCAACAAGCCATGATCACCACTCTCATCCCAGGTGGTGCTAACCATTGTGACCTATACCAAACCTCCACAGGTCGTTTTCTCGCCCGCATTCCCTATTGTCCTCGCTCCCGTCTGTACACCCTTCGGGTTCCCCGCCCCCTCACCTTCCAAGTTGCCTCCCCCCTCCTCCTTCCCCCCCCCCCCCTCCCCTCCCTCCCACTAACCCACCCCTCCCCCCCCGCCCTCCTAACTCTGACTGTTCCTGTCGCTCCCTCTCCCACCCCACCATCCTCCTCCATCACAGGCTAGGCCACCCCAACTTCGCTACTCTGCGCTCCTCTGTCTCCTCCGGTCTCCTCCACGGTCTCCCCTCCTCCCTCCCTCCCCTCCCCAAATCCCCTGCCCCCCCCTGCACCGTTTGCGTTCAGAGCAAGCTCAAGCAGCAGCCGCACCGGAGCTCCCCCTCCGCTGCTACGCAGCCACTTGATCTTGTTCACATGGACCTATGGGGCCCTAATCCCTCTCCCACTCGCCAGGGCCATCGCTACCTTCTCGTGCTTGTTGATGATCACAGTCGGTACTCGTCCGTCTCTCTCCTTCGGACGAAGGCGGATGCCCCGGCTGCGATCATCGCCTGGCTCGAGCGGGCAAACACCCATTTTGGGCGCCCTGTTCGCCGCCTTCACTCTGATGGTGGTGGTGAGTTCCTTAACAACCAAGTCTCCTCCTATTGTCAGTCTCGTGGCATCCTTCAGACTTACACCCTCCCTCACTCCCCACAGCAGAACGGCGTGGCTGAGAGTCGTGTTCGAGAGATCACCAAAACAGCCCGGTGTCTGCTTGTCCACGCCTCCTGCCCCCCTTCTCTTTGGGGCTACGCCCTCCTTCATGCCGCCCTCCTTACTAACCTTTACCCTCACCCCCTTCTCCCCTCCATCACCCCCACTGAGCTGTGGACGAAGGACAAGCCTGATGCCTCATCACTTCGTGTCTGGGGCTCTAAGGCACATGTCCTCATTCACCCCTCTGACCGCTCCCGATCCATGGGAAAGCTTGCCCCTCGTACCCTTCCCTACATCTTCCTTGGTCATAATCCCTCCTCCCCTGACTACCTTTTCCTCCACCCACCATCCGGTCGTCTAATCCGCAGCCGGGATGTGGTCTTTGACAACTCCACTCCCTACTACTCCTCTCCCACATCTACTGACCCACTCCCCCCTCTCACCCGTCCCTTTGTCTGGTCTGACACCACCCCTCCCCCACTACTCCCTCCTCCCCCCATCCTCCCACCCCCCCCTTCTCCGCCGTCCCAGTCCCATGGTGCCCCTCCCTCTTCTGGTGACATCTTTGACCCGGAACCTCTGTCTTCTCCTGTCTCCCCCGCTCACTCCTCTCCTAGTACCCCTCCCCCCCCCCCTTCCTCTCCCTCGCCACCAACCCGTCCTCCTCCTTCCCGCACCATACTCACCCGGTATCCCCACACCAGGTCACGTGACGGTATCCTTGGTGCACCGCCTCCCGTTACCCTCTCTACCTCTACCCTCCCCCCTCTCTCCCCCCTCCTCCGTCACTTCTTCCAGGCTGTCTTGCATCAAGCCCCTCATGCAACAGCCCCCTCAGCCACCTCCTCTCCAGCAGCGGCACCAGCAGTGGGACCAGCTGCGGCAGCAGCAGCAGCGCCAGCAGCCGCAGCAGCAGCAGGACCAGCAGCGGCAGCAGCAGCGGGAGCGGCATCGGCAGCAGCAGCGGAACCAGCAGCGGCACCAGCAGCGGCACCAGCAGCATCACCAGCAACAGTACCAGCAACAGTACCAGCAGCAGCACCAGCAACGGCACCAGCAGCGGCACCAGCAGCGGCACCAGCAGCGGCACCAGCAGCAGCACCAGCAGCAGTACCAGCACCGGCACCGGCAACGCCTCCACCAGCAGCACCAGCAGTCATCCGCGCCTTCCACACCTCCCTCTCTGAGGACTCCCATGAAGAGTTCCTTGACCTCCACCTTTATGACCCCTCGCTTCTACCCATCACGTTCGACCTCTCTGGCACACCTGTCTTCGCCTTCTCCTCTGCTCCCTTCATTTTCGTTCCTACCACGTACGAGGAGGCAATGACGTGCCCTGACGCTCCGCTATGGCTCGCCGCCATCATCAAGGAGCTGGAGGCCTTTATCGGCAACTCCTCTTTTGTCGATGTGCCTCGCCCTCCCGCCCCTACGAACGTGGTGAAAGGAAAGTGGGTGTTTCGCATCAAGCAGCTGCCAGGGGAGCCGCCCGTTTATAAGGCTCGTTACTGCGCCAAGGGGTTCACGCAGCGGTATGGTTTTGACTTCTTCGATACCTTCTCCCCTACTGCCAAGCCTGCTACTGTTCGCGCCGTGCTCGACCTCGCCGCTCGCCTCAATATGGAGATCCACTCGATGGACGTTTCTAACGCCTTCCTACAAGGCGTCCTCCGCGAGCTTATCTACATGGAGCGTCCAGCCGGCTTTCACCTCCCCTTCCCAGCAGACTCTGTCTAGCAGCTGCGTCGACCGGTGTATGGGCTCCGACAGGCCCCGAGGGAGTGGCATGCTAAACTTGCCGCCACCCTTGCTGAACTTGGGCTCCGCACCTCCCGCTCTGACGCCAGCCTCTTCCTCCGCACCTCCCCCTCCCCATTTTACATCCTTGTGTATGTCGATGACATGATTCTGCTCACTGCCGACCTTGGAGAGTTGGAGCATGTTAATGCTGAGTTGGGCACCCATCTCAAGTGCAAAGACTTGGGAGAGCTGCAGCATTATCTGGGCATGACCATCACTCGTGACCGCTCCGCCCGCACCATCTCACTCTCCCAGGGTCATTACTTGCAGCAGGTCTTGGAGCGGTTTGACATGGCCCGCGGCGGCGCCCTGACCTTGCCTACCCCATCAGCGTCCTCGCTCGTTTTGTTGGCGCAGGCAAGCATACGGAAGAGCACTGGCAGGCCGCCAAGCGTGTCCTCCGGTACCTTCGTGGCACCAAAGACTATGTCCTTACCCTTGGCGGCCCCTCCCCACCTCTTCTCAGCGGCTACAGTGACTCCTCCTGGGCTGATTCCCGGCCAGATCGTCGCTCCTCCCAGGGCTATGGCTTCTCTCTTGGCAGCGGCCTTCTTAGCTGGCGCTCCACCCACTCCTCGGCTGCAGCCCTCTCCTCCTGCGAGGCGGAATTGTATGCCGCCACCATGGCTGCGCAAGAGGCCCGCTGGCTCACCTTCCTTCTTGAGGAACTTGGTGTCCCCCAGCGCTGTCCCACAATTTGGTGTGACAATGCTAGTACCATTCACCTCACCAAAGATGCTGTGTTTCACGGGCGCTCCAAGCACATTGAGCTCCGTCATTTCTTCATTCGCGACCTTGTTCAGGCGGGGGCACCTTCGCCTCGACAAGGTTGACTCGGCGGCCAACCTTGCCGACATCTTCACAAAAGCTCTTCCTCATGCCGCTCACTCTTTCCTACTTCGTCTTCTTGGCCTCACTCCTCCTAAGTCGCCTCCCGCCTCTTGATTTTAGCCTTCTAGCCTTATGCATGTTGGGGGGTTGTGTTGTAATTTCATATTTCATACAACATACATAGGCTAGAAGTGTAGCACATTTATAAATTGGGGGGTTGCTTAGTGTACCCTCCAACCACATTTTGTGGTTGGTTGGGATTGGTCCTTAGCTCAACCAATCCCAACCAACACACATTTGTGGTTGCTTGGGTCACAAGCAAGCTCACCCATTGGCCAACTTATTGGCCAATAAGGTAAGCTTCCCTCTCATCTCTCTCTTGCTCATTGTTTGTACTAAAGAGCCTCTTGGCTCATTATTCAATGTATCAATTCTCTCTCTTCTAACAGGGGGGCGGGCGCGTGGGCAGAGAGGGTGGCGGGTGGGCAGAGAGGGTGGCGGGTGGGCACCTTTTGGCGCGCCTGGGCGTGCAGGTGCGGGTCGTCCCTCACGAAGAGCGCGAGCTCGTCATCATCCGCCGCCTCCGCCTCCGCCGCCGCCACGTTGCGCGTGCGAAAGAGGTACTCCGCGCGATAGTACTTGCCCCAAAAGGCCTTCTCCGTCATCTGGTGGTGGGGGTGGTGTGGTGAGGAAGGGGTGGGGGGGGCGAGGAGGGGGAGAGTGGGAGGGTAATGTGATGGCGTGCATGGAAGAGGTACTCCGCGCCGCAGTACTTGCCCCACTAGGCCTTCTCGCTCATCTGGGGGAGGGTGAGGAAGGGAGGGTGAGGAAGGGGGGGTGAGGAAGGGGTGGTGAGGAAGGGGTGGTGAGGAAGGGGTGGGCCTTCTCAGTAATCTGAAGGGTGGGGAAGGTGGGGGGTGTCGGGGGTGAGTGGAGGAGGGGGAGAGGGGGAGATGTGATGTGATAGCTTGCTTGCAGTGGGAACTGCCCGTGGTCATGCACGCCCCAGGTCGCCTTTCCGGACATCCCAGGGAGGGAGGTGGGTGGGGGGGAGGAATGGGGAGGGGGCAGCAAGAGTTGACTGAGAAGAGAGGGGGGAAATGAATGCGAGAGTTGATGGTTCGCATGGAAGTGAGAGAGTGGTAAGCGCAAGATGAGAAGCAGGTGCGAGTCACAGAGAAGGCGCTCATGAGTCAAGCTGCTCAAGGCTAGGTGTTGATCAAAGACAGAAACTAACACCCCGCCTCCTCCCCCCTAGCCAACCTCCCTCCCCCGCTCCCTCGCTGCTCGCCCTCGCTGTCCACCACCCACCCGGCCAGGCACGAGCTCCATGAAGGCGCGGTGCACCGCTGGCTTCTCCAGGAAGATCTGCCGCACCGAGTGGGGTTGGGGGGAAGGGAAGGGGGGGGAGGGAATTCGCCAGTGGGGCAAGCGCATGGACGTGCACAAGCAGTGAGATGAGAGGCGACATGAGTGGTTCAACAAGTTAGATGTGGGTGGACATTGGAATTAGCATGGTGGCATGCACAGCGGGGTCCACGCATGAGAATGAGGACAGCAAGTAGCCTGCAAGTGAGTTGGGAGAGAAGACGAGAGGCAAAACATTGGGGGGCGTGTGCAATGCAATGAGGGCGTTGAGAGGAGTGCAGACCTGCTGGATGATCTGCGGTGTGAGGTTGAAGGTGATGGTGTTGCTCTGTGGTGGGGGGGTACACACACACAACACAGCAAGCATACACAAAACAGACGAGTAGGTGAGGAAGAGGTGAATGGTGGTCCATGAAGCTGACGCATTGCTGCACCATGGCTAGTCCGCACCTCAACAAGCGCTAGTGACCTCGTGCTCTCAGCTCGCCCGACTTGCTTAGATTGAGAACAGGACGCCACACCCACCCACATCTATCACACAGGACTCCACAGAAAAGGCTGCCATGCTGAAACCCCCCCTCCGTTCCTGCTCCAGTGCAACCCTACCTACCATCACCCTGCCATCCACCACCCACCCTGCCGTCCGCCACCCACCCGGCCATCAGTGACGCCTCGGACGTCTGCCAGCATGGCACTCGCCACGCCCACCCGCTGCTTGCGCTTCCTCCGCTCCTCCTCCACCCCCTGCCATGCCACGCCATGCCATGCCGTGGGGAGTTGACGGGATGGGTTGGCGGGATGCAGTGGTGGGGATTGAATGGCACACGTAAGGTGGACAGAAGGATGAGGCGAGGGCAAGAGTGAGAGACGAGGGGTGGGCAGGCGCATGAGGAAGGGTAGGAAACGAGGCACAGGGATCATATGCACTCACTCAAGCCATGCACCCCACCTTCCTGGCGGCCCAGAACTCGGACTCGGTGAGAGCGCCCGTCATGACCAGCTCCTGATGCAGCCGCCTTAGCTTGCTGCTCGCCCCGTGCAGCAGAAAGTATGGAGGGCAAACAGCATGGGGAGGAAACGGCATGGAGATTGGAAACAGCATGGCGGTAGGGCATCCACGTGTGTATGGCTGCCTTCATGTGGCGTGCACTGTTGCAGTGCACACACACACAGACGAACAAACAAGCACACAGCAGACCAACCAAGCAGGTCTCCCCTCTCTCCCTCTCTCCTCCCATCCACTGCCCCCATCCACCCCTGCATGCTCCACCCCAACCACACACGCACGCATCAGACTGCAGCAGCTTCTGCCGGCGCTGCAGCTCTGCCGGATCCAGCAGCTCCATTGCCATCGCACCAGGCAGCCCGGCCGGCAGCCCAGGCGCCATGCCACGCACCGCCCCCGCGCTCACCCCTCCAGCTGCTGCTGCTGCTGCTGCTGCTGCTGCAGCGGCAGCAGCAGCGGCAGCGGGATGAGCAGGGGGGAGGAGTGGTGAGGCGGAGCCGGAGAGAGCGGTGGGCGGAGGAGTGGATGGCGTGGGGGCGGAGGCGGGTGCTGACGTGCTCTGGTACTTGGCCTGGTAGGCACCTGCCGTCATGCACGAGGTGTGGTGAGTCATGATAAATAAGTCACTACAGGTGATGGGTTGATGAGGTGGGGGAGGGTGATGAAGGCATGGCATAAAATACACTCACGGGAGCAGAGCGAATGGCATTCATGCACACAACGAAGGCAAGCTGCAGTACACCGGAAAAAACTTGGCCAACCCAGTGCCTTTCACTTACACCCTCCTCCTCAACTCCTGGGTGACATCCTGGGTGAGTGATATTTTGCGATGTCGCGAATTGTTACCCTGCTGTAACCGCGCAGACCGCACAAACACGACCGCCCCCCTCTCTATCGTTTGTATACACGCAATGCCTGCCTCTCCAGCCTTAAATTCGCTTACTGTAATGCAAGCAATGCGCCTTGGATCGCTTGGAGGAGAACTGCTCACCTCAAACCGAACCTACATTCATAATCTCAATCCAGCTCTAGTCAAACCAATCTCTGCTAAACTTCAACTGGCCTGGCCCGAACGATTCGAAGGTTCAACGCAATTGTAACGAATTACTCTGACTGGCGAGCTAGTGAGCCACAACGAGAGTCAGGCGCCCACTTGAGCTGTGAAACCGAATCTCTGGCTTGGCTTGTCAGCCTGGCAGCTCCTCCTGGGTTGAACTGGCTCCGCTTCAAACTATGTTAACGCGTGGCTACCATGAGGTGGCTTCGAATGAGGGCTGATGAGGAGAGCAAACAAGCAAAAGAGGTGGGAGGAGAAGCTGTGTGGGGAGAGAGGTGGCGACGGAAACTGCTGGAGTGGTGCAGGTGGGCAGGAAAAGCATGGCAGGGCAGTGGTCGCGTACTGTAGACATCTCTGGCCTTGTCACGATCAGCGAACGAGGAGAAGACAAACATGTATCCGCCCTCCGCCTGCATGACGCATGCACAACACATGACACACACACACATGTGTAGGCCAGTGCAAGGGCACACAGCAACTCCCATACAGAGTGCAGAGAATAAGTACTCGCATAGGCATGGCACGGCATGGCATGGCATGGCAACGCATGGCCTGCGGTGCCGGCTCCCTAACAACATGGTTCACATGGGTGTCACTAGTACTGAATGAGGGCGCTTAAGCGGATGACAAGGAAGGGATGAGAGCACGAGGGAGTGAGGGGATGAGAGAATGAGCGGTTAAGGGGTGGGAAGATGAGGGGGTGAGGAGGTGTGGGGGTGGCAGGGTAGGGGTTGTGGGGCTGACGAAATGGAGGCGTGAGGGTGTGAGAGAATGCAGGAATGAGGGGTTGATTGAAGGGGTGTGAGGGAGTGAGTGGGTGACAGCGTGAGGGGTTGAGGGGTTGAAGAGGGGGTGAGGGGGAGAGGCAGGCACACGGCACGCACAGCAGGGTCGGCATGGGGGCTGAACTTGAGCAGCGCTGTGGTGGCCGAGGGCGTCTCCTTGCTCCACCTGTGCGCTGCATGCCCGTGCCATGCCATGCCATGCCATGCCGTGCCACACACACACGCCACACACATTTGAGCATGGACAGGGAGCAACGGGAGAGTTGACAGCATGTGCGTGGCAGTGCGAGGACGACAGGGGAGGGCCTGAAAGAGCAATGGCAGCAGAAGAGAGAGTGCAGGGCGACAGGTGTGGTGGGCAATGGAGGCAAGACAAGGCAAGCGGCAGCTCTCACGGCACTCTGTATGCATGCGCTGCGCGCACTGGATGGTGGCCTGGCCTGCAAGGACCGCTCACTGCATGGTGGCCTGGCCTGCAAGGGGCTCATGAAGAGGCTCACACTTGATGCTCGCAAGAGGCACGTCGAGCCTTGCTGCTGCCGATGGGTTGGCTGGCACCCAGGAGAAGCACGTGGGGGTCTGTGTGCATGCACCAACACATGCATGCACATGCATATGCGCACACATAAGCACATGCTCCCACACACAAGAACATGCACATGCTCCCACACACAAGAACATGCACATGCTCCCACACACAAGAACATGCACATGCTCCCACACACAAGAACATGCACATGCTCCCACACACAAGAACATGCACATGCTCCCACACACAAGAACATGCACATGCTCCCACACACAAGAACATGCACATGCTCCCACACACAAGAACATGCACATGCTCCCACACACAAGAACATGCACATGCTCCCACACACAAGAACATGCACATGCTCCCACACACAAGAACATGCACATGCTCCCACACACAAGAACATGCACATGCTCCCACACACAAGAACATGCACATGCTCCCACACACAAGAACATGCACATGCTCCCACACACAAGAACATGCACATGCTCCCACACACAAGAACATGCACATGCTCCCACACACAAGAACATGCACATGCTCCCACACACAAGAACATGCACATGCTCCCACACACAAGAACATGCACATGCTCCCACACACAAGAACATGCACATGCTCCCACACACAAGAACATGCACATGCTCCCACACACAAGAACATGCACATGCTCCCACACACAAGAACATGCACATGCTCCCACACACAAGAACATGCACATGCTCCCACACACAAGAACATGCACATGCTCCCACACACAAGAACATGCACATGCTCCCACACACAAGAACATGCACATGCTCCCACACACAAGAACATGCACATGCTCCCACACACAAGAACATGCACATGCTCCCACACACAAGAACATGCACATGCTCCCACACACAAGAACATGCACATGCTCCCACACACAAGAACATGCACATGCTCCCACACACAAGAACATGCACATGCTCCCACACACAAGAACATGCACATGCTCCCACACACAAGAACATGCACATGCTCCCACACACAAGAACATGCATGCACACCCATCCATGCACACGGGTGGGTATGCCCGCACACAAACGCAAACAGATGCTGTGACGTCTTAAGGACAGCACAGCACACACATCCATGCACACGTAACGGTCAGCCTGGCAACCGCGAGTCTTTGCGACGCCATTCCGTTCTTAATTCGCTTCTTTCCTGCCTTCCTGCTTTCATGCATTCTTCTTGATTTTCTGGGCGCATTGAAACATCGACTGCTGTCGGGCCGCCGTGCACCCCACTCCCGCCGAGCGGTGAGGGCGAGCGCGACGAGGATGCGGAGCGCTACAGCGATACCGACCAAACTAGCGAGCATGCGTACCACAGCGATAACGCCGCCTGCAGCGCATCCTACCATGGTGATCACGCCGTCTGTGGCGAGGCCCTTGGCTGCCGGCTTGAGCTTGGCGCGCGATGACAGCACCACCTCCATCGCACGCAACTGCTCTCACCACACACTTGGGTCGGGCGCTGCAAAATACACCCGTGCGGGTCAATGGGGTTGCGGATTGGTATGTTGTCTCCAACTAAGCCACTGCTGTTCCTGCCACGCCACACATGAACAAGGAGAGGGAAGGAAAGGTTGGGTTGAAGGGCTGTGTGGGAGATGCAGTCACTCACACATTGTGGCACCAGTGAATTCACTCTTCTCTCTGGCAACTCACTCCCTGTTCCCTCCCCTCCCCTCCCCTCCCCTCCCCTCCCCTCCCCTCCCCTCCCCTCCCCTCCCCTCCCCTCCCCTCCCCTCCCCTCCCCTCCCCTCCCCTACCCTTCCCTCCCAACCCCTCCCCTCCCCTCCCCTCCCCTCCCCTCCCCTCTTTTCCCCTCCCCTTCCCTTAACTCCCCTCCCCTCCCCTCCCCTCCCCTGACCTCCCCTGACCTCCCCTGCCCAACTCTTCCCCGCCCCCCTGCCTTGCCATCTCTTGTTTTCCCCTCCCCCTGCCCTATGTACCTTGCCCTCCCCCTGCCCTATGTACCTTGCCCTCCCCCTGCCCGATGTACCTTGCCCTCCCCCTGCCCGATGTACCTTGCCCTCCCCCTGCCCTATGTACCTTGCCCTCCCCCTGCCCTATGTACCTTGCCCTCCCCCACTGCACTTCCCTGTCCTCCCATTCCCTCTCTTCCCCTCCCCTGCTCTCTCTTCAACTCCCCTTTCCAGCCCTCCCTGCCCTCCCTACCCATTCCTCCCCGTCCTGTCGCACTCCCGTCCCGTCCCTATCCTTCCCATCTCTCCCTTTCCCGTCCCCTTCCCGTCCCTTTCCCGTCCCCTTCCCGTCCCCTTCCCGTCCCCTTCCCGTCCCCTTCCCGCCCCCTTCCCACTCCATATGCGCTCCTTCCGGTCCTGGCCACTCCACTCTCGCCCCGTTTCGTCCAAACAGTCCCGAACCGACCCATCCTGCGGCCTGCCTCGTCCCGTCCCCTCTCATCCCCTCCCGTCCCCTCTCATCCCCTCCCGTCCCTTCTCATCCCCTCCCGTCCCCTCGCATCTCCTCCCGTCCCCTCGCATCCCCTCCCGTCCCCTCCCATCCCCTCCCGTCCCCTCGCATCCCCTCCCGTCCCCTCTCATCCCCTCCCGTCCCCTCGCATCCCCTCCCGTCCCCTCCCATCCCCTCCCGTCCCCTCGCATCCCCTCCCGTCCCCTCTCATCCCCTCCCGTCCCCTCCCATCCCCTCCCGTCCCCTCGCATCCCCTCCCGTCCCCTCTCATCCCCTCCCGTCCCCTCGCATCTCCTCCCGTCCCCTCCCATCCCCTCCCGTCCCCTCGCATCCCCTCCCGTCCCCTCTCATCCCCTTCCTGCCCCCTTACCCCCCCCCTTCCCGCCCCCTTTCCCCCCCTTCCCGCCCCCTTCCCGCCCCCTTCCCGCTCCCTTCCCCCACTTCCCCCCCCCCCCCTTCCCCCCCTTTCCCTTCCCTTCCCCCAGCTTCCCCCCCCTCCCCCCCCCCTTTCCCCCGCCCTTCCCCCCTTTCCCGCTCCTTCCCGTCCTGGCCACTCCACTCTCGCCCCATTTCGTCCAAACAGTCCCGACTCGACCCATCCTGCCCCGTCCCGTTCCCTCTCATCCCTTCCCCTCCCCTCTCATCCCTTCCCCTCCCCTCTCATCCCCTCCCATCCCGACCCATCTCGTCTCGTCCCCACCTGTCCAATCCCATTTAATCGCCCATCCCGTTCTGTCCAGATCGTGCCCGTCTCGTCCTGAACTCCTCTTTTGTCCGTCCAACTCCTCAAGGAGGGAAATTCCTTTCCCGCCCCGACCATTCCCGCCCCGTCCCTTCCCGCCTCGTCGCTTCCCGCGCCGTCCCTTCCCGCCCCGTCCCCTTTTCGCCCCGTCCCTTCCCGTCCCATCACTTCAGAAGCCGTTATGTCCGTACTCTAATGCATGACATTCGTCGAGAACAAAGAATACACTCGCCATGACTCACAAAGTGCAGATAGTAGCGCCACGACCTCTCCTCTCTTTGCTATACTTGAGGTAGTGTTCTCAGCTCCCGTAATACGTTTCTTCTGCTCGGTTTTTGCCTCTGTCGTCTCGATACTCGCTGCTGCCGGGGCGACGATCTTTGGGATGGGGTGGTGCGTGTTATGAATTTCAGTTGGGACTAAGGCGTGGTCGTTCTGCCAAGACTATAAACAATTTGGTAATTTCAATGCAGTGCAAAAGTTGGAGTAAAAAATGTTACAATCAAGTTGGGGTGGTACGATGAACTAAACTGTAGGCGCGTACCGAACTGCTGCCACAGGTTTCGCCAGAAGTTGCTGGAGAATTTCGTGTCTCTGTCGCTGATGATTGATGTTGGTATCCCGTGCAGTCAAACGACGGTAGAGATGAAGAGGCGGGCTGTTTCTTCGGCTGTGATTGATTTTTTGCAGGCTGCGAAGTGTGCCATTTTCGTCAGTCGATCGACGACGACCAGGATCGCGTCATTTCCACTCGCCCCGGCCGGTAACCGCGTGACGAAGTCCATCGTCATCTGCTGCCAAGCACGCTCTAGAGGTGGGATTGGCTGCAACTGTCCCGTCGGCCGCTTCCGTGTTGACTTCATGATCTGGCAAGTGGGACACGATGCCACGTGCCGCTGCACGTCGGTCAACATTTCGGGCCAGTAATACTGCTGCAGCTGCTGCCGTGTTTTCTCTACCCCGAAATGTCCCGAGGTAACCCCGTCATGTGCCTCCTGTAATAGTAATTCCCTTAGCAGTGTGTACCCTGGTATCCAGATGCGCTCGGTCCCGGCTTTTACGTAATAGACTCCCTTGGCTGCTGCGAACTGCTGCGAATTTCCTCCTATGAAGAATGGGTCCGTTTGATATCCGTGGGTAAATAGTCCTGTCAGTAGCGGGCTGGTCTGGGCGAGTAGTATCGCGTGGATCTGGGCAGTGGGGCGGGTCAGTGCGTCGGCGATGTTCGAGGCTCCTTTTTTATAGGTGACTGTGTAGTGGAAATTTGACTCCAGGAAATCGAGCCACCGAATCTGTCGTGGGTTGAGGTGGGGCTGTGCGCGGAGGTACTGTAGTGATCGGTGGTCTGTCCGTACTGTCACGTTTGCGCCGGTCAAGTAGCAGCGCCACACTTTGAACGCATGCACGATCGCGAGTATTTCGCAGTCGTGTATCGGGTAATTTCGCTCGGGCGGATGCAGTTTTCGTGACTCGTATGCGATGGGCTGTAGGCCGTTGCCAAAGTCCTGTAGCAGTACGGCTCCAATGGCGATGTCGCTTGCGTCTGTAACAACCTCGAAGGGGCGTTGTGGGTCGGCGATGCGCAGGACGGGCGGTGAACAGAGAACATTTTTCAGGGCAGAGAAGGCAGCATGCTCTTTCTCCCCCCACGTAAAAACGACCCCCTTGCGCAGTAAATCCGTCAGCGGGGCGGTCAATCGTGCCATGTCGGGGACGAACCGACGAACATAATTAACGAACCCTAAAAAACTCTGCAGTTCCGTGGTGTTCGTAAAAAAACACCACGCTTTTACCGTATCCAGCTTCTTTGGGTCGATTTCAACTCCAGCCTCCGAAATAACGTGCCACAAAAATTCTAGTCTGTCCTGAAAAAACTCGCACTTATAGCCCTTGGTGAGTAACCAATGTTCCTCCAAAACTTTAGATACTGCTTCGAGATCCGCTAAGTGCTGCTGTTTGTCGCGACTGTAGACGAGGATGTCGTCGAGGTAAACTATCACGCATTTATCTAAGAGTGGCCTAAACGCCTCGTTCATGGTCATCTGAAAAGTTGCGGGCGCGTTGGTCAGCCCGAAAGGCATCACCGTGTACTCAAACGACCCGTACCTAGTCCTAAATGCTGTCTTCGCGCAGTCCGATGGTTCGACCCGAATCTGATGGTAACGCCCCCGTAAGTCTATTTTCGAAAACACCCGTGCTGTTCGCAGTTGGTCGATCAGTTCGTCAGCGCGGGGAATGGGGTACCGCGACTTGACTGTTACCCTGTTGAGCGCTCGGTAATCGATGCACATGCAAAACCCTCCGTCTTTTTTCAGTGTGAACAGTATCGGTGCGGCGAACGGTGACGAACTTGGTCAAATGAACTGCTTCTCTAACAAATAATCTAACTGCTTCATTAGTTCGTCGAGCTCGGGCTGTGTCAGTCTGAACTGGCGCTGTACAGTTGGCTGTGCCCCCGGTTCTAACTCGATCCTATGATCATGCGCCCGCAGAGGTCGCAGCCCTTCCGGTAAGTCGTCTGGAAAGATCCCCGGGTACCGTTTCAACAGTTCCTGTAGTTCGGGCGGTACTGCTGCCAACAGCTTCTGAAAATCGCTCGGCTGCTCCGCTTCTCCCACTAATGCTATATCTACTGCGTACACGTCAGCTCTAGCGGCGACAACCCGTTTCATCGTGATGGCGTTGACGTGGACCGTTGAAGACACGGGCGACTGCCAGCGAGGTAGCTCGACCCAGTTACCACTACTTCGAACGGTGCAGCTGTCAAAATCCTAAGTCGAGTTGGGCTTAGGAGCCATAGTTTGGAGTGACTTAGTTCGAGTTGAAGGGTTGAAGGAAAAGTGTCTAGAGATTTTGGAAGGAGAAAAGTGTTTCAATAATAGAAGGCATACAAGATATAGTCAAGGAAATAGGCAAATGGTGCACCACCTAGCAGGAAACTATATAATTACACTAAACTCTACTGTAGGCATTTATTAATGTATACGAATACATTTCAACAGCAGCTACCCGTCGTCCAGTCAATTCGTGGGTTATACCTGAGGAAAGTAGAACGAGAATGGATGGACTAAGGAAAGGAAGTGATACAAATATACAACCCTAGAAATGTGTACCCCATATCGGCTACCCCACTATAGCCTACACAATATTATAATTTGATACACCCCCATAGGCAAAGTGGGGGAGAACAAGGGGTCACAAGACCAATCAAGCAAAGCAGACAAAGCTCAGGGTGGATCACAACGTCACCACACAGTCCGAGCACAAGGTCAAGGCAACAAGGCCAGTTCACATGCAGGAGTACACAGATATATATAAGGCTAAACAAGCAAGAGTAGGTATATATATATGTAAGAGTACAAGCAAGGTCAAGGGGTGAGCAAGTGAGGCAAGACAGGCACAAGACCCAGCTGAGTGCAGAAGCGCTGATGATCACAAGGCGGAAGTGCCTTCGTGAAAACATCAGCAGTGTTGGCCTCAGAGGCCACGTACGCAAGTCGCAACTGACCACGCTGCTGCAACTCACGAGCAAGAAAGTAGCGGAGAGCAATGTGCTTCGTTCTATGCTCCATGCGCTGCTCCCGACACAAGGCCAGCATGGCCTTGTTGTCTACGTACAGCACTGGAGGAGAACGAGGCGGCTCTCCTAGGTCAGTCAGCAGGTAGGTGAGCCAGCGAAGCTCCTGTGCAGCCATGGCCCTGGCGTAGATCTCAGCCTCACAACTAGAGCCGAGAATAGAAGACGAGCGAGTAGCCCGCCACGAAACAGAGCCGGAACCAAGACTGAAGGTGTAACCCTGTGACGACCGCTGCGTAGCCTAATCGTCAGCCCAAGAAGCGTCCTCGTGCCCAGTGAGGACAATTGGACTCCGCCCTCCAAGCACTAGTCCCATGCCCGACGTACTGCACAAGTAGTGCAACACCCTCTTCGCTGCAGCCATGTGCTCTGGTCTGTGTCTCCCAGGAGCAACATAGCGTGCAAGAATGCTAAGAGGGTATGCAAGGTCAGGTCGTGTGCAAGTCATCAGGTACATGAGGCAGCCAACAAGCTCTGGGTACGGGCCACTCGACTCTACGGACTCATCCGAAGGCAGAGCTGAGAGCGAGTGGCGAGTAGACAGAGGAGTGGCCTGAGGCGAGGAGTACGTGAAGCCGAAGCGCTGAAGGACCTGCTGCACCATGTGTGACTGAGTCAAGGTAATGGTGCGGCGTGCTCTGTCCCGGGTGATCTGCAAGCCAAGGTAGCTGCGCAGTTCACCCAGGTCTGTGCACGTGTGTCTCTTCTGCAGCTCGGACTTCACGTGGGCGAGTCCAGCAGTGTCAGCTGTGGCAAAGACCAAGTCGTCGACGTACACGAGGATGTAGAACGGCGGCAGAGAGGTGTCGGTGCGCAGAAACAACGACGGGTCAGCAGTAGAGGGAGCAAACCCAAGAGCCGCAAGCGTAGTCCTCAGTGTGTCGTGCCACTCGCGCGGTGCCTAGCGGAGACCGTAGACTGGCCGTCGGAGGCTCCACTGGGTGTCAGGAGGGAAAGTCCCAGTGAAGCCAGGTGGACGGCGCAGCCAGATCTCCTCGTGCAGGCTGTCCTGCAGGAAAACAGTGCTGAAGTCAAGGGAGTGAAGCTCGTAGTCACGCTGAGCGGCTATGTGTAGCAGCACCCAAAGAGTGGTCATCTTCGGGGTGGGAGAGAAGGTCTGAAAGTAGTCAACTCCCTGCCGCTGACTGAAGCCACGAGCCACATACCGCGCCTTGAAGACAGGTGGAGAACCCGGCGGCCGCTTCACCCTGAAGATCCACATGCCACTAACGATGTTCGCCCCAGGAAGAGGAACCCCGTCAACGTAGGTGCCTGTGGACTTCCAGGAAGCCATCTCTGCATCCATAGCTGCCTGCCACTGAGACGAGTAGGGACCCTCTACGGCCTCCGCGTAAGAGCGCGGAGTCGGGATGTCTAGTCCATCCGGGTCTCCCTCAGGGGTAAGCAGTACGGACGCGAGATGAGATGAAGCAGCAACCAGACACTGGAACTCCTCCTGCCTGTCCTTAAGGACGTCCGTGCCAAGAGCACACTCACCCCCGACGGACGGAGGACAGACAGACGCAGACTCAGCAACAAGACTAGCAGCGTAGTCTAGACGACAGCGAGCAGCAAAGTCGACGAGCTCAGCAACAAGAGCAGACGCAGCAGTGGACTCAAAAGAGGGGTCACTGACGACAGTAGCAAGGAGACGCGTGACGGTAGGACTGGCAGCACGAAGAGAGTCCGACTCCGGGCCGGCAAGCGCAGAAAGAGAGGACTTAGGAGGAGAAGGCAAAGGGACACGCAGAGGAGCAGTGGACGGACGCAGAGACATCCGGTGCGTGCCAGGGACAGGAGGAGGACGCTGACGCGAGCCGCGACCACTAGCGCGAGCAGCACGAACAGGCGACGCGGGACGAGACGCGGGCTCACATCGCTCAGCAAGACCTCCAGTAGGACCAGTGTAAGGAGAAGGAGCAGGCAGTGGGGAGGCGGGCGGTAACTGAGACTGAGACTGGACAAGCTGTGGACACTCTAAGGGAGGAGGAGGACCAGTTGAAGGCGGGAGACCAAGAACCTGCTGAAGGAGCGGAACGAAGTACGGCCGAGGCCGCGCGGCGACTTGAGACACAGCAGGGACATCACCAGCACCCTCAGCGGCAGCACCAGCGCCAACAGCACCTCCAGCTGCAGGACCTCCAGCAGTACCAGCAGCACCCGAAGCAGGACCACCGCCAGGACTGACAGCAGTAGCCTCAGCGCCAGCACCCTCAGCAGCTCCAGCTCCAGTCGTACCCGCAGGCCCAGCAGCTTCAGCACTCCCAGGACGAGCACCTCCGGGACCGGCGGCACTAGCACCCTCAGTGGCCGAAGAAGCTCCAGCTCCAGCAGTACGCCTCCAGCGCCGGCCAAACCACTCGCGCAGCTCCTGTGGAGAGAGTGGCTCCCGCTGAGACGAAGCACCCGGAGAACCTCCAGGCCCAGCACCGCCAGACGCCACACGAGAAGGTCCAACAGCCGCTGGCTCCGCACCACCAGGCTCAGTAGGTCCAGACGCAGCACCCCCAGGCTCAGCAGCTCCTGGCGTAGCACCCCCAGGCTCAGCACCCCCAGTCATAGCACCCCCGGGCTCAGCACCCCCAGTCGCAGAACCCCCAGGCTCAGCACCCCCAGTTGTAGCACCCCCAGGCTCAGCATCCCCAGTTGCAGCACCCTCAGACTCAGCACCCCCAGGCTCAGCACCCACGCGTGCAGCACCCCCAGAGTTAGCACCCCCAGGCTCAGCACCCGCAGCAGTACCAGAGTCACCAGCAACCTCGACTGGCTCGACTGCGTCTACCTGGGACACACCTGAAGGGGCAGGACCCTGAGGGGGGAGGGGGTCTACCTGGGGGGGACCTTGCACAAGGAAGTGAGGTGGCGGGGGGAGGGAAGGAGTGCGGTAGGGGAAGAGGCGGTAGTAGGGGACTGACTCGTCGAACGTGACGTCCTGGGAGGACAGAACACGACGAGAGGTGGGGTGGTAGAACTGCCATCCAGGGGCGTCAGGGGGGAAGCCAAGGAAGACACAGGGAGCAGCACGAGGGGACAGCTTGTCCGCAGACAAGTCGCGGACAAACGCCCGAGATCCCCAGACACGGAACGCAGACGCATCGCCGACCTTCCCCGTACACAGCAAGGCTGGGGAGGTCTCCGGCCTGGAGACCCTGGGGTGAAGGTTGATCTGATGCGCCACATACCGAACCGCAAACGGCCATAGAAAATGGGGGGCAGCCGCATGCATCATGGACGTACGAGCGACGTCCATGACCATGCCAATGCGGCGCTCAGCAATCCCATTTTGCTGTGGAGAGTCCCGAAGCGTAAAGGTCTGGCGGATGCCTCGCGCACGACAGTAGGCTCGCAGAAGGCTAGAGGAGAACTCTCCGCCTCGGTCAGAGTGCAGACGCAGAACAGGAAAGTCCGAGCGGAAGCTCCTCCTGAGCTGAAGACGAGCTGCGCGGATCCAGTCGATCAACACCTCAGTGACATCACCCTTGCTGCGCAAGGGGAAGACAGTGGTGTAACGCGAGTAGTCGTCAACCACCAGCAGGAAGTAGCGCTCGTGACCGTGTCGACGGACGCGGGCTGGGCCCCACACGTCCATGTGAAGCGTCTGCAGCGGGGCCTCTGTCGGGGGAAACTGAAAGGAGTGAGGGGCAGCCCGGAGCCGCCCCTCGACACAGGGGACACAGGAAGGACCAGGCCCCGGAGGAAGGGGAGGGAGGGAGCGGGGAAGACCAGAGACAAGGACACGAGAAGCCATGCCTCGGAGACGAAGCAGGGAAGGGTGACCAAGACGGTGGTGCCATAGGAGAGTCTCGTGAGACAGGAGGCGACACGAGCAGGGAGCAGACTCAGGACCAGACTTGGACGCTGCAGCAAACACCTGACCCGACGCAGCTACCTGGCCAGAAGCAGGGATAGGAGGGGACCCAGTAGTCAGGGTGTAGAGGCTCGACCCCGGCCGACGCGTAAAGGTGGCCAGGTGCCGGCCCGTGCGAGCGTCCGAGCAGTGGGTCACCCGCTGACTCGCAGGAGTAAACTAGTGAACCCGCGTATCCTGCAGGTCAGCACCACTCACCAAGTTCGTAGAGAACGAGGGGAGGTAAAGACCTCACAAGGTGCCAGAGGGGGTAGCCGGACATGGGAGGACAGTGGAGAAGTGAGAGAGGACAGGACCCCCAGAGGGGTCTGCCAGGGAGACTGCAACCGGCCGACCAAGCGGCGTGAGTGTAGTGCGGTCTCGAAAGAAGGAGTGAGAAGCCCCTGAGTCAAGTGTGAAGGTGACGGAGGCCGAAGCCGACGTGGTACCTGAGAGCGCAGACTCACCAACACCTGAGGGCGCAGACGCACTGGCACCTAGAGCAGCAGCCTCATCAGCACCTAGAGCAGCAGTACCAATGCCCGGGTCGGGCGCGAAACACCGGTAACAGTCACCCTCATCACTAATAGTCACAGCATACATGGCAGCAATGATAGCATCAAAGACAAGATCATAGATAGCTACGCCTGCCCTAGATAGCTCTCCCCAACAAAAAACCTCACTAGCCTCCGGGAACTACTGACGCCAAGCGTCCGTCAGGCGGCCAAAGCAGCGCTGGGTGGGGTGGGCACCCCCACACTGCTCACCCGCGTGGTCGCCGTAGCGAAGGACGTAGGTGCACGGGCCAAAATCCCCACCACGCTGACGCTGCGTGTACCACTCACGGATCTGCTGAGGAGGGGGGATGTCCCGAGAACGCTGCTGCTGCTGCTGCTGCTGGCGCTGACCACCACCGGAGCCGCTCCGCTGCGAAGCACCACCCCGACCAGCTCCACCTCCTCCGCCATCGCCGCCTCCACCTCCGCCACCACCGCCGCCTCCGCTCCCACCGCTACCGCCTCCGCCGCCTCCGCCTCCGCTGCTACCACCACCACCTCCACCCCCGCCACCACTCCCACTGCCACCCCCACTCCCTCCACCGCCTCCACCGCCACCTCCACCACCCCCGCTAGCTCCACCCGCGCCGGCCTTGCCCTTGCCAGATCAGCATCTCCCGCTCAGGGCAGACGCCGCACCGACCGACTCAAGACCAACGAGGTCGGCCGCAGCAGCAGAGGCGACAAAGGGCAACAGGGGGGAAGGGGAACACCCCTCAAAGATGGGGGTGCGAGGGTCACCACGAGAGGCTCCTACAGTGACTATGCTCTTCTCCGCTGCTAGGAGGGCCTTCTCTAGGAGGTCAACAGTGAGAGTGGTGGGACAGATGTCAGAACATATATATAGCTTATACTATTGTGTAGGCTGTAGTGGGGTATCCCATAGGGGGTACAACCAGTTAGAGTTTCCTATTTGTACTCACTTCATTCATAGTTCATTCATTCTCGTTCTATTCTCAACATGGTATCGAGCAGGTTCCCCCGTGGGAACTGTGCTTAGGGCCCACCACCTTTAAACTTTTTTCTGCCCGGAGCGCGCTCCGGGCCCTCGCTTTCACCTTTTTTTTTTCGGCCTGCCCTGAGGCCCCTAGCCGCCCACGCGCCGCCCGTCCCGGCCCCTAGCCGCCCACGCGCCGCCCGTTCAGGCCCCTAGCCGCCCGCGCGCGCCTGTTCAGGCCCCTAGCCGCCCAAGCGCCGCCTGTCCCGGCCCCTAGCCACCCACGCGCCGCCCGTTCAGGCCCTTAGCCGCCCGCGCGCGCCCGTTCAGGCCCCTAGCCACCCACGCGCTGCTCGTTCAGGCCCTTAGCCGCCCGCGCGCCGCCTGTCCCGGCCCCTACCTGCCCGCTGGCCGCCCGTCCCGGCCCCTCGACGCCCGCGCGCCGCCGTCCCGGCCCCTAGCCGCCCGCTGGCCGCCCGTCCCGGCCTCTCGACGCCCGCGCGCCGCCCGTCCCGGCCCCTGATCGCCCGCGCGCAGCCCGTCCCGGCCACTAGCCGCCCACTGGCCGCCCGTCCCGGCCCCTTGACGCCCGCGCGCCGCCCGTCCCGGCCCCTAGCCGCCCGCTGGCCGCCCGTCCCGGCCCCTCGACGCCCGCGCGCCGCCGCCCCGGCCCCTAGCCGCCCGCTGGCCGCCCGTCCCGGCCTCTCTACGCCCGCGCGCCGCCCGTCCCGGCCCCTGATCGCCCGCGCGCCGCCCGTCCCAGCCCCGGGCCGCCCTGTGTCGCTGACAGCCCGAGCCGCCCGAGCCGCCCGAGCCGCCCTCGCCGCCCTCGCCGCCCGAGCCGCCCGAGCCGCCCGAGCCGCCTGCACCGCCTGAGGAGCCGAGCCGCTGGTCCTGCGTAGCTGCTGTTGCTGCTGAGCCGGTTGAGCTGCTGTGTTGCTGTACTGCTGTGCTACTGCGCTGCCCGACCCGTCCTGTCTGGTGAGACCTTCTACTGCTGTCATGGCTACCCCTAGTGTCCTAGCTTTTGACGCTGAGGGTCGCGCCATTGACTTTGAGGTCTGGGTCGACGACCTGCAGCTGTTCTTACAGTGCGACAGAGCAGACGGCGTTTCTCTCTTTGACCTCACTTCTGGTGCCTCTCCTGCCTCTGCTGCTGATGCTGATCCCACTGTGTGCTCTCAGTGGGCCACCCGCGATGCTTCTGCACGTCTTGCTGTGCGTCGCCACCTCCCTACCTCTGAGCGCGCGCACTTTAGTCAGTACAAGAGTGCTCAGACCTTGTACGACGCTGTAGTCGCGCGCTACTCCTCCCCTGCCACTGCTGCACTGAGCCGTCTCATGCTTCCCTACCTCTTTCCTGACCTCTCTGCCTTTCCCACTGTCGCTGACCTCATTACGCACCTCCGCACTAGTGACACTCGCTACCGCGCCGCCATTCCTGCTTAGTTCTGCGCCAAGAACCCCCCCCCCATGTACATCACTCTCTACTACGTAGTCGCGCGCCTCCCTGACTCTCTTCGCGTAGTCAGGGACCACTTTCTCGCGGTCTGTCCCACCACCCTCACCGTCGACACCCTCGAGAAGGCCCTCCTCGCGGCGGAGAAGAGCATCGTCGCTGTAGGAGCTTCTCGTGGTGACCCTCGCACCCCCATCTTTGAGGGGTGCTCTCCTTCCCCCTCCTGCCCTCTGTTGCCTCTGCTGCTGCTGCCGGCCTGCTTGGTCTCGAGTCGATTGGCGCGGCGTCTGCCCCTAGTGGGAGACGCCGCTCTGGCAAGGGCAAGGGGGGCAAGGGCGCGGGTGGAGCTGGAGGGGGCGGTGGAGGTGTCGGTGGAGGCGGCGGAGGGAGTGGGGGTGGCGGCGGGAGTGGTGGAGGGGGTGGTGGTGGTAGTGGTGGCAGCGGCGGAGGAGGCGGCGTTGGTGGCGGCAGCGGTGGTGGTGGCGGCAGTGGTGGCGGTGACGGTGGGGGAGGCAGCGGCGGAGGAGGCGGTGGTGGCGGAGGAGGTGGAGCTGGTCGGGGCGGTACCTAGCAGCGGAGCGGCGGTGGTGGTGGTCAGCGCTCGCAGCAGCAGCAGCAGCAGCGTTCGCGCGACATCCCTCCGCCCCAGCAGCTCCGTGAGTGGTACACTCGACGTCAGAGGGGTGGGGGTACTGGTCCTTGTACCTACGTCCTTCGCTCTGGCGACCGCGCGGGTGAGCAGTGTGGGGGTGCCCACCCCACCCAGCGCTGCTTTGACCGCCTGACGGACGCTTGGCGTCAGCAGTTCCCCGGAGCTAGTGAGATCCCTCGCTGGGATGAGCTTCTTAGGGCTGGTGTAGCGATCTTTGATCTTGATTTTGATGCTATCCTTGCTGCTATGTATGCTGTAACTATTAGTAAGGAGGGTGACTGTTACCGGTGTTTCCCGCCCGACCCGGGCATTGGTACTGCTGCGCTAGGTGCTTGTGAGGCTGCTGCTCTAGGTGCCAGTGCGTCTGAGCTCTCAGGTGCTGGTGAAACTGCGCTCTCAGGTACTGCGTCGCCTTCGTCCTCCCTCACTTTCACACTTGACTACGGGGCTTCTCGCTCCTTCTTTCGAGACCGCACCACCCTCACGCCGCTTGGCCGGCCGGTTGCGGTCTCCCTGGCTGACCCCTCTGGGGGTCCTGTCCTCTCTCACTTCTCCACTGTCCTCCCGTGTCTGGCTGCCCCCTCGGGCACCCTGTCTGGTCTGTACCTTCCCTCGTTCTCGATGAACTTGGTGAGTGGTGCGGACCTACAGGATGCGGGGGTTCACCAGTTCACTCCTGCGAGTCAGCGGGTGACCCACTGCACGGACGCACGCACAGGCCGGCACCTGGCCACGTTCTCGCGTCGGCCGGGGTCGAGCCTCTACACCCTGACCACTACGTCTCCTCCTGTCCCTGCGTCTGGTCAGGTAGCTGCGTCAGGTCAGGTGTTTGCTGCTGCGTCCCGGTCAGGTCCTGAGTCTGCCCCCTGTTCGTGTCGCCTCCTGTCTCACGAGACTCTCCTGTGGCACCACCGTCTGGGCCACCCCTCCTTGCCCCGTCTTCGAAGCATGGCTTCCCGTGTCCTTGTCTTTGGTCTTCCCCAGTCTCTCCCTCCCCTTCCTTCCGGGCCAGGACCTTCCTGTGTCCCCTGTGTTGAGGGGCGCCTCCGGGCTGCTCCTCACTCCTCCCAGTTCCCCCCGAACGGAGGCTCCTCTGCAGACGCTTCACATGGACGTGTGGGGCCCGGCCCCCGTCCGTGGGCAGGGTCACGAGCGCTACTTCCTGTTGGTTGTTGACGACTACTCGCGTTACACCACAGTCCTCCCCTTGCGCAGCAAGGGTGCTGTCACTGAGGTGCTGATCGACTGGATCCGCGAGGCTCGTCTCCAGCTCAGGAGGAGCTTCGGCTCGGACTTTCCTGTTCTGCGTCTGCACTCGGACAGAGGCGGGGAGTTCTCCTCTCGCCTTCTGCGAGACTACTGTCGTGCACGGGGGATCCGCCAGACCTTCACGCTTCCGGACTCTCCACAGCAAAATGGGATTGCAGAGCGCCGCATTGGCATGGTCATGGATGTCGCTCGTACGTCCATGATGCATGCGGCTGCCCCCCATTTTCTGTGGCCGTTTGCGGTGAGGTACGCGGCGCATCAGCTCAACCTTCACCCCAGGGTCTCTCGGCCCGCGATGTCCCCAGTGTTACTGTGGACGGGGAAGGTCGGCGATGCGTCTGCGTTCCGTGTCTGGGGATCTCGGGCGTTTGTCCGCGACTTGTCTGCGGACAAGCTGTCCCCTCGTGCTGCTCCCTGTGTCTTCCTTGGCTTCCCCCCTGACGCTCCAGGGTGGCAGTTCTACCACCCCTCCTCTCGTCGTGTTCTGTCCTCCCAGGACGTCACGTTCGACGAGTCAGTCCCCTTCTACCGCCTCTTCCCCTACCGCACTCCTTCCCTTCCCCCACCACCGGACTTCCTTGTGCCGGTTCCCCCCCCGGTAGACCCCCCCCCCCCCTCAGGTTCCTGCCCCCTCAGGTGTGTCCCAGGTAGACGCAGTTGACCCGGTCGAGGTTACTGGTGACTCTGGTGCTGCTGCGGGTGCTGAGCCTGGGGGTGCTGACTCTGGGGGTGCTGTGCGCCGGGGTGCCGAGCCTGGGGGTGCTACTGCGGAGGGTGCTGGGCCTGGGGGTGCTGACTCTGGGGGTGCTGTGCGCGGGGGTGCCGAGCCTGGGGGTGCTCCTGCGGAGGGTGCTGAGCCTGGGAGTGCTGAGCCAGGGGGGTGCTGTGCCTGGAGCTGCTGAGCTAGGGGGTGCTGCGTCTGGAGCTACTGGGCCTGGGGGTGCTGCGTCTGGGGCTGCTGAGCCTGGGGTTTCTCCTGGTGCTGCGTCTCGGCGGGAGCCCCTTTCTCCACAGGAGCTGCGCGAGTGGTTTGCTCGCCGCTGGAGGCGTGCTGCTGGAGCTGGAGCTTCTTCGACCGTCGAGGGTGCTGGTGCCGCCGGTCCCGGAGCTGCTGGGCCTGCGGGTCCTACTGGAGCTGGGGCTGCTGAGGGTGTTGGTGCTGAGACTACTGCTGTCTGTCCTCGCGGTGGTTCTCCTGCTGGTGCTGCTGGAGGTCCAGCCGCTGGAGGTGTTGGTGGCGCTGGTGCTGCCGCTGAGGGTGCTGGTGCTGTCCCTGCTGAGTCTGGAGCTGCCGCGCGGCCTCGACCGTACTTCGTTCCGCTCCTGCAGCAGGTTCTTGGTCTTTCTCCTCCGGTAGAGTGTCCACAGCCTGTCCAGTCGCAGTCACTGTTGGAGCCTTCCTCCCCTCTTCCTGCTCCCTCCCCTTACACTAGTCCTACTGGAGGTCTTGCTGAGCGTCGTGAGCCTGCGTCTCGTCCCGCGTCACCTGTTCGTGCTGCTCGCGCTAGTGGTCGCGGTTCGCGTCAGCGTCCTCCTCCTGTCCCTGGCACGCACCGGATGTCTCTGCGTCCGTCCACTGCTCCTCTGCGTGCCCCTTTGCCTTCTCCTCCTGAGTCCTCTCTTCCTGCGCTTGCCGACCCTGAGTCGGACTCCCTTCGTGCTGCCAGTCCTACTGTCACGCGTCTGCTTGCCACTGTCGTCACTGACCCCTCGTTTGAGTCCACTGCTGCGTCTGCTCTTGTCGCTGAGCTCGTCGACTTTGCTGCTCGCTGTCGTCTAGACTACGCTGCTAGTCTTGTTGCTGAGTCTGCGTCTGTCTGTCCTCCGTCCGTCGGGGGTGAGTGTGCTCTTGGCACGGACGTCCTAGAGGACAGGCAGGAGGAGTTACAGTGTCTGGCTGCTGCTTCACCTCATCTCGCGTCTGTACTGCTTGCTCCTGAGGGAGACCCGGATGCACTAGACATCCCGACTCCGCGCTCTTACGCGGAGGCCGTAGAGGGTCCCTACTCGTCTCAGTGGCAGGCAGCTATGGATGCAGAGATGGCTTCCTGGAAGTCCACAGGCACCTACGTTGACGCGGTTCCTCTTCCTGGGGCGAACATCGTCAGTGGCATGTGGATCTTCAGGGTGAAGCGGCCGCCGGGCTCTCCACCTGTCTTCAAGGCGCGGTACGTCGCTCGTGGCTTCAGTCAGCGGCAGGGAGTTGACTACTTTCAGACCTTCTCTCCCACCCCGAAGATGACCACTCTTCGGGTGCTGCTGCACATAGCCGCTCAGCGCGACTACGAGCTTCACTCTCTCGACTTCAGCACTGCGTTCTTGCAGGGTAGCCTGCACGAGGAGATCTGGCTGCGCCGTCCACCTGGCTTCACTGGGACTTTCCCTCCTGGCACCCAGTGGAGCCTCCGACGGCCAGTCTACGGTCTCCGCCAGGCACCGCGTGAGTGGCACGACACACTGAGGACTACGCTTGCGGCTCTTGGGTTTGCTCCTTCTACTGCTGACCCGTCGCTGTTTCTGCGCACCGACACTTCACTGCCGCCGTTCTACATCCTCGTGTACGTCGACGACTTGGTCTTTGCCACAGCGGACACTGCTGGACTCGCCTACGTGAAGTCCGAGCTGCTGAAGAGACACACTTGCACAGACCTGGGTGAACTGCGCAGCTACCTTGGCTTGCAGATCACTCGGGACAGAGCACGCCGCACCATTACCTTGACTCAGTCACACATGGTGCAGCAGGTCCTTCAGCGCTTCGGCTTCACGTACTCCTCGCCTCAGGCCACTCCTCTGTCTACCCGCCACTCACTCTCAGCTCTGCCTTCGGATGAGTCCGTAGAGTCGAGTGGCCCGTACCCAGAGCTTGTTGGCTGCCTCATGTACCTGATGACCTGCACACGACCTGACCTTGCATACCCTCTGAGCATTCTTGCACGCTATGTTGCTCCTGGGAGACACCGACCAGAGCACATGGCTGCAGCGAAGAGGGTATTGCGCTACCTGTGCATGGGGCTAGTGCTTGGAGGGCAGAGTCCAGTGGTCCTTACAGGTCACGCGGACGCTTCTTGGGCTGACGACCAGGCTACGCAGCGGTCGTCACAGGGTTACACCTTCAGCCTTGGCTCCGGCTCTGTCTCGTGGCGGGCTACTCGTTCGTCTTCGGTTCTCAGCTCCAGCTGTGAGGCTGAGATCTACGCAGGGGCCATGGCTGCACAGGAGCTTCGCTGGCTCACCTACCTGCTGACTGACCTTGGAGAGCCTCCTCGTTCTCCTCCAGTGCTGTACGTAGACAACAAGGCCATGCTGGCCTTGTGTCGAGAGCAGCGTCTGGAGCACAGAACGAAGCACATTGCTCTTCGCTACTTCCTTGCTCGTGAGCTACAGCAGCGTGGACAGTTGCGGCTTGCGTACGTGGCCTCTGAGGCCAACACTGCTGATGTGTTCACCAAGGCACTCGCGCCTTGTGACCATCAGCGCTTCTGCACCCAGCTGGGTCTTGTGCGTGTCTTGCCTCACTTGCTCTCCTCTTGACTTTACTTGTACTGTGACATATATATACCTGCTCTTGCTTGTCTAGCTTTATATATATGTCTGTACTCTTGCATGTGAACTGGCCTTTGGCCTTGCTCTTGTGCTGGGACTGTGTGGTGACTTTGTGATCCACCCTGAGCTTTGCTTTGCTTTGCTTGACTGGTCTTCTGACCCCTTGTTCTCCCCCACTTTGCCTATGGGGGTGTGTCAGAACATATATATAGCTTATACTATTGTGTAGGCTGTAGTGGGATATCCCATAGGGGGTACAACCAGTTAGGGTTTCCTATTTGTACTCACTTCATTCATAGTTCATTCATTCTCGTTCTATTCTCAACAACAGACTGAGAGGAAGTGGTCCTTGACTACGCGAAGGGAGTCAGGGAGGCGGGTGACTATATAATAGAGAGTGATGTACATGTGGGGGGGGGTTCTTGGCGCAGAACTCAGCAGGAAGCGCGGCGTAGTAGCGAGTGTCACTAGTGCGGAGGTGCGTAATGAGGTCAGCGACTGTGGGAAAGGCAGCAAGGTCAGGGAAGAGGTGCGGTAGCATGAGGCGGCTCAGTGCAGCAGTGGCAGGGCAAGAGTAGCGCGTAACTACAGCGTCGTACAAGGTCTGAGCACTCTTGTACTGACTAAAGTGCGCGCGCTCAGTAGTAGGCAGGTGGCGACGCACAGCAAGACGTGCAGCAGCATCGCGCGTGGCCCACTGGGAGCGAACAGTGGGGTCAGCATCAGCAGCAGGGGCAGGAGAGGCGCCAGAGGTGAGGTCAAAGAGGGAGAGACCGTCTGCCCTATCGCACTGTAGGAAAAGCTGCAGGTCATCTACCCAAACCTCAAAGTCAATGGCTCGACCCTCAGCGTCAAAAGCGAGAACACTGGGGGTAGTCATGACAGCAGTAGACTAGCAGTACCAACTGTAGGACAGGGGCAGTGCAGTGACAGAAGCGCTGCTCTCACCAGACAGGGCGGGTCGGGCAGCTCAGCAGTACAGCAACACGGCAACACGTTGCTCGGAAGGCTCAACAACAACTGCGGCTCCGTGGTGCCAGCGGCTCGGCTCCTCAGGCGGCTCGGGCGGCTCAGGCGGCTCGGACGGCTCGGGCGGCTCGGGCGGCTCGGGCGGCTCGGGCTGGGCGGGCGGCTCGGGCAGCTCAGGAGAGTCAGGCGGCTCGGGCGGCTCGGGCAGCTCGGGCAGGTCGGGCGGCTCGGGCGGCTCGGGCGGTTCGGGCGGCTCGGGCGGTTCGGGCGGCTCGGGCGGCGCGGGCGGTGTAGGGCGGCAGGGCCGCTGGTGCGAGGGGCGGCGGGGCCGCTGAGAAGGGCGGCTGGGCTGCAGTTGAAGGGCGGCGGGGCCGCTGAGTAGGGTGGCGGGGCCGCTGAGAAGGGCGGCGGGGCCGCTGCGGAAGGGCGGCGGGGCCGCTGTGTAGGGCGGCGGGGCCGCAGTAGAAGGGCGGCGGGGCCGCTGAGTAGGGCGGCGGGGCCGCTGAGTAGGGCGGCGGGGCCGCTGAGTAGAGCGGCGGGGCCGCTGAGTAGAAGGGCGGCGGGGCCGCTGAGTAGGGCGGCGGGGCCGCTGAGTAGGGCGGCGGGGCCGCAGCGAGGGAGGCAGCGGGGCCGCAGCGAAGGGCGGCGGGGCCGCTGAAATGTGTGGCGAGGCCGCAATGTGGGGCGACGGGGCCGCCGAGAAGTGCGGGGCCGCAGCGACGGGCGGCGGGGCCGCGGAGACGGGCGGCGTGGCCGCAATGCGGGGCGACGGGGCCGCTGAGAAGGGCGGGGCCGCAGCGACGGGCGGTGGGGCCGCTAAGTAGGGCGGGGCCCGCTGAGAAGGGCGGCGGGGCCGCTGAGACGGGCGGCGGGGCCGCACTAAAGGGCGGCGGGGCCGAATCGACGGGCGGCGGGGCCGCTAGGGGAAGGGGCCGCTAGGGCGATAGGGCCGCTAGGGCGTAGGGGCCGCTAGGGCGGCTCGACGAGGTGAGAGCTCGGAGCGCGACTCGGGCGGAGCGCGCTTCGGTTAGGAGAAAAAAAATGAAACTCGATGTGGTGGGCCCTAGGCACAGTTCCCAAGGGGGAACCTGCTCTGATACCATGAGGAAAGTACAACGAGAATGGATGGACTAAGGAATGGAAGTGATACAAATATACAACCCTAGAAATGTGTACCGCATATCGGCTACCCCACTATAGCCTACACAATATTATAATTTGACAATACCGTCGCAGCCAATCACGTCCCAGTAAAATATCGTGCCCATCCAGTGTCGTTGCGAGCATTTCCTGTGTAAACCCGAAATTTCCCCCGCAGCGGACTTTGACTCGCTCTACCTTTTCCCGTATGGCTAGTGGCGTGCCGTCGAATAAGCGTGCGTCTATCTCCGGTAAGCAACGGCTAAGTGTCAGCTGTAGTTTTCGTGCGGTTGCAGTATTAACTAAACTGTGGCTTGCTCCTCCGTCTATAAAAATCTTCACTGCTGCTCCCTGTATTTTCCCGTGGATCAGTACTGGGCAATCCGTCGCTGTACCCTCCTTATTCATCCGAGCACGATCGATGGCGTGAATCGGTACTGTGACTCGGTGAGGGTCGGAGCGGTTGGGCGAGCAGGCAGTCTCGTCAGTAGTTGGCCCAACTTCTACTGACTGCTGGCGTTTCCCTGCCTCTGAGACTTCTCCCCTTGCTCTGCTCCGCGGCGCTTTAGCTCGTCTGGGCATTCGCTCTTGCGATGGCCCGGCCTGTTGCAAGCAAAGCAGCGCCCCTTAAACGGTGCGGCAACTGCATTAGTGGCGTGCTCGATCGGTCCCCGAGGACGATGTCCGTAGTAGGACCCCAGTCTCGGTCGGCGTAGAATGTCGATTTTCTCGGCGAGCGCGAGAATCTCGTTGAAGTTTGAGAGTCCGCGCAGCATGATTTCGTGCGAGATATCCGGCTTCAGCCCTCCGACGTAACGGTCCACCCGCTCCGCTTCGTGCATGTAGCCGACCTGCTCGTAAAGTGCGAGAAAACCGCTCGTGTGATCTTGAACCGACCCGAGCTGCCGCCAAGTGCGCAATCTCTGACGCGCCGAAATAGAAGCCGCGATCGGCTCGAAGCGCGCCCGAAGCCCTGCGCACCACGCATTCCACGTGCTCTATTGGGCGGTCTCGCAGATTGAACTCCAGGTAACAGCTGGGCCCGTGGGCCATTCCTCTTGCGACGGTGGCTCGTAGGCGCGTGGCGACGTCACGATGACTCGCCACCAGTCCATGGCGGGGCCCCTTAACAGCGAAACGGCATACCGAATCTTCGCTGCGTCCGACTCGACGTAATTCGCGTCGAAGAAGACGTTCATCGTGAAAACCCACGATTGAACCGTCGGACCTCCACATTGGCTTGGGTCGAAGCAGGGCGGGCGTTGCGGCTTGAGTGGCATGGGTGCCATAATGGCCTGTTCGCCACTTGTCGCCGCGAACTCCACGTGCCGACGGGCTTCACGAGACTCCGACGGGCTTCACGAGACTCCTGCGGGCTTGGTGCGACCCTGTTTCCTCCCATGCCAGGCATCGGCTGGGCGGCGCCGTCACTAGCTGCGCCTGAGCGTTGTCCCACGCTGTCGTGTTGCGTTGGTGTGCCGGACGAAATGACGATCGGCTCGTCTTATTGTGCAGATGCATTTGTCGGTGCGTGTGGTGGCGCTGGAATGTTCACCGTGGACTGGTGACGTGCGGAGTCACGTTCCGCCGTGAGCGTCGCAATTCCGAATCTTCAAGTTGGCGCACCAGACGGTCAAGCTGCTCCTGCGTCAATGTGGCGAGCGTGAATTCGGCCATGGCGGGGGTGTGGGGCGAGCTCAGCGAGAGCCTCGGTCGTGGCCGTGCGTGCTTACGAGAGAGCACTACGAGCGGCGGTGCTGTGTCGCTGAGGGACGTCTACCCCCCCCAAAAAATTGAGATAGTGGGGAAGCGAATGTGTGGGTGCGGTCCGAGAGGAGATCGTAGGCTCTGAATACCAAGTGTTACGAGTGCAATTGAGTGAACGAACGAGAATTGCACTATCGAAGCAAGAGTCCAATGAGCGAAGGAATGAGCGAAGAATATATAGCGAAACTACAGTGGTAACGGTAATGGACTGTGGTTGTCGCGCGACGGGCCTGGGACTGAGGTTGGGAAAAGTGTCGAAGCGGAGGCCTGGAGCGCGGGTTACCCGCCGAGCCGTGAGGTCGGGGTGCGACGTGCGAAGGTGGCGGGCGGATTGTCGATGCGAGGATTGCGAGTGGTAACGGTGCTGACTGTGGTGCTACAGTGATGTACGCGTTGAGGAGGGATGCGAAGTAAGGAAAATGAATTTTCCTTACACGAAGTTGGGAATGCCAATGTTGGGTTTGAGGACAGCGCGGTGACGACAAAACTCGGCTCGCAGGATTACAGTAATTTACAAAAAGATTGCGGGAACTCAACTTCACGATTTCTTCCCGCAATCTGCGTGACCAAGATTCTTCAATCAACTCGCCTTTTCCGCGCAGGTGCCAATCAACCGCAGATAGCCGTTTTCCTCTTCGAATTCCAGTTTAGGCGCTACACTCGACCCTTCTCACGTCTGCCCGCGCCATCCCCGCCGATGGCTGTCGCTGCCGCCTCCGCGGCGCTGGCTCACGGCGAGCCGAACACGGCGGAGGCGGAAGCCTTGCGCCAGATCGGCGCAATGGAGGCGCTGCTAGCGCGCGCGGACGAACATATCACATCCATCGCCGCCTGCGGCACTCGCGGGGGGCCCACGCGCGCGCAGCTCCCCGCGCTGACGGCGGGCGCGCAGAACGCGCTGGCGGCGCTTGGGGGCGTGGAGCGGGAGTTGCGGTCGCTGGCGGAAGAGATGGCGGAGGGCAACGAGTGCGCGGTTGGGGCCCGCGAGGAGGGCGGCGGAGGCGGAAGCGAAAGCTTTGCGCAGAGGTAGGCGGGGGGCGAGCGCGATCGGTGAGCGAGGGTAGAGAGAGTATTGATTGATGGCGGAGGAGATGGGGAAGAGGTGACAGGAAGGACGGGTGGACGGGAGGGAAGGGGGGTGCAGATGTCGCGCTCTAGACCTCGGTAGAAGAGGGGGAAGAGGGCGAGCGAGAAGGGGGCACGGGTGGGTAAGGCTGGCTTGAAAGAGTGAACGGGTAGGGCCCGCCGTTACCGGCGCTTAAAGGCACCTACCCCACCCACTCCCCTTTCCATTTCCGCTTCTCTCCCTCCCCCTCCCCGTCCCCCTCCCCTTCTCCCCCCCCCCCAATCCCACCACCACTATCCCTACCACTCTGCGCATTTCTGATTCTCAACATCATCAAGGAAACAGAAACTCATTTGTTGCTGCTCCCCTGCTGCCTCACTACGCTGATGTCAGCTGACTGCTCAAAAGGCTGAGAATCCGTTGTTAGCCTGGCTGCCAATGCCTGTATGGCTTCCTCACGCCCTCTCCCAGCTTCCTCACGCCCTCTCCCAGCTTCCTCCTCCTTCTGCTGCTCCTCCTGTCACCTCTCTTGTGTTACATTTTCCTCCCCCTCACCCCCCTCCGCCTCACCACACCCTCCTTCCAGAGTCCGACCGCCACTTGAACCCCTGTAGGCCCTGCGGGCAGCATCTGGTAAGTCGCTGAGTCGCTCCTTCACCAACTGAAGTGGGCCGTGCTCGCTCAGCCAGGGCGAACGAATGGTTCTTTCACTCCTCCTTCCCTCCTCGCTTTCATTGCCGCTCTCTCTTCCCTGAGCCCGTGTGGCAGCAACTCACGTGGGGGTCTGTGGCAGCTGCTCAAGGCGCATGTGCAGACGCTGGGTAGCCTCAAGAGAATCTTACTTCTCCGGGTCCTCCCTCAACTTCCCTCCTGCCCTTTCTTTGCCGTTCCATTCCCTCCCCAAACCCTCCCCACCCCCACCCGCCTCTCCCCTCCCTCCGCCACAACCCCCACCCCCGCCTTCCTCTTTTCCGCAGAGTCCCCGTGTGGCAGCAGGTGCAGGCGGCCCTGCAGCAGCTGCACCAGGCGCATCCAGTGTAACCACCAGTGCTCCGCCTCCCTCCCTTCCCCCCTCCCTCCTTCATCCGTCCCTGCTCCACCTTCCTCACTCCCTCCCTCCCTTCCTCCCGCCCTCCCTCTCTCTTGCCCTCCGTCCCTCCCTTCCTTCAACCCCGCCCTCCCTCCTCCGTCCGTGCGCCACCCGCTTCCATCCTCCCGTGGCGCTGTTTTCTTTTCCTGTGTTTGCGTTTCCTTGGCCCATCGCACGGCTCATTGGTGCTTCCTTTCAAGCTGTCTGTGTTTCTCGCTCCCCCCCTCTCTATTCCTCTCTCCTCCTCGCTCTCTTCCTCGCACCACCACCACACAGAATCACGCTCTCTCTGCCATTTCTCACACTAGTTCTCCACACGCTCTCTCTGCCTTGTCATTATCCCCTCTCTGTTGCACCCTTCCCAACCGAACCGTCATGTTTCCGTCAAATCTCCAACCAGACTGCGGCAGCGGTTGCGCCATGCCACCATGACGGCTCAACACAATCTCACGCGGCAAGCACACAAGGAGGTGGGGCTGATATCATGAGTGGGGTGCGGTGGGGGAGGGGGGAGGGGGGATGGGTTAAGGGTTGCACGAGGGAGGGTGGGGGTTGGTAGCACGAGGGAGGGTGAGGGTTGGTAGCACGAGGGAGGGTGGGGGTTGGTAGCACGAGGGAGGGTGGGGGTTGGTAGCACGAGGGAGGGTGGGGGTTGGTAGCACGAGGGAGGGTGGGGGTGGGGGAGGGAGTCTGTACTCGTTTTGAGATAACTCCGCTTCATCCCGTTGGTCCTTTAAACGAATGGCTCATCTCATTGGAGGAGGCGGGGAGTGAAGGACAGCTGCCATGACAGCTCGTCATAACTCATGTGGCGATCAAATTAGTGCGTGGGGCAGGTATGGCAAAGATGGCGACACAGAACGAACCCTCTAGCTGCGATGCGTTTTCCTCTAGCAGAAAATGACCCCTCGTGGCACGTCAACCCTTCTTCTTCCCACGCTTTTCATTCTGCTTTCATGGAATGGTTGCCTGTGTGTGCACGCAAAATAATTTTATTTTGGGATCTGGGGGTGGATAAGAAGGCTGGCTGTGTGGTGGAGGCGTTTGTTGACATGTGAATTGGGCATGAGTGCATGTTTGGTTGGTTGTGACGTTTCGGTGCGCATGTGTCATCATATCCCCCTCTTGTCCATGTGCTGTTCATGTGCACATGTGGGAACAGAGAGACGAGCTGCTAGGGGCAGGACGAGAGGCATCGTTGCGGCGAAGAAAACTAGAGTGCGTACTATTCCCTCTCATGCTTCCTATTCCCTCTCATGCTCAAATATATATACCATCTCATACCATCTCATACCCTCTCATACCCTCTCATAACCCCTCTCATACCATCTCATACCTTCTCATACTCTCCCATAATCTCTCGTACTCCGCCTGTCATACCCTCTCGTATTCTCTCCCATTTTCTCTGATCACCAGCATGCCTCACATGTGTGCGTCTGTGTCCTCCACACACCGATCTGGAAAATCACAGCAAGATGCATTCTTGTGTGCTCTGTCGTTCTTGCTTTCATGTTGCGTCCTTGTCCCGTGTGTGCTTGTATTGCATGTGTTTGTATCTCTTGTGCTTGTATCACATGTGCTTTTATCACATATTGAATCAGATCAGCAGCACAGATGGCAGCAGCAGCTGAGGAGGTCACTTCCACGCTCCGACGAACACGACACGTCATGGAACAGGTAAGATGATGACGTGGCAGGAACAGGTAGGATGGCGTCGTGGTGTGGCGGCAGGAACATGAGGGATGATGACGTGGCAGGAACAGGTGGGATGATGACATGGCAGGAACAGGTGGGATGCTGATGTGGCAAGACCAGGTGAGATGGTGTCGTGGCAGGAACAGGTGGGATGGAATGATATGCGTGGATGGTAATGGGTGAGATAATGACTTCGCAGGAGCAGTGAGACGATGACGTGGCATGGAACAGTTAGTACGATGATGATGATGTGGCATGGATCGGTTGGGATGTCAAGGTAGAATTGTCTTCATCGGCTCCATTTTTCTCCACACCGCATTCTCTTCTTCACTGCACTCTTCATCGCATCGCATGGCATGGCATGGCATCTCATGGCATGGTATGACATCTCATGGCATGGCATGGCATGGCATGGCATGGCATGGCTTGGCATGGCATGATATTGCAATCCATGGCATGGCAGGAGGTGCAACGTGGCGTGCACACATTGGAGGAACTCGGTGAGTTGATTGGGCTCTGGTATCAGCTCCTTTGGATGGGCGCTGGTCTCCCATCTAACCACGGCATCGTGCATCCCTCCCTCCATTCTCCTCATGCCATCCCTCCCTCCATTCTCCTCATGCCATCCCTCCCTCCATTCTCCTCATGCCATCCCTCCCTCCATTCTCCTCATGCCATCCCTCCCTCCATTCTCCTCATGCCATCCCTCCCTCCATTCTCCTCATGGCATCCCTCCCTCCATTCTCCTCATGGCATCCCTCCCTCCATTCTTCTCATGGCATCCCTCCCTCCATTCTCCTCATGGCATCCCTCCCTCCATTCTCCTCATGGCATCCCTCCCTCCATTCTTCTCATGGCATCCCTCCCTCCATTCTCCTCATGGCATCCCTCCCTCCATTCTCCTCATGGCATCCCTCCCTCCATTCTCCTCATGGCATCCCTCCCTCCATTCTCCTCATGGCATCCCTCCCTCCATTCTCCTCATGGCATCCCTCCCTCCATTCTCCTCATGGCATCCCTCCCTCCATTCTCCTCATGGCATCCCTCCCTCCATTCTCCTCATGGCATCCCTCCCTCCATTCTCCTCATGGCATCCCTCCCTCCATTCTCCTCATGGCATCCCTCCCTCCATTCTCCTCATGGCATCCCTCCCTCCATTCTTCTCATGGCATCCCTCCCTCCATTCTCCTCATGGCATCCCTCCCTCCATTCTCCTCATGGCATCCCTCCCTCCATTCTCCTCATGGCATCCTTCCCTCCATTCTCCTCATGGCATCCCTCCCTCCATTCTCCTCATGGCATCCCTCCCTCCATTCTCCTCATCACATCCCTCCCTCCATTCTCCTCATGGCATCCCTCCCTCCATTCTCCTCATGGCATCCCTCCCTCCATTCTCCTCATGGCATCCCTCCCTCCATTCTCCTCATGGCATCCCTCCCTCCATTCTCCTCATGGCATCCCTCCCTCCATTCTTCTCATGGCATCCCTCCCTCCATTCTTCTCATGGCATCCCTCCCTCCATTCTTCTCATGGCATCCCTCCCTCTATTCTTCTCATGGCATCCCTCCCTCCATTCTCCTCATGGCATCCCTCCCTCCATTCTCCTCATGGCATCCCTCCCTCCATTCTCCTCATGGCATCCCTCCCTCCATTCTCCTCATGGCATCCCTCCCTCCATTCTCCTCATGGCATCCCTCCCTCCATTCTCCTCATGGAATCCCTCCCTCCATTCTCCTCATGGCATCCCTCCCTCCATTCTCCTCATGGCATCCCTCCCTCCATTCTCCTCATGGCATCCCTCCCTCCATTCTCCTCATGGCATCCCTCCCTCCATTCTCCTCATGGCATCCCTCCCTCCATTCTTCTCATGGCATCCCTCCCTCCATTCTCCTCATGGCATCCCTCCCTCCATTCTCCTCATGGCATCCCTCCCTCCATTCTCCTCATGGCATCCCTCCCTCCATTCTCCTCATGGCATCCCTCCCTCCATTCTTCTCAAGGCATCCCTCCCTCCATTCTCCTCATGGCATCCCTCCCTCCATTCTCCTCATGGCATCCCTCCCTCCATTCTCCTCATGGCATCCCTCCCTCCATTCTCCTCATGGCATCCCTCCCTCCATTCTTCTCATGGCATCCCTCCCTCCATTCTTCTCATGGCATCCCTCCCTCCATTCTTCTCATGGCATCCCTCCCTCCATTCTTCTCATGGCATCCCTCCCTCCATTTTCCTCATGGCATCCCTCCCTCCATTCTCCTCATGGCATCCCTCCCTCCATTCTCCTCATGGCATCCCTCCCTCCATTCTCCTCATGGCATCCCTCCCTCCATTCTTCTCATGGCATCCCTCCCTCCATTCTTCTCATGGCATCCCTCCCTCCATTCTTCTCATGGCATCCCTCCCTCCATTCTTCTCATGGCATCCCTCCCTCCATTTTCCTCATGGCATCCCTCCCTTCATTCTCCTCATGGCATCCCTCCCTCCATTCTCCTCATGGCATCCCTCCCTCCATTCTCCTCATGGCATCCCTCCCTCCATTCTCCTCATGGAATCCCTCCCTCCATTCTCCTCATGGCATCCCTCCCTCCATTCTCCTCATGGCATCCCTCCCTCCATTCTCCTCATGGCATCCCTCCCTCCATTCTCCTCATGGCATCCCTCCCTCCATTCTCCTCATGGCATCCCTCCCTCCATTCTCCTCATGGCATCCCTCCCTCCATTCTCCTCATGGCATCCCTCCCTCCATTCTCCTCATGGCATCCCTCCCTCCATTCTTCTCATGGCATCCCTCCCTCCATTCTCCTCATGGCATCCCTCCCTCCATTCTTCTCATGGCATCCCTCCCTCCATTCTCCTCATGGCATCCCTCCCTCCATTCTCCTCATGGCATCCCTCCCTCCATTCTTCTCATGGCATCCCTCCCTCCATTCTCCTCATGGCATCCCTCCCTCCATTCTCCTCATGGCATCCCTCCCTCCATTCTCCTCATGGCATCCCTCCCTCCATTCTCCTCACGGCATCCCTCCCTCCATTCTCCTCGTGGCATCCCTCCCTCCATTCTCCTCATGGCATCCCTCCCTCCATTCTCCTCATGGCATCCCTCCCTCCATTCTCCTCATGGCATCCCTCCCTCCATTCTCCTCATCACATCCCTCCCTCCATTCTCCTCATGGCATCCCTCCCTCCATTCTCCTCATGGCATCCCTCCCTCCATTCTCCTCATGGCATCCCTCCCTCCATTCTCCTCATGGCATCCCTCCCTCCATTCTCCTCATGGCATCCCTCCCTCCATTCTCCTCATGGCATCCCTCCCTCCATTCTTCTCATGGCATCCCTCCCTCCATTCTTCTCATGGCATCCCTCCCTCCATTCTTCTCATGGCATCCCTCCCTCTATTCTTCTCATGGCATCCCTCCCTCCATTCTCCTCATGGCATCCCTCCCTCCATTCTCCTCATGGCATCCCTCCCTCCATTCTCCTCATGGCATCCCTCCCTCCATTCTCCTCATGGCATCCCTCCCTCCATTCTCCTCATGGCATCCCTCCCTCCATTCTCCTCATGGAATCCCTCCCTCCATTCTCCTCATGGCATCCCTCCCTCCATTCTCCTCATGGCATCCCTCCCTCCATTCTCCTCATGGCATCCCTCCCTCCATTCTCCTCATGGCATCCCTCCCTCCATTCTCCTCATGGCATCCCTCCCTCCATTCTTCTCATGGCATCCCTCCCTCCATTCTCCTCATGGCATCCCTCCCTCCATTCTCCTCATGGCATCCCTCCCTCCATTCTCCTCATGGCATCCCTCCCTCCATTCTCCTCATGGCATCCCTCCCTCCATTCTCCTCATGGCATCCCTCCCTCCATTCTCCTCATGGCATCCCTCCCTCCATTCTTCTCATGGCATCCCTCCCTCCATTCTCCTCATGGCATCCCTCCCTCCATTCTCCTCATGGCATCCCTCCCTCCATTCTCCTCATGGCATCCTTCCCTCCATTCTCCTCATGGCATCCCTCCCTCCATTCTCCTCATGGCATCCCTCCCTCCATTCTCCTCATCACATCCCTCCCTCCATTCTCCTCATGGCATCCCTCCCTCCATTCTCCTCATGGCATCCCTCCCTCCATTCTCCTCATGGCATCCCTCCCTCCATTCTCCTCATGGCATCCCTCCCTCCATTCTCCTCATGGCATCCCTCCCTCCATTCTTCTCATGGCATCCCTCCCTCCATTCTTCTCATGGCATCCCTCCCTCCATTCTTCTCATGGCATCCCTCCCTCTATTCTTCTCATGGCATCCCTCCCTCCATTCTCCTCATGGCATCCCTCCCTCCATTCTCCTCATGGCATCCCTCCCTCCATTCTCCTCATGGCATCCCTCCCTCCATTCTCCTCATGGCATCCCTCCCTCCATTCTCCTCATGGCATCCCTCCCTCCATTCTCCTCATGGAATCCCTCCCTCCATTCTCCTCATGGCATCCCTCCCTCCATTCTCCTCATGGCATCCCTCCCTCCATTCTCCTCATGGCATCCCTCCCTCCATTCTCCTCATGGCATCCCTCCCTCCATTCTCCTCATGGCATCCCTCCCTCCATTCTTCTCATGGCATCCCTCCCTCCATTCTCCTCATGGCATCCCTCCCTCCATTCTCCTCATGGCATCCCTCCCTCCATTCTCCTCATGGCATCCCTCCCTCCATTCTCCTCATGGCATCCCTCCCTCCATTCTTCTCATGGCATCCCTCCCTCCATTCTCCTCATGGCATCCCTCCCTCCATTCTCCTCATGGCATCCCTCCCTCCATTCTCCTCATGGCATCCCTCCCTCCATTCTCCTCATGGCATCCCTCCCTCCATTCTTCTCATGGCATCCCTCCCTCCATTCTTCTCATGGCATCCCTCCCTCCATTCTTCTCATGGCATCCCTCCCTCCATTCTTCTCATGGCATCCCTCCCTCCATTTTCCTCATGGCATCCCTCCCTCCATTCTCCTCATGGCATCCCTCCCTCCATTCTCCTCATGGCATCCCTCCCTCCATTCTCCTCATGGCATCCCTCCCTCCATTCTTCTCATGGCATCCCTCCCTCCATTCTTCTCATGGCATCCCTCCCTCCATTCTTCTCATGGCATCCCTCCCTCCATTCTTCTCATGGCATCCCTCCCTCCATTTTCCTCATGGCATCCCTCCCTTCATTCTCCTCATGGCATCCCTCCCTCCATTCTCCTCATGGCATCCCTCCCTCCATTCTCCTCATGGCATCCCTCCCTCCATTCTCCTCATGGAATCCCTCCCTCCATTCTCCTCATGGCATCCCTCCCTCCATTCTCCTCATGGCATCCCTCCCTCCATTCTCCTCATGGCATCCCTCCCTCCATTCTCCTCATGGCATCCCTCCCTCCATTCTCCTCATGGCATCCCTCCCTCCATTCTCCTCATGGCATCCTTCCCTCCATTCTCCTCATGGCATCCCTCCCTCCATTCTCCTCATGGCATCCCTCCCTCCATTCTCCTCATCACATCCCTCCCTCCATTCTCCTCATGGCATCCCTCCCTCCATTCTCCTCATGGCATCCCTCCCTCCATTCTCCTCATGGCATCCCTCCCTCCATTCTCCTCATGGCATCCCTCCCTCCATTCTCCTCATGGCATCCCTCCCTCCATTCTTCTCATGGCATCCCTCCCTCCATTCTTCTCATGGCATCCCTCCCTCCATTCTTCTCATGGCATCCCTCCCTCTATTCTTCTCATGGCATCCCTCCCTCCATTCTCCTCATGGCATCCCTCCCTCCATTCTCCTCATGGCATCCCTCCCTCCATTCTCCTCATGGCATCCCTCCCTCCATTCTCCTCATGGCATCCCTCCCTCCATTCTCCTCATGGCATCCCTCCCTCCATTCTCCTCATGGAATCCCTCCCTCCATTCTCCTCATGGCATCCCTCCCTCCATTCTCCTCATGGCATCCCTCCCTCCATTCTCCTCATGGCATCCCTCCCTCCATTCTCCTCATGGCAACCCTCCCTCCATTCTCCTCATGGCATCCCTCCCTCCATTCTTCTCATGGCATCCCTCCCTCCATTCTCCTCATGGCATCCCTCCCTCCATTCTCCTCATGGCATCCCTCCCTCCATTCTCCTCATGGCATCCCTCCCTCCATTCTCCTCATGGCATCCCTCCCTCCATTCTTCTCATGGCATCCCTCCCTCCATTCTCCTCATGGCATCCCTCCCTCCATTCTCCTCATGGCATCCCTCCCTCCATTCTCCTCATGGCATCCCTCCCTCCATTCTCCTCATGGCATCCCTCCCTCCATTCTTCTCATGGCATCCCTCCCTCCATTCTTCTCATGGCATCCCTCCCTCCATTCTTCTCATGGCATCCCTCCCTCCATTCTTCTCATGGCATCCCTCCCTCCATTTTCCTCATGGCATCCCTCCCTCCATTCTCCTCATGGCATCCCTCCCTCCATTCTCCTCATGGCATCCCTCCCTCCATTCTCCTCATGGCATCCCTCCCTCCATTCTTCTCATGGCATCCCTCCCTCCATTCTTCTCATGGCATCCCTCCCTCCATTCTTCTCATGGCATCCCTCCCTCCATTCTTCTCATGGCATCCCTCCCTCCATTTTCCTCATGGCATCCCTCCCTTCATTCTCCTCATGGCATCCCTCCCTCCATTCTCCTCATGGCATCCCTCCCTCCATTCTCCTCATGGCATCCCTCCCTCCATTCTCCTCATGGAATCCCTCCCTCCATTCTCCTCATGGCATCCCTCCCTCCATTCTCCTCATGGCATCCCTCCCTCCATTCTCCTCATGGCATCCCTCCCTCCATTCTCCTCATGGCATCCCTCCCTCCATTCTCCTCATGGCATCCCTCCCTCCATTCTTCTCATGGCATCCCTCCCTCCATTCTCCTCATGGCATCCCTCCCTCCATTCTTCTGATGGCATCCCTCTCCCTCCATTCCTCTGATGGCATCCCTCTCCCTCCATTCTTCTGATGGCATCCCTCTCCCTCCATTCTTCTGATGGCATCCCTCTCCCTCCATTCTTCTGATGGCATCCCTCTCCCTCCATTCTTCTGATGGCATCCCTCTCCCTCCATTCCTCTGATGGCATCCCTCTCCCTCCATTCTTCTGATGGCATCCCTCTCCCTCCATTCTTCTGATGGCATCCCTCTCCCTCCATTCTTCTGATGGCATCCCTCTCCCTCCATTCTTCTGATGGCATCCCTCTCCCTCCATTCTTCTGATGGCATCCCTCTCCCTCCATTCTTCTGATGGCATCCCTCTCCCTCCATTCTTCTGATGGCATCCCTCTCCCTCCATTCTTCTGATGGCATCCCTCTCCCTCCATTCTTCTGATGGCATCCCTCTCCCTCCATTCTTCTGATGGCATCCCTCTCCCTCCATTCTTCTGATGGCATCCCTCTCCCTCCATTCTTCTGATGGCATCCCTCTCCCTCCATTCTTCTGATGGCATCCCTCTCCCTCCATTCTTCTGATGGCATCCCTCTCCCTCCATTCTTCTGATGGCATCCCTCTCCCTCCATTCTTCTCATGGCATCCCTCCCTCCATTCTTCTCATGGCATCCCTCCCTCCATTCTTCTCATGGCATCCCTCCCTCCATTCTCCTCATGGCATCCCTCCCTCCATTCTCCTCATGGCATCCCTCCCTCCATTCTCCTCATGGCATCCCTCCCTCCATTCTCCTCATGGCATCCCTCCCTCCATTCTCCTCATGGCATCCCTCCCTCCATTCTCCTCATGGCATCCCTCCCTCCATTCTCCTCATGGCATCCCTCCCTCCATTCTCCTCATGGCATCCCTCCCTCCATTCTTCTCATGGCATCCCTCCCTCCATTCTTCTCATGGCATCCCTCCCTCCATTCTTCTCATGGCATCCCTCCCTCCATTCTTCGCATGGCATCCCTCCCTCCATTCTTCTCATGGCATCCCTCCCTCCATTCTTCTCATGGCATCCCTCCCTCCATTCTCCTCATGGCATCCCTCCCTCCATTCTTCTGATGGCATCCCTCCCTCCATTCTTCTCATGGCATCCCTCCCTCCATTCTTCTCATGGCATCCCTCCCTCCATTCTTCTCATGGCATCCCTCCCTCCATTCTCCTCATGGCATCCCTCCCTCCATTCTCCTCATGGCATCCCTCCCTCCATTCTCCTCATGGCATCCCTCCCTCCATTCTCCTCCTGGCATCCCTCCCTCCATTCTCCTCATGGCATCCCTCCCTCCATTCTCCTCATGGCATCCCTCCCTCCATTCTCCTCATGGCATCCCTCCCTCCATTCTCCTCATGGCATCCCCCCCTCCATTCTCCTCATGGCATCCCTCCCTCCATTCTCCTCATGGCATCCCTCCCTCCATTCTCCTCATGGCATCCCTCCCTCCATTCTTCGCATGGCATCCCTCCCTCCATTCTTCTCATGGCATCCCTCCCTCCATTCTTCTCATGGCATCCCTCCCTCCATTCCTCTCATGGCATCCCTCCCTCCATTCTCCTAATGGCATCCCTCCCTCCATTCTCCTCATGGCATCCCTCCCTCCATTCTCCTCATGGCATCCCTCCCTCCATTCTCCTCATGGCATCCCTCCCTCCATTCTCCTCATGGCATCCCTCCCTCCATTCTCCTCATGGCATCCCTCCCTCCATTCTCCTCATGGCATCCCTCCCTCCATTCTTCTCATGGCATCCCTCCCTCCATTCTCCTCATGGCATCCCTCCCTCCATTCTCCTCATGGCATCCCTCCCTCCATTCTTCTCATGGCATCCCTCCCTCCATTCTCCTCATGGCATCCCTCCCTCCATTCTCCTCATGGCATCCCTCCCTCCATTCTCCTCATGGCATCCCTCCCTCCATTCTCCTCACGGCATCCCTCCCTCCATTCTCCTCGTGGCATCCCTCCCTCCATTCTCCTCATGGCATCCCTCCCTCCATTCTCCTCATGGCATCCCTCCCTCCATTCTCCTCATGGCATCCCTCCCTCCATTCTCCTCATGGCATCCCTCCCTCCATTCTCCTCATGGCATCCCTCCCTCCATTCTCCTCATGGCATCCCTCCCTCCATTCTTCTCATGGCATCCCTCCCTCCATTCTCCTCATGGCATCCCTCCCTCCATTCTTCTCATGGCATCCCTCCCTCCATTCTTCTCATGGCATCCCTCCCTCCATTCTCCTCATGGCATCCCTCCCTCCATTCTTCTGATGGCATCCCTCCCTCCATTCTTCTCATGGCATCCCTCCCTCCATTCTTCTCATGGCATCCCTCCCTCCATTCTCCTCATGGCATCCCTCCCTCCATTCTCCTCATGGCATCCCTCCCTCCATTCTCCTCATGGCATCCCTCCCTCCATTCTTCTCATGGCATCCCTCCCTCCATTTTCCTCATGGCATCCCTCCCTCCATTCTCCTCATGGCATCCCTCCCTCCATTCTCCTCATGGCATCCCTCCCTCCATTCTCCTCATGGCATCCCTCCCTCCATTCTCCTCATGGCATCCCCCCCTCCATTCTCCTCATGGCATCCCTCCCTCCATTCTCCTCATGGCATCCCTCCCTCCATTCTCCTCATGGCATCCCTCCCTCCATTCTTCTCATGGCATCCCTCCCTCCATTCTTCTCATGGCATCCCTCCCTCCATTCTTCTCATGGCATCCCTCCCTCCATTCTTCTCATGGCATCCCTCCCTCCATTCTCCTCATGGCATCCCTCCCTCCATTCTCCTCATGGCATCCCTCCCTCCATTCTCCTCATGGCATCCCTCCCTCCATTCTCCTCATGGCATCCCTCCCTCCATTCTCCTCATGGCATCCCTCCCTCCATTCTCCTCATGGCATCCCTCCCTCCATTCTCCTCATGGCATCCCTCCCTCCATTCTCCTCATGGCATCCTTCCCTCCATTCTCCTCATGGCATCCCTCCCTCCATTCTCCTCATGGCATCCCTCCCTCCATTCTCCTCATCACATCCCTCCCTCCATTCTCCTCATGGCATCCCTCCCTCCATTCTCCTCATGGCATCCCTCCCTCCATTCTCCTCATGGCATCCCTCCCTCCATTCTCCTCATGGCATCCCTCCCTCCATTCTCCTCATGGCATCCCTCCCTCCATTCTTCTCATGGCATCCCTCCCTCCATTCTCCTCATGGAATCCCTCCCTCCATTCTCCTCATGGCATCCCTCCCTCCATTCTCCTCATGGCATCCCTCCCTCCATTCTCCTCATGGCATCCCTCCCTCCATTCTCCTCATGGCATCCCTCCCTCCATTCTCCTCATGGCATCCCTCCCTCCATTCTCCTCATGGCATCCCTCCCTCCATTCTCCTCATGGCATCCCTCCCTCCATTCTCCTCATGGCATCCCTCCCTCCATTCTCCTCATGGCATCCCTCCCTCCATTCTCCTCATGGCATCCCTCCCTCCATTCTTCTCATGGCATCCCTCCCTCCATTCTCCTCATGGCATCCCTCCCTCCATTCTCCTCATGGCATCCCTCCCTCCATTCTCCTCATGGCATCCCTCCCTCCATTCTCCTCATGGCATCCCTCCCTCCATTCTTCTGATGGCATCCCTCTCCCTCCATTCTTCTCATGGCATCCCTCCCTCCATTCTTCTCATGGCATCCCTCCCTCCATTCTTCTCATGGCATCCCTCCCTCCATTTTCCTCATGGCATCCCTCCCTCCATTCTCCTCATGGCATCCCTCCCTCCATTCTCCTCATGGCATCCCTCCCTCCATTCTCCTCATGGCATCCCTCCCTCCATTCTTCTCATGGCATCCCTCCCTCCATTCTTCTCATGGCATCCCTCCCTCCATTCTTCTCATGGCATCCCTCCCTCCATTCTTCTCATGGCATCCCTCCCTCCATTCTCCTCATGGCATCCCTCCCTCCATTCTCCTCATGGCATCCCTCCCTCCATTCTCCTCATGGCATCCCTCCCTCCATTCTCCTCATGGCATCCCTCTCCCTCCATTCTTCTCATTGCATCCCTCCCTCCATTCTTCTGATGGCATCCCTCTCCCTCCATTCTTCTGATGGCATCCCTCTCCCTCCATTCTTCTGATGGCATCCCTCTCCCTCCATTCTTCTGATGGCATCCCTCTCCCTCCATTCTTCTGATGGCATCCCTCTCCCTCCATTCTTCTGATGGCATCCCTCTCCCTCCATTCTTCTGATGGCATCCCTCTCCCTCCATTCTTCTGATGGCATCCCTCTCCCTCCATTCTTCTGATGGCATCCCTCTCCCTCCATTCTTCTGATGGCATCCCTCTCCCTCCATTCTTCTGATGGCATCCCTCCCTCCATTCTTCTCATGGCATCCCTCCCTCCATTCTTCTCATGGCATCCCTCCCTCCATTCTTCTCATGGCATCCCTCCCTCCATTCTCCTCATGGCATCCCTCCCTCCATTCTCCTCATGGCATCCCTCCCTCCATTCTCCTCATGGCATCCCTCCCTCCATTCTCCTCATGGCATCCCTCTCCCTCCATTCTTCTCATTGCATCCCTCCCTCCATTCTTCTGATGGCATCCCTCTCCCTCCATTCTTCTGATGGCATCCCTCTCCCTCCATTCTTCTGATGGCATCCCTCTCCCTCCATTCTTCTGATGGCATCCCTCTCCCTCCATTCTTCTGATGGCATCCCTCTCCCTCCATTCTTCTGATGGCATCCCTCTCCCTCCATTCTTCTGATGGCATCCCTCTCCCTCCATTCTTCCGATGGCATCCCTCTCCCTCCATTCTTCCGATGGCATCCCTCTCCCTCCATTCTTCTCATGGCATCCCTCCCTCCATTTTCCTCATGGCATCCCTCCCTCCATTCTCCTCATGGCATCCCTCCCTCCATTCTCCTCATGGCATCCCTCCCTCCATTCTCCTCATGGCATCCCTCCCTCCATTCTTCTCATGGCATCCCTCCCTCCATTCTTCTCATGGCATCCCTCCCTCCATTCTTCTCATGGCATCCCTCCCTCCATTCTTCTCATGGCATCCCTCCCTCCATTCTCCTCATGGCATCCCTCCCTCCATTCTCCTCATGGCATCCCTCCCTCCATTCTCCTCATGGCATCCCTCCCTCCATTCTCCTCATGGCATCCCTCTCCCTCCATTCTTCTCATTGCATCCCTCCCTCCATTCTTCTGATGGCATCCCTCTCCCTCCATTCTTCTGATGGCATCCCTCTCCCTCCATTCTTCTGATGGCATCCCTCTCCCTCCATTCTTCTGATGGCATCCCTCTCCCTCCATTCTTCTGATGGCATCCCTCTCCCTCCATTCTTCTGATGGCATCCCTCTCCCTCCATTCTTCTGATGGCATCCCTCTCCCTCCATTCTTCTGATGGCATCCCTCTCCCTCCATTCTTCTGATGGCATCCCTCTCCCTCCATTCTTCTGATGGCATCCCTCTCCCTCCATTCTTCTGATGGCATCCCTCTCCCTCCATTCTTCTGATGGCATCCCTCTCCCTCCATTCTTCTGATGGCATCCCTCTCCCTCCATTCTTCTGATGGCATCCCTCTCCCTCCATTCTTCTGATGGCATCCCTCTCCCTCCATTCTTCTGATGGCATCCCTCTCCCTCCATTCTTCTGATGGCATCCCTCTCCCTCCATTCTTCTGATGGCATCCCTCTCCCTCCATTCTTCTGATGGCATCCCTCTCCCTCCATTCTTCTGATGGCATCCCTCTCCCTCCATTCTTCTGATGGCATCCCTCTCCCTCCATTCTTCCGATGGCATCCCTCTCCCTCCATTCTTCTGATGTCACTGCTTGTTTCAATGTGTTTCTGCCACGTCTCATCTGCCGTCTCTAGCTTTCACATCTGCTCCCTTCTCTCATGTGCCATCTCTTCTTTTGGAATAACCCTGTACACACTGTCTTCTTCCTCTCCCAGCCTTGTTTTCAACCAAGCCACACGCGTCAGCCGCTGTGACCTTCTCACCACCACACAGCACCTCCCAGCACCACACAGCACCCCCTTCAATACTCCTGCCATCCATCCAACACCCCACCTTCCTCCCTTCTTTCCCTCCCTTCTTCTGGCCCCACCCACTGTCCAATGCAGACACGTCAGCAGCAGTGCTGACATCAGCAGGGTCGCAGTACTCCCTGCAGCACTCCCGCCTCTCCACGGCTCACCAGCTGCTGGTGCTGCTGCAGCGAGGGGACGTAACGGACAGGTGAGGTGGAGAGAAATAGGGAGAAGAGGCGTACAGTAGTATAGGGAAGAGCAGCGAGTGGGTTTGGGTGGTGCTTTGCACTGCTCCTTACAATGCTCCCGCCTCTCCACGGCTCACCAGCTGCTGGCGCTGCTGCAGCGAGGGGACGTGGCGGACAGGTGAGGGGGGGATGAGAGGGGAGGGGGGGTGGGTTACAGGGGGTTGAGAGTCGTGCAGAGGGGTATAGAGGAGAGTGGTGGGTGGGTGGCAGTACCCCTGCTCTCTTGCCCTTCCACGGCTTACCAGTTGCTGCCACTGCTGAGGCGAGGCAATGTGACGGACAGCTGAATGGGAGAGGCGTGGAGGAGGGGGATTGAACGTAGGAGTATAGTGGTATAGGGGTGAGAGGTGGGTGGGTTGGTGAGTGGGTAAGTGGGTAGGTTTGGGTGGGTGGGTTTTGGGTGGGCGGGTTTTGGTTGGGTGGTTTTGGGTTGGGTGGGTTTTGGTTGGGTGGGTTTTGGTTGGGTGGGTTTTGGTTGGGTAGGTTTGGGCTGGGTGGGTGGATGGGTTTGGGTTGGTGGGTGTATGGGTTTGGGTGGGTCCCTCTTGCGTGTCCCGTCACTTTCATGCCTCTTCCATGTCCCTCTTGCCTCGTGTCCCTCTTGCCTCGTGTCCCTCTTGCCTCGTGTCCCTCTTGCCTCGTGTCCCTCTTGCCTTCTCTCGCCTCCACCCTCTCGCCTGTGTTGGCTCACCTCTACTGTGGTGGCTCACCTCTACTGTGGTGGCTCACCTCTACTGTGGTGGCTCACCTCTACTGTGGTGACTCACCTCTACTGTGGTGACTCACCTCTACTGTGGTGACTCACCTCTACTGTGGTGACTCACCTCTACTGTGGTGACTCACCTCTACTGTGGTGACTCACCTCTACTGTGGTGACTCACCTCTACTGTGGTGACTCACCTCTACTGTGGTGACTCACCTCTACTGTGGTGACTCACCTCTACTGTGGTGACTCACCTCTACTGTGGTGGCTCACCTCTACTGTGGTGGCTCACCTCTACTGTGGTGACTCACCTCTACTGTGGTGACTCACCTCTACTGTGGTGACTCACCTCTACTGTGGTGACTCACCTCTACTGTGGTGACTCACCTCTACTGTGGTGACTCACCTCTACTGTGGTGACTCACCTCTACTGTGGTGACTCACCTCTACTGTGGTGACTCACCTCTACTGTGGTGACTCACCTCTACTGTGGTGACTCACCTCTACTGTGGTGACTCACCTCTACTGTGGTGACTCACCTCTACTGTGGTGACTCACCTCTACTGTGGTGACTCACCTCTACTGTGGTGACTCACCTCTACTGTGGTGACTCACCTCTACTGTGGTGACTCACCTCTACTGTGGTGACTCACCTCTACTGTGGTGACTCACCTCTACTGTGGTGACTCACCTCTACTGTGGTGACTCACCTCTACTGTGGTGACTCACCTCTACTGTGGTGACTCACCTCTACTGTGGTGACTCACCTCTACTGTGGTGACTCACCTCTACTGTGGTGACTCACCTCTACTGTGGTGACTCACCTCTACTGTGGTGACTCACCTCTACTGTGGTGACTCACCTCTACTGTGGTGACTCACCTCTACTGTGTTCCACCTCTACAGACTCATCGCTGCAATTGGTCTTCTTGTTTTTCTTGCCTACTCCTTCATCATACCCTCCTCCTTGTTTTTTGGTTTCCTTTCTCCCTGTGATGCATCCTCTCCTCTCTCTCCCTTTTTTCTGCCTCCACAAGAGCTGTCATCATTTTGGTGACTCTCTCCTTCTTTTCCGTCTGCCCTTTCAACTTCATCTCCCCCGTTCTTCAACTTCTCCTAGATCCCCTCCTCCCCCCCCTCTACTCTCGTTCACCCGGTCTTGTCTGCTGCCCCCACCAGGCTCATCATCATCCTCGGCTCTCTCTTCTTCTTCCTCGTCTGCTCCTTCATCGTTGTCTCTCGCGTGCCTCTCCTGAACTCTATCCTCCTCTCCTCCACCTCCCTCCTCCTCTCCACCACACACTCCGTCCTCTCCCCCATACTCTCCCTCTTCTCATCCCTCCTCACCGCTCTCGCGTCCTCCACCCTCCCCACCCTCGCCTCTCTCTCCTCTTCCTCTCTCACCCTCGCATCGTCCTCTCTCTCCTCCCTCCACCACACACTCCAACCCCTCCTCTCGCCTCCCGTGCCTCCTCTCCCTCCTTCCGCACCTTCTCCCATGCCCTCACCCTTTCCCCCTTCCTCCCCCTCCCCACCCATCACGACCACCACTATTCGCTCCTCCTCGTCCCCCTCATCTTTCCCATCTCCTTCTCCCTCATCCGCCTCCTCTGTCCCTCCTTCAAACCCATCTCAACCGCACACGCCTTCTGAGGCGCCTCACGCACCAAGCGGGCCACAGCAACAACAACAGCCGGATGAAGAAATGGTTGCGTTGCCAACAGACTCGGTGTCACCCGGAATGGAGGATGGAAGCGGGCTTCGAGCAAGGGTAGGGGGGCACGCAGAGGGTGATGCAGAAGGGGATAGGCGTGGAGCAGGGGAGGGAGGGGGGGGTGGACAGGTTCAAGTAGAGGCAGGGCAAGCAGAGACAGGTGAAGCAGAGACAGTGCATGCAGCAAGAGGAGCAGCGAGCGAAGGGATGAGAGAAGGGGCAGGGGGAGAAGGATCGGCAGCGAGAAGGGTGCGGCGAGGGACAGCAGGGAAAGAGCCGATGGGGAAAGGGAAGATGGGTGGTAAGCAGAGGGCGGCTGCACGAGGGAAGGTGAGGGGTGGGGAAAGAGGAAAGCAAAGAGGGGGAGCAGGAGGAGCGGGGAGTGGAGGAGAACGAGGAGGTAATGAGTCAAAAGTGGGAGTAGTAGCAGGAGCAGGAGCAAGGGAAGAGCGAGGAGCCAGAGGAAGTGGAGAGATGGACGCAGGAGGTAACACAAGAGTAGGAGGAGGAGAGGATGGATTGGCAGGTGCAGGTGAATCTAGTGAGGGCAGTGCATCCGTCACAGCCGGTGGTGAATCAGCCATTGGTCGCCAAGTCCCCATGCCTGAAGCACCTCCTCTTGCTCATCCGCCTCCCCCTGCCACCCACCGTGCTGCCTACTACGGGTCTCCTGATGTTGGAGATTCACCTGCTGGGGATTCACCTGCTGGGGATTCACCTGCTGGGGATTCACCTGCTGGGGATTCACCTGCTGGGGATTCACCTGCTGGGGATTCACCTGCTGGGGATTCACCTGCTGGGGATTCACCTGCTGGGGATTCACCTGCTGGGGATTCACCTGCTGGGGATTCACCTGCTGAGGATTCACCTGCTGGGGATTCTCCTGCTGCTGCGCCTGTGAGTGGTGGAGGAAGGGAGGAGACTGCAGAGGGTGGGGGAAGGGAGAGGGCGAATGGGGGATTGGATGGAGAGGGTGGGAGTGAGGAGGAGGGCAGAGAGGGAGTGGGCAGAGAGGAGGGCGAGCAGGGCACATGTGGGTTGGCAGGTGGCAGTGGCACGTGTGATGCACACTCTGAATCTGCTGCAGCCTTTCAAGGTGATTCTCCCAGTGCTTCTGCTGCTGCTGATGCTGATGCTGCTGCTCCGGTTGTTGCTGCTGCTGCTGATGCTGCTGCCGCGGCTGTTGCTGACGATTCTGCTGTGGCGGCTGCTGTGGATGATGCTACTGACACTGCCAGCGCTGATGCTGATATCGTCCACACTCATGCTCCTCCTGCTCATGCCACCACCACTGCTGCTGCTCATGCCACCACCACTGCTGCTGCTGGACTAGTGTGAAGGGGGGCCGACAGTGGGGTGGGGGAGGAGTGGGGTGGCTTGAGGCGAGCACGTGAGCACAGGGCGGATGCGGAGGGTTAGAGGTGTGTGGGGGTTGGAGATTCGTGCTGTGGAGGCAGGTCGGGTGGTAGCAGGCTCAGGCGGGTGGTCGGATGGTAGGGGGTGCAGGTGGGGATGTGGGTGGTGAGGTGAATCAAGTCGCTGTTGGGGGTTTCTGAGACACAGGAAGCTAAGGGTAAGCAAGGAGGAAGGGTAGGCAAGGAGGAAGGGTAGGCAGGGAGAGCGGAGCGGAGCAAGGTTGGCCGCACGGAGTGGATGGGCGAGGGGACTAAAGAGGTGGAGGGAGTGAGGAGTGAGGAGGGAACGCTTGCATTGCATGCAGATACCCTCTACGACTGTTTTCACGCCTGTCGAATTCCTCCTACCGGTATATATGATCATCGTGGCTGCACACACGTGTGTGGTTTGTTCAGTTCGCATTCTGGTCAGGGCTGACGTTTCAATCATGGTATTGGGCAGTCTATTATCACCCCCAAGGCACTTCGGCCAGAAAGCAGGCACTCTGATGGGAGAGCGTTCTCAAGTCAGAATGTCTGACTGACCAGACCAGTCAGTGTCCGTCCGCAGGTTGGGTTCGCATCAGGCATACGGTAGACCTCATGCATCACCGCCGCCCAGCCCATGTCGGCGGCATTTGGGCAGGTGAGATACGGATGAGGATAGAGTTGGAGAACATTGAATATGCATGTTACAATATGTGACCAGTACATGCATTATTATTGCCTTGAACTTTCCCCACCACCTCCTCCCTCCACCAACTACACCACATAAAACATCAATCACAAACATTATTCAAGATAGGACCTTGGTGTTGGGCTGAACGCCCTAGGATCTTTAGTAGAGTTAAAGTCTGAGTAAATGATGTAGTAGCGGAAGCGTTTGAATAAAGTCCTTGAACCACCTTGCGCTAGTATGTGAGGGCAAAGTGAGTTGATTAAAGCAAAGAGATACAGGAATATATATATGAGTACAGAGAATATGAAGAGACATAATTGTAACTGTTTTACTGTTGCGGTTCGATACAGTGCGACTCGGGCAACTGCTCAATGTTGAGTCAGTTGTGTGTCCTTGCTGTCGCGCTGCGTCAGGTCAAAGGTCGCTGACCTTTGACATTCTCGTAACCTCCAGCGGTTACGTTAACCTCTGAGGGTTTACTCGCGGTGCTTCGATTTGAGCTGCTTCGCTTGTGTCTTGAGTTTCGACACGACAGAGGCGCTTAAGACTATTTGTTCCCAACACTCCCCTTCGCTTCTGGAGTGTCGCTGATGGTGACGTGGCTTTGTCCAGTCAGCAGCATGCAGTACTCGAACTTCTGTTTTCCGAGCTTCTTGGTCAAGTAGTCAGCTGCCATCTCAGACGTGGGACAGTAGGATAGTTTGAGTTTCCCTTTTTCGATCTCGTCTTTCACGAAGAAATATCGCAGGGCGATATGCTTCGTTCTGTTCGCGAATCCGCTCTTGTTGGCGATGCGAATCGCAGATTGGTTGTCGCAGAACAGAGTGAAGTTGGGTAACTCGGCTAACTTCGCTTCTTCCAGCAGCTCGCGAAGATAGAGTCCTTCCTTGGTGGCTGAGCAGAGTGCGATATATTCTGCTTCAGCTGAGGAGAGAGCGATTAGTTCTTGCTTGCTCGATTGCCAGGAGATAGGTCCGATAGGTTCGAGGCGGTAGATGTAGCCAGTGCGGGAGCGTCTGTTGTCTGAATCGCCGGCGTGATCGGCATCGACGTAGCCGATTAGTTTCGTCGGTGTAGTTTTACTCTTGTAGTATGTCACGCGGATCGTCGAGGTGCTCACGAAGTAGTGGAGAGCGCGGTCGAGTTCCGCCAGGTGTTCTGTTTCGGGCCTTTTGAGATAGGTAGCAAGTTGACTTGCGGAGTAGGACAGATCTGGGCGGCAGGTGACGGCTGCGAAGAGAAGGCAGCCCAGCTTCCTCTGGTAGTCGCGTATTCCGGCGGTTTTGAGTAGAGCGGGACCTCCTTTGTCGTTCCCTGCCGTGTAGCGGTATGACGTGGAGATAGTGGTAGGTGTGAGCGAGGCGTTTGGCGATAGTGTCGGCATACTTTTCGGCGCTGAGATAGATTGCGTTCTCTTCTTCGCGGATGTTGAGTCCGAGGTACTGAGTGACGGTAGAGGAGACCGTGAGTGTAAGATCCCTCTGCAGCTCCCCTTCGAACCAGGTGGTGACGTCTTCGGTGGAGCTAATGTAGAGTAGGTCGTCGACGTAGACGATCAGCAGGATATAGTCGGCGTTTTTGGTGAGTCGATACATTTCTTGGTCGTGAGGTAGTTGGCGGAATCCGATGCGAGTGAGGCGAGTGTGTAGGTGCTGTTGCCACAGCCGTGGGGCTTGTTTGATACCGTAGAGCGATTTCAATAGCTGGCAAACTTGGTTAGGTTCCCCGTGGGTACCGTGTGGGAGCTCGACGAAGATTTCGGCGTCGACGGGTGCGTAGAGGAACGCGTTGGCGACATCAATTTGTCGCAGTTTCTTCTTCTTCATAGCGGCGATCGCGAGAAGAATTCGGAGTGAGGTATGTCGGCTGACCGGGGCGAATGTCTCGGTGAAGTCCCATCCGTGCTCCTGGTCGAATCCACGCACGACCCAGCGTGCTTTGAATTTCTCGATTGTACCGTCTGCCTTTGTTTTAATGCGGAAGACCCATTTCCCGGTGAGGATGGTCTTGTTCCTTGCCACGCTTACGGGAACGACTTTCCAGGTGTTGCGTTCCTCCAGCGCCTTTAACTCTCTGTCCATGGCTTCACCCCATTTCTCCCTGTGTTCCCCCCCCAGAGCCTGCTGAACTGTCGCAGGCTCTTTAGGAAGAGCATTGCCGTGGACTGCGGTGACGAGGCCGAGAATCTGCAGTCTAGTCTGTGAGTAGCGGGGGAGAGTTGTGTCCTCGGGATAAGCTGCTTCATCTCCCGCTTCTGGGTCGGGTATGAAATGCGGCCCTATCCGTTCTGCTTCGTTAGTGTTGACTGTCGCAGGTGTTACGTAACCGTTGTCGGCGAAGTGGTAGAAGACTTCGGCGTTGGCGCTTTCGCGAGGATTTTCTTCGTCCATGGGGACGTTGACGGAGCAGAACGGTAGAGGTCCGGCTTCTTCTGATGCGTTGTCGACGTTCTGCTCGTCCCAGTCTGCTTCGTCCGCTGCTGAGGCGAAGGCTCGGTCACCACGAAAGCCACCTGTGGGGTCCTGATTTTCGTGCAAGTTGGCGAGGTACGTCTGAAGCGTGAGTCGTTCGTAGAAGATCACGTCACGTGCTGCTACTGTTTCCTTGGAGTGGACGTCAAAGATTTTCCACGCGTTGTAATTCTTTTCGATGCCGAGGTGTAGTCCCCATTGTGCGCGTTGTGAAAATCTTCCCGCTCGTGCTTCTGGGGGTCGGTACTGTACCATGCACCCGAAAACTCGTAACATTTTTGTGCTGCCCTGTTTCCTTGTCCACAGCAGATGCGGTGATGCGTTGTTCGGAAGTGAGGACGACGACATCAAGTTGTGCAGCATGACAGCGTGGTCCATTGCTGCAGGCCACTGGTGGTTGGGTAGCCGCATGCCACGTAGCAGTTTGCGCATGCTGTTCTGCAGAGTCCTGTTCATTCTTTCTGCGACACCTTGCTGCTGATGGGCGTAGGGAAGGGAGAGGAGCTGCTTGATTCCTCTTTCCGCCAGGTACTGCTTGAAGCGCTGAGAGGTGTATTCTCCTCCTCCGTCTGACTGGAAGCTTTTCAGCTGTGCTCCCGACTCTTTCTCTGCTACTGGTAGCCATGCGGCGAACGCTGCGAGTGCCATGTCGCGGCTGGGTAGGTTTATGTGCCAGATGTATCGAGTGGCGGCGTCGATGAAGGTTATCGTGTAGTTGTAAGTAACTTGTCCTGGTTCTCGATTGAAGAGAATATCGCTGTACACCTTCTCGAGTGGTGCGTACGCGGGTGCGCTCGGGTTGTGGTGAGGAGTAAACGGTCGATGTGGTAAGTCGGCTTCGGGGCAGGTGAGGCAAGTTCCTCGTGCCCGTTGAAGTTCTCTGCCGTCGGGTAGTAGTAATGAATCCTTGTCTAGGACTCCTGCTCTTATTGTATTATTTAACACGGTGTTGCTTGGATGTCCCATGCGTGCGTGCCAGATGTCTTCGGAGGCGCGGTGTCCGGGTGAGCGTCGATACGCATCGGAGTTGGAGTAGAAGCTGGCGACGAAGTTTGCGCTTCTGTGGACTTCTCGTTGAGTTGGGTTCAGCTTCTGTGCGAGTGTTGGTGGTGCTTCATCAACGAGAACTGGTGTCGCTGATGATGGTTCTGCTACTGCCGATGATGTTTCTGCTGCTGCCGATGTTGTCTCTGCTGCTTCTGCTGCTGCCGATGTTGTCTCTGCTGCTGCTGATGATGTTTCTGCTACTGCCGATGTTGTTTCTGCTGCTGCCGGATGTTGAATTGTTGCTAACGCGCGTGTTCGTTCTGCTTCAGGGATGGTATGCGAGTACCAGAAGCCTTCCGGGCTGAAGTCTGGATCAAGATCTGGAGGGTGCGTCCGATCGGCGAAGTTCACGATGGCGTCGCTGTCTGCGGTGCCCAGGTCTGGGACGAAGTCAAGGACAAAGACGTTATTCTTCAGAACCGCCTTTCCGATGTAGAGGCCGCCCTTCCCGTGGTACAGTTTGAACTCCTGGGTGGTGCTGTCGGCTTCCAGGTGTATGCCTTTCGCCATCAGCTGACTGACGCTCAGTAAGTTGTAGCCGAGTCCCTCTGCTATTAGGACTTTCGACATTTGTAGTACGACGTTCGTCTCCCGTGACTGAAGCTGTACTATGCCTTGTCGTCTTGTTCGCAGGTTCTGATTATTGGCGACGGTGATGACGACTTCTCGTTGAAGTCGGTGCTCGCGTTGAACGAAACGTCCTGAGGAGCGCATGTGTTGTCCGCAGCAACTGTCCAAGAACCAAGTGTCTCTTCCGGATGGCTCGCCTTGAGCGATGGCGGCGTATGTCGGGTTCGGCTGAAGTGACTCGCGGCGAGGTGTGGTTTT